TGGGGATTATTGGAAACTACATTATTACATTGATTCAGGGCGTACTCTTCATGGCCTTAATCTCAAAACGTGTTAACACCTCACATGAGACCCATCGGGAGCTTATGACAGCTGGCATGAATCATGGGGAGGGGTTGGTGAGGGAGTGATTGTGAGAACCTAATCAAGAAAGCTTGCACAGTGGGGCTTAGAATAAATACGAGCAAAATACAAATCATGCACTCCAACTTTTCTTAACGACTGAAGGTATCTTTCAGAGGGACACAACTAGAACACAGAAATTGTTTACCTGGGGTAATCATTGAAGGCGACTCAAGGATAAACAAATTTAAATCGAGCCACACGACAGCAGGATGGAGTGATTTTGGAAAAAACGGAACTTAATCATAAATAGCATTCCAAAGAACACAGGATGAGATGTTACTATCCTTTGTGCAAGCACTTCCAAGAGTTCATGAACAGTGAGCCTGGTGAAATTTGGGGAGCGCATCGTCAGTAGTGACCCTTTGGTTCCTAGGGTGTTTCGGCCTTTCATACTATACACCCTCCCCAAAGGCGGCCAGCGACAGGGTGATCAATCCTACGCTTGCGTCCCATTCCCAATTGGTCATAGGAGTTGCCTTGTTGTTGGTAGCCAACATCCCATGGGACTATGCATGGCAGGGGCGTCCTCCTCCCTGAGTCAAGCATTGTTGACTGCATACCTCCTGGCCCTCTCACTTTGGGGCCCAGCTGGGGTCTTTCCTCTTCATCCAGAGCCACTGACTGCTGCCTTCTGCCGCCTCCGATACAGCTTTGATTGCCGAACGCTGGCTCTGGCCCTTAATTCCCAGGTCTCTAAGCAGTCTGGTTGTAGATGAAACGTGCCTTGAAGGAAAGTGTTTAAACGGTGCAGATTACCTGATATGAGATGCGTCAAGAAGCTGGTCTTTGACAAGGACAATAGAGCAAATGGTGAAAAGTGTACAAAGACGAATGGAGAGATAAATTATTGAAATTATATAGAAACAAAGTAAATAGCGCGGATTATAAAATAAACACAGATGACGCATCATATTGACTGTCAAGAAATGTAAGTGGGCTCTGTGTATGCTTATGGTGAACTTCTTTCTTACCGTACATAGCCAACTGTGCTAAGTGGAGGTGCAGGGGAAGGACAACAAACTAAACACAAGAAGGGGGATGACGGCAGTTGGGCAAGGCTAACGACGGAGTGGCAGCCAAAGGAGGGAACGCACTTGAGAGCACGTCCGCCATGGAGATGGAGGGGACGATAGCATACTCTTAGTTTTTTCGGTAAAGTCACGTAGGTAAAAAAATGAAATAAAAATTAATCCCTGCCTCACTTGATACAGCAAATCTGGCTGTGACGGTCCCACCTGATGACGGAGGCTTGTGTTGCCTCCCAAACGTCGTGATTTTTATTATTTTATTTTTATAAATTTTTATTTCATTTTTTACCTACGTGACTTTACCGAAAAAACTAAGAGTATGAATCCTTGCAGTCACGAAAGCTTCAAATCTGGGACGATAGCAGCTCATGTGCAGATGCTAAGATGGATTGTGTTGTCGCAGGACAATGAGAGATGGTGGCGGATTGGGAAGGTCTTCAGCCAGTCTTGTATGATGATGCATGATGGTGATAGCACTAATCAGAGGGCTTGTCTTTCAGCGGGTCGTTACTTAATACGAGCCACACCTAACGCCGATTAAAGGTTACGTATGTTACGTGTGACTTTGACGAGGTGTCTATGAAAGTCACTTTCTGTATCTCACGGCTGTCTTAAGAGTATATGTAAGACAACAGCTTCTTTTATACAAAAAAAGTTACACTCGCAGGCAGTCGTAGCAAGGCGTGTTTCTTATGGCGTTTATAGCGTGCATGCATTTATAACACATAACAACGCCCTGTTCTTCATTATGATACTGCATCGTCAGGGCCGTGGTATGCATGAATGTGAGGTGTGTGCATCTGCGTTACCATGCATTTGTTATTGGTGACTGAGCATGGTTGAGAATTTGCCTCCGTCACCCTGGCCTCTTGAGCCATGGCACCTTCTGGGTCAGTTTTGTGACCTGTCCACAAGCTGGAATGATTCCACGCAGCCACAAAAGTGCACCAAGCCTGGCATAGGCACCACCCCTTTGTGGCAAATTATGGCAGCTGGTGCCATCATTTATCACAGATCCATATTTATAGTGTTTATGTCATTAATGTAAGTTAAGAACAATGATTTAAGAGTTGTATGGTTTATGTTGTGATATGTACTTGGGTGGCCCTTATGTCAGTCCACTACTGGATGAAGAACTCCCCACATTGTACAGGTCATGGAGTTAATTGATTGTACTTTACCATGTTGGTCAGTATGGGTTTGGTGAATTGAGTGCAAAATATAATTCAAGATAAGATGAAAAGTGCACAAAGAAGTGTGGAGAGAAACATTCTAGGAATTGCACGGAGAAGTGGGATGTCTACCGCCGAGATGGAGAGATGAGATCCGCACACATGCAGGAATGAGATGGATTGTGGCATCAGAGAACAGCTGTGGATAGCATCAGCTTTGAGAGATCCTTCATCCAGCAGTGGATAGATTGGGGCTGATGCTAGTGCTTGTGAACTAAGGAATACATTTTAATTAGTTACTCATAAAATTCTTATGTGCCTATTTACATGACTTACTATGCATCTTATGTGCGTTTATGGTATTTATATAAATATATAGTATCGTTTTGCTTCGGGCATGATATAAATGATTGTTTCTTTTTTGTAAAACGATCCACCTGCTTCCAAGCCAGACTTGTCTTCAAGATTTGCTTTGGGATATTTTTTGTTTGTTTGAAGATGATAAAAGTTGGCAAACTTGTGAATGTATAGATTAATGTTGCTGCAACATTATCAACTTTCACTTGGAATCATAAATGTACGTAAATGTTGGGCTGAATTAAATACTACAGCAGCGATCAACTTTGATATGGGGGAGGGACCACATCGCAGATTCTGTAATCCACGGAGGTTAATCTCAAGATATCCGCGAAATTATTTTCCCACTAGAGCCGTGTGCGGCTCATTCCTCGGAGTCCCGCGCGTCTTGTAGTCCCCTAAAAGCGAGTGGTTTGCTACAAGGGAAGCACGGCGCAGTGACGAGAGACACGTGTGTCTCTGTGTGTCTCTCTGCTTGTGTCTCTCTCCCATGTGCGTCTCTTTTTCTGTGTGTCTCTCTCTCTCTGTGTATGTGTCTCTCTCTGTCTGTCTCTCTCCGAGCTTGCATTCATTCACACGATTGCTTGTGTTGCAATCGAAATTTTGTATTCTATTATTCACTCATTCATTGGCCGATAATACCTCAATATATAGAGGACCACAGAGCTTGCAGGGGGGGGGGGGTGGGATTTGATGCCTGCTCACTGACTGACTGCTTGTCTGTGGTTCCTCGCGCCTCTGAAGTCGTTCTGTCTCTTTGACAGTGAGCGAATACTATGCAGCGCTTTACAAATTAAAAAATACTTTTGGACTTAAGATTTATCCATCAAATTATGCGCATATCAATCAAGCATTTACGATTCAAAACAATGATATGCAAGTGTAATGTAGCTCTCAGAGACACCGTCTTGTTCAGTTATGTATATATTTATACTGGTAGGAACCTCCTGGTTACACCAGCCCACAGGGGGTTATTGTGTCCGTCCGTCGTGCAGGGAGGGGCTGGGTGGGGAGGGATGGGCTGGGTGGGGAGGGGAGGGTGGGGAGGGGCTGGGTGGGGAGGGTGGGGCTGGGTGGGGAGGGTAGGGAGGGGCTGGGCGGGGAGGGTGGGGCTGGGTGGGTGGGAGGGCTGGGGCTGGGTGGGGAGGGGAGGGCTGATCACCCCATGGTACCCTTATAAAACTCAACGTTTAACCTACTCACGCCAGCTTGTGCCCGCCCTAACAGTCGGGCACATTTGCGGAATACACCACGCCGCCGTTGCCCTGGCCATTGACCGAGCAACCTAACGTTCCTACCAGCTCCCTCCGCAGGAATGTGTTGAATAAAGTCTGCCGACTCACTGAAAATTTTAACGGGTAACCGCGAGTTGACTAAAGACCGCTGGGTAATTTCTGTGACTCTACGCGACGCTCCCTATGGAGTTGGCTGACAACATAGGAGTGGATGCATAGCAGTCATGGAGACCAGACTATAAGGTGCCCGATCCAACATGATGAAGACGACCCACTCCAAGACGACGACGGTTTCTTGATCCCTCCACTGCTGCAGCCCAGAGCCCTGCTCCATGCCGGCTTTTATCACACTCCCGGACCCGGTCACGCCTCTTTTCTCGAACTCTCTCTCTCTCTCACCTCGTCTGGGCCTCTCTGTCACTGTCTCAATTGTTATTTACGACCACTTCGGTCACGTGCTATTCTTACGGTGCTCGTCGCGTCAATTATTAACCACGGCCACCAGGCACCGGTACTGTCCTTACACAAGTATTACCTTGAGGAAAATAATTCAAAAGAGGCAGACCAAGCAGGGCAGAACAAGAGAAACAATCACTGCAAACTGGTCGGTACAAATGAGACAAAATAATGTATTCTTACAACAAAATCGTGCTCCTGAATCGTGGCAATTTATCTTGCGTTTGATTATTTACAGGGGGAGTAATTAAGAGGTGTGTACTTGGAATTACATTGAGAAACAGAAATATAAATGCACCATGTATTAGAAGACAGACAAGTGATAGATATAGATTATATCGATTGTTAATAAATATATGTGGGCTTGGGCAGAATACTTCACCGTAAGGGTTAATTGTCGGTGGCCGAGACTCATGGTGGAGTGGCAGCTAAAGGAGGGAAAACGCCAGAGAGTACGACCACTGCAGAGATGAAGCGATAAAATTGGCTCGTGAAGGAGCTAGATGGACGGTTCCATGACGACTCCTTGAGGGATAACGACAGTTTGAGGAGATCTTCATCAGAAGTCGATGGATCATGTTTGATCATGATTGTTTGTCTTTCTGCAGCGATCCCATTCACGACACTGACCATCGACACTCTGGGCCGACGGAGGAGCATGGCCCTCTCGATGGCCCTGTGTGGACTCTTATACTACCTCCTCAACATCTGCACCACGCGGTGATGCTTCCTCCTCCTCATTATTGAGACTTCTGGACAGTGTCAAGTGTGGCTTGATAGTGACGCAGATACATTTGTAACATTTCAATATACTTGAACTTCATTTGAAGCTGAAAATATCTGGTACTTGCCCCTGGCAGCAGAGCCAGACAATTACTCTCGCAGAGCTTACACGGATTTTTAAATTCACTCAAAACTACAGAACCTACTGGCACGAGCGAAACAGCCGCGTGACAACCTCACGTGGCCACCCCACATGAGCACTTGTGGCTTGTGCCATGTGAAGATTTTGGTTTTTGGCTTGAAGAATCGGGAAGTTTTTTGCTGATGGTGAATGCGTTGCTAGTAACAATTACTGGCAACGATTACCCTAAAATTGCCCACGGCCATATATTGCCCTCACCTGTTCCCCAGCAGGTGCCTGGCGCTGCCACATCAGCACGTTAGTGAATGTGTGGAAAATAAAACAATGCCGAAGTTGTAATTCTCAGCTCGCCTTTCATCTCTTTGGATACTCCTGTGGCTTAATAATAGGCTCTGCTTGCTGTTCGTGACTGGTAAAAGGTTTGTTTGTGTATTTTGTATCTTAATTAATTTACCTCAAGGGGCTCATTATTGTGTGTGTGTGCATGGATAAAAGGTGAATATCTGTACGCTTGGTACTACCCCTTCTTTAACTGCTGTCACTATCGGACGTAATAATTAGCTTGTTTAATCGCATATACAACTGCATGTATAGTACATAAAGGGTTGTATTGATGCAGTGTTTGTGCTGCTCATGGAATTTGCTGCTGCTGCCCCTCACCTTAACCACATGCATTCTTAAAACCAAAAAGCAAATAGCTTTTCAAAGGTATTATTTAGGAGATGCACGTTGTGTGCTTCTAGCCTGCAACTTAGTGAAAATAGACCTTACATTTAGAGTTTGAGGTGCTCTTGCAACCTTACTGCAACATCACTTGCTGCGTTACAAATTCTAATCACTTGCTGCGTTACAAATTCTAATCGATATATTTTCATGAATGAAGCTTCGGCTGCTATGTTTTCCTCGTACACACTGCTTTATTATGTAACAATTAGATGATTACTTGAAATACGTTAATACTGTATAAGCCCCTTTCTGTAATGTTTAAAATATTTAATTTTACAGTGCTCTGTGTGCTTACGATGATCAAAGTAGAAAAGCAGAGTTTGCATTTTCTCTTTATGTTTAATTGCAGGATGGGACTTACGGTATTGCTCTTCTTTCTTCGTGCTGTGGCCTCTACCAACTTCAACATCATCTACATCTACACAGTCGAGGTCAGATTATCATGGTCTTTAGCTCTCATTTTCCCCAACACTGTCCATCTGTAAGTCAGCCACAGCATTTACATGAGAAGGTTTTTTGTTTTACGATTATTGTAACTTATCCCGAGCCCCGATAAAAAGCGCTGATCACCTGATGGAAAGGGGAAAATAAATGTTGTGAACAGCAGCCCGAGTTCAATGCAATAGGGGCTAATGAAGGGACAAAATTGGGCTCACTGCCTCATACATGAGGAAGTTTTATCGTCGAAGGTCGATTGAGAGCTCGTTCTGATGGAAAGAAACCAGGGGACATGGTATCTGATTTAACAAAGCATTTTTTATTGTGTATGATGCCCTGCTATTTTTTGCTCATACCACTGCTCACGGAAGAGCCTCCACGAAAGGGAACACTGTAGAGCCCCTCTAGAGCAGTACTTCACAACCGGAATAACAGAAAAGGAAAGAACCACAAGCCCCCATGCCCCACCTGACACAGAGACACACAGATCCGAATACACTGAAGTAATTGGGAAATTCTTGTCACAGATTTGGTGCCACTTGATTTCCTAGGTCTCAATGACATAAGTCTAGTGACATAGAATGGGTCACTACGGCACGTAGCGCTGGTTACTGGTAGAGAGCGGGATCGTGGGTGTAGTAGCCTGGTCTACCAGCAGGGCAGGCGAAGTGTGCCACTGGAGCGCGCAGCGCCGGTTGCTGGCAGTGAAGGGCATTTGAGGATACAGCGGCCGGTCTGCCAGTAGGGCACGTGACAGGCACGGATGTAGGGTAAAGGTGACAACGTGGGGCAGAGCCCAGAACCTTGTGGTAGGTTCCTGAAGGAGGTGTGGCCGAGGGCGGAGCCAGGCCACGCTGGGGAGGATAAAAGGTAGGCCCCGACGCTGGGTCGGGGCTTCTGCGGTTTGGAAATGGAGCCCACCGTCCACAAAGTCTTCGTCCTCCTCGTTGGTGTTGGGTCAGGCAGTGTGCCGGCTGTCCTGACCCGTATATAGTTATCCCCTATACTGTGGAAAGTGTCGAATAAACGTATATGCCTCCTACTATTAGTGTCTCTGAAGTGACTCACTATAGTACTATAATTTTTGCCCGTCCAAGGACGGGTGTGTATTGCAGTAAATCTGAAATATTCAATTGAAAAATTGTTCAGCTCATGATTATTAATGAGGGGAGGGGTGCGGCATGTGGAGTGACGTCACCCTCTCATGGTTATTGTGGATCCACCCACTCATGAATATTAATGAGGGGGGTGGGCCTCATGTGGAGTGACATCACGCGGGGGGGTGGGTGGGCCTCATGTGGAGTGATGTCACGTGCGGGACGGACAGACATTTTTGGGTGACAGTTAAATTTCGATTTAAAGCTTTCGTGACTGCAGGGATTCATCTTCTTGGTTCTTTCGGTAAAGTCACGTATACGTGACTTTACCGAAAGAACCAAGAAGATTTCTGGGTGATTATAGTAGGTAATAATCAAGGGGTTGTGAATTATCTCTCAGCTACAACGCATTCTCACCCAGCTATCCGGGGCACATAGTGATGTATTTAGCTTTGGTGTGCCGCCAAGATCCAGCATCCTAGAGAGTGCTGTGGAGTAAAAAAGTTAGAGGAACACTGCTCCAGAGAATATGTGGCTGCACACAGTACATGCCTGAAGTCAACCCAGACTGCTAGGACAAAGAGCCTTGTGGCATAATATACTGCATCTTGCGACCAACCCTCGGATCGGGGAAGGCGAGGATATACAAAAGGATATGATATATGTGATGCTTAATTTGTCATTCACTGGTGAATTGTGAGTGTCTCTGGTGAGTGTGAGTGGTTGTCAGATGAGTGGTGAGAGTTGGGTAAACCTCAGGGGAGTGATACGTGTTAAGGTTTGCCGAGTGTAGTTGTCGGGTAAGTGATGTGTGTATGTCGACTGTTGCAAATGGCGAGTTATAGTGATGTGTGTCAGGTAATTGGTGGGTGTAGGGTAAAGGTGTCCAAACCTGATTAACAAATCTTGCTAGATTGGCTGCTTGCTGCTATGGATAAAATGGTCCGATGCCTGCAACATGAAAGGCGCAGAGTTTTGTCTGTTTATTTAATAATTCATTTGCCACAATTAATCCTACTCAAGTGGCTAATAATGGCTGTGTACACATTGTATTTCGTTTATACAAACATACACAAGCAGCACCCCACTTTGACACCCCCCCACTGTAAATATATTAATCTCCTCTATTGGCAGCATGTTTAATAAGCTTCACTCTGATGATGAGACTCGGCAGGTCAAAGCCAGCTAAAGTTTGCTTGCCTAAACCAGGGGTCGGCAACCTACGGCTCCGGAGCCGCATGTGGCTCTTTACGGGCTGCTTCTTGACGATATGTACGTATGTACATAGATGCATTGCGGCTCTTGAAATACTGAATTTTGTACCGAATTGGAAAGAAATGGCTCTTCTTGTTATTTTGGTTGCCGACCCCTGGCCTAAACAGATCTTGCTGAATAATGTAGAAATGTTCAACCTCTTTCGCACCGTACGTAGCCAACCATGCTAATCGGTTGTCGAATAAAATAATAGTTTTTTACAACTATTAGTTTGGAAAGCCAATGGACCACTGGAGTCAAACTATATTTTGTGTATGTGGAGACACAGAACGGAGGTCTGCATTTATATATATACATTTATACTTCGAACTAAGAACACGGGAGTTGGTTGAGACGGACTTGATCTCCTCCCTGTTTGTTCAGCGGTCGTTGACTGTGCCCCGAATAGCCTGCGAGATTGACTACGGCAAATGTCGAAGTACTAAAGAGTCATCGCATACCCAAAGGGCAAGACTGGTGTCAAGTCGTGACTCGTGAGAGGGTGTGTGTCCTTTGACCACACCTTGTGAATGTACACTTGCGTAGAGGCTTACCTAAAGAAAAACAAATCCCGCGCTGAGTTTTTGGCTTTAATTGACGTGATCAGTTCAAATGCACCGAAGGGAATGTGACCATCCCCTACTTGTCATCAGGGTGTGGAGCAGTCGGTGCAATATTAATCTTAATGCAATTTCAAATAGAGATTTTTTAAACCAAACGGTTAGGTAATACTGTAGAGCAAGACAGATGTGTCGTGTCTATGAAGGATATTGAAGCGTGTGCACACATTTCTCCACGGCATCATCATCAGCCTTGTATCCACTTCCCCATGAAGGACCTCCCGCATCTTCGCCACTCCACCATGGTTCCACGATGCCAGAATCCATCTCTCGCATGTGGGCTAATTTCGTTACTCCATATCCACTGCGTTCATATATTCTCAGGCGCGGTCCCTCCTCCTGGCTGCCACTCTATCACCAGTCTCGATCACCGGCCATCAACCCTTCCCGCGTCCTGTCCTATCCAAGCCCACTTTTATAAATAGTCACGATGACCATCTATGATTTTGTACATACTCTTAGTTCTTTCGGTAAAGTCACGTAGGTAAAAAATGAATTAAAATTAATAAAAAAAATAAAAATCACGACGTTTCGGAGGCAACACAAGCTTCCGTCTTCAGGTGAAACTGTCACAGCAAAAAATCTGATACAGATTTTTTTCATGAATTTTAATTTCATTTTTTACCTACGTGACTTTACCGAAAGAACTAAGAGTATGAATCCTTGCAGTCACGAAAGCTTCAAATCTATGATTTTGTACATGTTCTCCGATCTACGTGTTCCTCTTTTATTCCCTCATCGCAATCCCCATCCATTCTTGTGTTTGTGTGCTTTACAGCTTAGTTTCATAGTTTCATTTCTCATTGTAATTATTCCATATTCCCATACCGTGTTTTAACAGAGGTATTATGCACCGAGTCAAAGGACTCCTCTTTTTGGCACATTGGTATGTTGCTTTTGAGTGTCAAATTACAAATGCACTCTTGCATGCTCATGTCACAATTTTATCTTGGTCTGCCATCAATAACAGCTCCGCTATATAAATAAATATTCTGATATCTATACTGGATGTTGTGTTTTACAACTGTATCCCTCAAACTGTTATTTTATTTTGTTAAGCGACGTTATCGGCCTACCTTTGCAGTCTTCTTTGATACGTTCTTGAATCTTTGCCTGTAGTTCATCTTCATTGGTTTTACAATGACGATGTCATAATAACATCTGAGATAATGCAATCTGGGGCATGTATTTTTGCAATCCAAAGTTTGGAAAATGTCTTATAAGGTTGTGGATATCCTTCGTGAGAGTGTACACCTTTGCTTGACTTCTGATTTGTATTTTGTTGATGTAATTTCACCTTCGCCAGTCCGTCTTTATAAATACTATTGTTCGTTTCCAGATAGTTTTCGTGAAGGCCTTGGATGATAGCATTAGCTTCCACTGAATGAAATACCTTTTCATATTCTACAATAGATTGCTACAATGGCCTTTGATGTGCATTAGTGTTTTAAAGAATGTGATTGGAAAACGAAGCAGTCACCTTTTCTACATCCAGATTACTCGCATGATTGGTTGGCCTCTAATGTGTCCAGTATATTCGTACGTACGTATGTTGCACTTATTTCTTACCGTACGTAGTCAACTGTGTAAATCGTAGGTGTGAATTCAGTTCTCTTTGATCTTCGTGAACTGTTTATTTCGGTGAGCTAAGAGGCTAATAGATCTGTAATTCTTCAATTCAGTTTTGTCTCCCTTTTTCAATCGATGAATAACTCATGCATCGTTGCATGCTTTTACGTATTTCATTTTTGCATGAGCATTTAGTAATAATTCTGCCAACTTTGATCCAGCAGCTGGTCCTACTTCTCTGATAATATCCACGATTATTCCATCTGATCTGGGAGCTATATTTTTACGTTGTAACGGACAGTGTTCTGACAGTATAGGACAGAAAAAAAAACCAAGTTATATGAAACCACAAAAAGCATGCTAAATAAAAATAGAGATATGTAAATGCCAAACAAAAGATAGAACAAAAATACTCTCCTGAGAAAAAAAAAAGCAAGAGGTGGCGGAGTGCTTAGCGTGATGAAATACGAACACGGTGACGTCACGTATATTCCTGTCCGTAGCACGCGTCAGTGCCGAGTGATCGTCAAACAGACACCTCCCGTGAGCGACGACACAGTATAGGGGGACCTTCCATCCAGCAGTAGATTGACTCAAAAGCACACAAACCAGAGCCCGCATCAGCGAGGGAAACCTGCAGAGCGACACATGATCAGTTATTGCCAGGGGACGTGTGCGTGTACAGCGAGAAAAGCCCTTAAGCGCATTCAGTTTGCCTCCCTTCATGACGTTGATTGACGTAAATGTTGTACATTCTTTTAGTAGACAGTCTACACACATCACGTGACTGTAAAAAGTATTAGAAATTCAAAAATAATCACAAAACTGTATATTTGATATGTGTCAAATAGTTTTTAATGTGGGTACCATGGACTCAACTTAGATCATCTTCATAGCTGAAGTAAAGCTGACTATTTGAACAAATACAAAATAATATTACAATAAAATTCTATACGTAAGGGAAAAATCAATTGAGAGGGAGTGATGGCGCATTGGTTAACACAGAACACTTTTAACCCAGTGACCAGAGTTTCATTCCGGACCAGGACCAACATCCACTGGTAAATGTTATCTGAACCGGTGCTTCCACACCCTCTTTTCCAACCTACAGTGACCAGAATGGTGAAGATGTCAAACAACCACCATGACCAAGAAGGCATGGGGGAAGGCTTTCAATCCAGCAGCGGTTGTAAAGTCTAAATTCAAATTACAGGCAAAAAATATATAAAACATTCTCGCACTTTTTTAAGGCCTCGTCACAGAAACGACCTCTCTCTTTCTGCCGATACGTGTTCTCTCTCTGTGTGTCTGTGTGATGTCTGTCTGCTTGTGTGTCTGTCTATAGTTTTCTGGTTAGATTTTTGTTGCTATTTCTTTTATACCTGATGATGATTGCTTGTGTTGCAATCGAAACGTCGTAGTATGCTATTATTTAATGTATTATTTTATCTTTATACGTGACTTAACCGAAAGAACCAAAGAATAATTCCTGCAGTCACGAAAGCTCCAAAATTGAGATTCTAGCACTGTTATATAGCATAACTATTCACAAGTTGTAAAAACACTTCTTTTTATCAAATCTAATTTTTTGTCACGGGAATGCCTGAGAATGTCTCCGCAGCTTCGTCAGTGGGGAAACCACAGACCAGATCTGTTTATATCGATAAGGTTCATGTCACAGAGTAATGTTGTCTACGAAGAAAACTGTGAGTTTATATATATATAGCTTCGTTTCTCATCCCTCGCCTCTCCCTGCTTCTCCCATCCCCTCCTGCCCTCTTGTGGGTCAAGGTTTACCCGACGAACATCCGCTCCCTCGGCCTTGGCTCGTGCAGCTCGACGGCGCGCATCGGGGCCATGATCGCACCGTTCGTGGCGCAGGTACGCAAGCGGAGTGGCGCTCCTTGCCCCACCCTTGTACACAGACAGCCCCAGGGCAGGGCTGGTTGCTCACGACTGGCGCTCTCGCTCGCTATAGCCGTGACTCAAGATCAGAGATTTTTCACGGTCACCTTTCATGTTTGATTATAGCAACGGTTAGGTGATGCACAAACGACAACTGAGCTTAATGCAAAATTTGTTGCCTTTTTTAGTTTTTACACTTTTGAATCGTTATTTTTGCACAGCTTGGGATTGTACATTGGCAGAGCCCAAGACAGTTTTTAGAGTCGCTCTCTGGGGTTTTATTGTTGGGTTGTTGCAGGCGTTGTTGTTGAACATGGCATCCCAAGCAACTCCCCAGCACGTAGAGTGAAATGTAAGACGTCACGCCAAACAACACGCACTGTAAATTTGTCCTGGAGTGTGTTCAATGCTAAAATCTTACTTTGGTGGGTACATAGATTAAGCAGCGGAAAATAATTAGTTTGACCACGACGCTAAATGTAAAAGCCATTTCGTACACATGAACACGTTCCTTTATGTTTTAACATCCTTTAAACAATAAAACCTGGTTAACTACACCTTGTGTGCTAGGTCAAAGTAAAACAGTATACAAAAGGCATCACTGGAACATACTCTGTGCCTTCACTCACATCATAATGTATTCGTTATCTTGCAGCTTTTACACCTGCTACCAGCAGAATCGGCAGCAACTCATGTGCCGTGATCACCACCATTAATCACAACATCTGAGATATTGAAAATAGGTGCAGTGGGTCCCCTAGGCAGTTCTGATCACGTCATTTGTATTAGGAAACAATTGCGAGTCCCGTGCCCTTATACCACATTTACATCACCACTAGAAAAGGGTGCTGGCAGGTTTCTCACGGCAACCCTACCAGGCCAACCCAAACATCAATGTGGGGCCTTGGGAGGCTCGCCTTTCGAAGAGAGAGCTGCATGCTTTGGGCTGCGCTCGGAACTGGTCACGTGTCAATGCAGAAATTGAATGCACAGCCCATGATCTCCAGGTTCATAGGTCACTTAGTCTGACTTCAGGTGCATTTTTACAAATAGTATGGCAGAAAGATTATTCAAATAATAGGGCCTAATGTAAAGCTTCATTAAACATTAGCTAATACACATTTTTATAAAGGTTGCTTCTCAAGCCTCATGTGGATAGTCGGGTTGCCAGCAGTCCCTGGTGTTCCCAGGATTATCCACATTTTGAGGTATCTGCCATCCTGAACATTCTCTAACTCTTCCTAGGATGTTAAAATAAATTTGCGTAAGCACACACCGCCCAAGACAACACATTTACATGTGGTCGTCCCCTTTTCTGGTATCGTGAGATGTTCTTTCCATGACATGTCCCAGTTTTTCTGTACCTCAGAGGTGGCAACCATAGAATACGGGGGTGGAGTGGACCAAGCGCACGAAGCCAAAAGGGGCAAAGTTTGGTGACGCACGGGCTTGTGCCGTGCTGCTAATATTAATAATAGTAACTTTATTTCACCAGGTGAGGCCCACTGAACTTTTTGCTCTTATAGTGGAACACAGCTGGGCTGCTCTTAGGCAACCAAGCCTAGCTGCCTGTGGCAATGGAAACAAAGCACTAGAAATCCTTGGCTTTTTAAAATATTACCGTGAGGTACTCTAACCGATGGGACAAAATGCTGGCAATGGAGGCAAAAGCTTATGGAAAGGTGACGCAATGAAATCTGGACACGTACATGTGATGTTTTGTCCGCGTCCACAGGTGATAAACCAGTGACGAGCTTGCTAGAGGTTTACCGTATCAACCCACCTGGCAGCCATGGGCTGCCATCACACTGATCATTTACTCAAACATTTGTATTCGTTTGTCGGAAATGGCTACGCACATGTACTTCTACGTGGTATATGCTCGTCATTTCGTTTATGTTAAACTGAATTGCGTGACGCAAAACCTTAACTATTTTTACCCTTTACATAATTAGTGCAGTCTTGGCGTGCTTGTACGAGGTGTTGCCTTGGACTGCCCTGAAATTAACCTTAACACAAATAACTGAATACAATGTTTGGAATGCTGTGACTTACTCTTTAAATTAAAAGTTAATGTCTTGTGACTATTTTGTTACCGATGAGAGTAATACCATTTTTTAAGGTAGTGCTGATAAAAAATGGCCACAATAATCAACATTTTAGATATTTTGAGTTCCGTCGATTCCTACATAAATAATATTGCACACAGTATGATGATGTGTAGCTTTTTAAATGGCAAAATTATTGTCAAGGCAAAACAACACTGAATATATACATATTTAATGGTGAAACAAATATTGAGAAATACACATGGGTTGAATAAAATGCTTCATTTTAAAATGGTAGCGGTGAATAGATAATCACAATTAGCGCTCTTGAGGTGCTTTCAGGCAGGACCGCGTGCCGTTTGGAATGATGTCCTAGGTTTCACTCCGTATATTGGGAGCTTCTTTATGAACTGAATTCCTTTTCTTGCACTGAATAATTTAGTTTCTCAAGATGCTTCCAGCATGTGGATCAAAACGTCGAACAACATGCGGTAGAACCAAGGAAGACACAATGGCGAGAACCTATACGATAGCTTGGCACGTAGTTCACGCTGATAGCCATGTAAAGAAATCAGTAGCACTAAGTGAGCCATGGATTAAATATTCACTAATGAGGTTTTGTGTCCTACAGGTGATCCTTGATATTTCTCTGCCCCTGGCTCTGTGTCTGTTCGGGAGCGTGTGCGTCATATGTTCTGTCTTGGCGTTCACCCTCCCGATTGAGACAATGGGTCGAGAAATGAAGGTACGTTCTCATTGTGAATGTTTTGTGTGTTGTTCATCATACGGGGAGCGGCATTGCAGTAGTTAGCGCACTGCACCTAGGAATCCAGCAACCTAAGAATTAGAATGGTTTAACATGTAGGCTTTCGCAACCAATATTATTCATAATCAACGTTTTTGGGTCTAATCGCGTTATTTATAAATTTGTCGTAACCCTCCACCATCCGACACGGCCAATCAGCAAAAAAGTGTCACGTTGACAAAAGAAAAATATATCACTACTTTAGCCCACCGGTGTGTTGAAGCGTGAAACCACGACATTTACAAGTACTCAAACTTTGTAAATGTCGTGGTTTCACGCTTCAACACACCGGTGGGCTAGAGCAGTGAACTATTTGTCTATTGTCAACGGGACACTTTTTTGCTGATTGGCCGTGTCGGGTGGTGGAGGGTTACGACACATGTATAAATAACGCGATCTAACCCAAAAACGTTGATTATGAATAAGAATTAGAAGAATTAGAATACTAAAAAAGTAATGTTTACTGACGTTGATTGTTAGAGAGTAGGAGAAAACTAAGTTTAAATTTACGAAAGAATACACGTGCGTTTTATCAAATATCTCTGAAGCATGTTAAAAGCTTAATGGTATATTGTGCGTGATGAAAAACAAGTGAGGAATGTATAAACTTCAACACAAATGTGAGTGAAATGTTTTGCTTGCAACAGTGCACTGTGTTTGTGCATCTTCATGGAGGCTTCTGTTTCAGTCACAGCAAACCAGCTTCGCTTAAACCGCACTTTCGTCGCGACCACTGCTGCTGGACTTCTCGCCACGGAGACATGCCGTGGACGCTGCTAAAGTCGGAATGGAAGACCTCGCACCCTCATGGTTGCAACGCAGACATTTAACACTAAAAGTGACGCGTATCCATGCGCGTCGGGTACAGTGGTATATGGTGCTCTGCACATTCGGCGGCGTTATATCCTCTCTCTAAAACGGAACGACGGAATTGGCGATGGTGCAGTATGGCTTGGACGTCTTGGGAACTGGATAAAAAATCATGATCTGCGGCTCGTGTTTGTGGACACGTAAATGCTGTTGCTGATAAGTTCAAGAAGAGTAGTACTGCCCTGTTCCTGGCAGGTTTAGCCTATGCTAACAGCCGTTGCGTATGGGCACACATGGGATATTAAATTTACGTTCGTGGAAGGTTTTTTTTATTGCACGCTTGGTCGCCAGCACTTGCCTTTAAACTATTAACCTGGCAATGATCCATGAGCATAGTTATGCTGTGTTTTCACAAAGCGAGTTGAGCCAGCCTGGTTTGTAATTGGGAATGTGGCCTTGGCCCAGATCACCACAACTGCCTTAAGGGCCATCCGTTTAGTACGTATGCATGGAGGGGGGTTAACCCAAATGTGTACGCTTGCGTATGGGGGGTCTACTGACAATGTACGTACGTATAGGAAACGGGGGGGAGAGGGGGGTGAAGCCTCGATAATAATTTGTCTACGTTGGCCTTAAGGTGAGTTAGATAGTCCAGCGGTGGATTATCTGTTTGCTTCGACACGTTAATATTATTAATCCTTGATCGTTTCTGCGTGGATTAAATATCGGGGGGTTCTATAGGATTCGGGGGAAGGGGGGTGTGTCAAGCGTACTTACGCAGGTGGGGGGAGGTGTAACAAGTATTCGTGCGTACAGGGAGGGAGGGTGGGGTCAAATTTTGACAGATTTTTGCGTACGTACTAAATGGATGGCCCTTTATGACGGTGCTGACTTGTCACCAAACCGTCTGCTTCACCAAATTGCATTACCAAGCCCCATTTGAAGTGTGACACGATTTTTTCCCAGGTCATCCTCAGAACAAGCTCCAATGCCACAGGATCAATGTAGAAACAGGATGTTTAACCAATGGTGTTCCTCATCGAGGACCCACGCTGCCACAGAGTTTGTTGCATGACAGTCACATGTCTATACTCTTTGGTTCTTTCAGTAAAGTCACGTAGGTAGAAAATAAAATAAATCACGACATTTCGGGCGCAACACAAACGGACGCTTGTGTTGCGCCCGAAATGTCGTGATTTATTTTATTTTCTACCTACGTGACTTTACCGAAAGAACCAAAGAGTATGGATTCCTTTAGTCGCGGAAGCTTAAAATCAATCACATTTCTATTTTAATCGTCAATGCCAGAATTTATGACAGTTAGAATGAAAACCAAAATGTCATCTTTTTTTTGTGTGTGTAGACATTGGTGACCGAATTCAGACCGACAGTTCAGGACACTTGAGAAATGGCTTTCATCTTGGATGGCTGAAACCTGGATGCAAACCCAGCTTCTCAGCAGTGCTGGCTGAACAATTTTGCCTCAGTCACCTGGCTACCTATAGGGCTTTAATTAACAAAAAAATGTTGCCCAATTTAAGTATACTTTAAAGCTTGTTCGTAAAGCAAATTTATTTTGTGATGACTGCTTCCCTCCTGCTGTGGAGAAACGGGATGGGGGGGGGCATGGTGTGGTGGAGATGTAACCCGTGGAGCCAGCCATCTCAAAACGCTTTGGCACGCAAGAGTTGTCGTTATGAGGACCCTGGGACTCTCCGATTATTTAAGTAATTGCTTTCTATCAATTATTGGTTCTATTACTCGACTAATGGGATAGCAAATCGGGAAAATGAAAGCCTCACCTTTGTTTGCATACTTGTCGTTGGACGAGTGGTGATGGGCGTGGCTTGAAGGGGGTTTCCTGCCTTCGGAATGCAGGATATCTGTGGGCGCAATTTTTAAGGGGGCCAGAGTAATTTATTACAAAGATAGTAATGGATTCAAATGTTTAGTTTAATTTACTTAATTGACTAATCATTGCAGCTCTAGTTACACGCATTGGAACAATTCATTACTTTTTTTCTGAGTTTTATTATTTAAAGTTGTTAATTCACTAAAGTAAATGTATTCATTATTTAAGATGAAACATATCCCCATAGTTATGCACTGAACAAATGGAATTTACATAAACAATTATTCTAATGCATGTATATGCACAATTGTTACTTAACAGTGGGTTATTGTACCCTTTCATGATGGTAAAATTTGGATGGTTCCTTTCCTCGTATGTATGTATGTTGAACTTTTGAATTTACGTAGCCAACCGAGCTAATCGGAGGTGCGGAGAGTGACAGCAGTACATTAATTGAAACATTTACACGATATTCTTTGGGTCTTTCGGTAAAAAAAAGAAAATAACAAAAACTACGACGTTTCGATCGCAACAAAAGCATTCGTCATCAGGAAGAGGGGGTTAGCTTCTAAAGGCAAACTGTTTGTAAAGGTTTGAAATGGGCGTAGCCCAAATGTAAGTAGCCAATGATAATGTAAGTGGTGGGCAGCAACCGCGACGGTGGTGGGTTTTCCACCAATCAAAGGGCTGCCAAGTAAAAATTTGCATGTTAACATCGCCACCTCAGGGCGCTGGCCGTGGAGGCCACTCAACGATCTTGCATCTTCCTGTGGACGACCGCTTGTGTTGCGATCGAAACGTCGTAGTTTGTTATTTTCTTTGAACCTATCTACGTGACTTTACCGAAAGACCCAAAAAATATGAATTCCTGCAGTCACGCAAGCTTTAAGTCAAGAATTGACATCATAATTATACTGGGCATTGGTGAGAGGATGACAATCGAGTATATATTTTTTTATAAAATACTTGTGTGGATGTCTCATGAGCTAATTTCCAGAGCCACTCCTACTAGTATGAGGGATTTACAATAAACCCCACACAATGAATAATGTACACGTACAGCACTTTTGAAAAGTAATCATACGTAGAGCCACAAGCACACCGCATGCGCCTGATACGATGGTTGGCAATCTTGCAACGGTCTCCTCCGGGAAGGGCGTCGTGGTGGTTTGGTCCCCAGGACCTGGAGTGGAGAAACAACGCGCGAGTGAACGAGTTACATGTGCAGCCATTTCGTAACTCCACAATCCACGACTGGCTTTCCCCAAGCCAGGCGGATTGTTTGATGATTCTTCACCAAGCTGGCCAGTGCGGGTTGGTGAAGGAAAGGTAGCATGGATTTAGAAGTTGTAGATAGTACGATGCAACAGTTTTTTTTATGCACTACCCCCTCTTGCCAGACACCATGTCGTGCCGCAATCCCTGTGACAAACTCAATCAGCCGCCCAGGAACTTTCCAGGCCCATCGGGCATCCTAGTGATTTGGACAAAGGTCAATTCATACCAGTTTCAATAATAGAAAGGCCTTTGTAAATTTACTGCTGGATGAAAGCCCCCCCCCCCCCCCCCGCCATGCTGTGTTTGATATGGTAGTTGTTTGACTTCACAGGTTCAAATTTGACTCGACAAATGATGGTAGCCATGGCTGAAAATTGAGCCATTGTTGTCCGGTTCACAGCGCAGTGTGAACCAAAACTGACCAATGTTACGTACTTTTTAATAATAATAATAAACTCACTTAATTATTTTTTTAAACGGTTTTATTCACAACTTCGTTTAACTCACCCTCGAGAAGTACGTGAATGATGCGGCGCCTGCTCCCACATCAACGCTTACTTGAAATAATTGGTTATTTTATAAATTAATCTTCAATGTACTACTTTTTTTGGTGTGGAGTGATGGTGCCCGTAACTCGTTCACACGGAGCAGGCGCGCCTGAGACACGCGGTACCTGCCAATTAACTAATGAATTGATGTCGATTTTGATACAGGCATGCATTGTCTCCTGGATCTGAGTACGTGTGCAAAATTTGTAATTGATTGGACAACATGAAATAGACTAACTTTCCATTACAAGATTTGACCACGACAAACAGGAGTGAAGTTAAATAAAACCGTTGAAAAATAATATTGCCGTGTGTTTTTTTATGCCGGCACCATATCTCTGAGCGTGGAGATGATATCTACTGCATTTGTACCACGTATTGGTAACGTAATTCCAAATACTGTAGTTGAGGATACGCATTTTGACCCACCATTAGAATAGAATGAAATTGTAGCATCTTGAAATATGTCTTGATCAACTAAAATGCGCACTTGGGAGCCGCTTGAAGAGAATGCTTTTTTTATCAGCTTTATCAGTCATTCTAAAAATGGGTGCATGCAGAGGAGGTTGTTTTATCATCATCGATGACCTAAGAAATTTGCACAATATACGTTTGTTTAAAAATAATGTACATAGAGCCAGCTGTGTAATTTGTGAAGTTTATTAACAGGAGTGTGTTTCAATTAGTCTTTGTTAAATGGGTTGTAAAATAGCATTAATCGGTGTTGGTGTCATGTGAAGCAGATGAAATGTTAATTAACTTGCGTTCACCACACTTAACTTATGTGTGTTTTTGTTGTTGTAAAAGTTATATTTCCTACTGTCGGGCGTTTGCACACGATTTACCTTTCATATGTTTCTAATTGTCAGAATTCTGAAGTGCCTTTTGTCTGAAAGAACTGAATAATCACTATTCGATGTAAAGCTTGTATGACTGCAGGGATTCCTATTCTTGGATCTTTCGGTAAAGTCACGTAGAAGGGAAATAATACAATAATAAAATTCTCACGACGTTTCGGCCACAACACAAGCAGCCGTCCTCAGGTGAACAGAGCTGTCGGGAAGACAGCGTCCTAATGAGCGTCCTCATTAGGACGCTGTCTTTCCCACAGCTCATTAGGATGCTGTCTTTCTGACAGCTCTGTTCTTCACCTGAGGACAGCTGCTTGTGTTGTGGCCGAAACGTCGTGAGAATTATAAAATGTTTTATTTTTATTATTTTATTATTTCCCTTCGACGTGAACTTACCGAAAGATCCAAGAATATGAATAATCACTATCAAAGTCATAAACCAATGTTTGTGAAAAGTGTACACGTTGACCACATTTGTGTAAAAGAAGCTCCTTCGGAGGTTACATTTTTTAGATTTATTTCACGATAACGTATTTACAAGGTACTCGAGCCCAATAACTCCTCGAACTTTAAACTCTTGCATGGAAAAAAAATACAAATTAACGTTTTATTCGGTGGTTACTCGTCATAGACACGGATATGAGTAATGGAGGGATGATAGGGGTGGCAGAAAGGTCATAGGTTATACATTCCGGTCATCCATGCAAATTGAACTGTCTTAATTTCCGTCATTCACGAGTTAACGTGACCACCACGTTATTTATTACAATTTTAAGATGACGGGGAAGTAAATGTAGACATGTACTATTATGCTGTTAATTACATTTAACAAGCTTTACCATTATATCATAATTTCTTCTAAACCTTTCTCATTTTGAAAATATTGTAATTTTTGAATAGGAATGTGTCCATTTTTATCAGCATTACATAACGTCTAGATCACAAGCACTAATGAAGAATATCTAGTCTTATGCTGTGAGATCACTCCCACCAACAAACACTTCCATGTCTGCTTCGAATGTTTACTTATTGTAAATGTGAAGTGTGTATGCGTGTGAGACTCTTAAACGTGTCGTTACAGAATGGAATCAACAAATTGCTGTTAATTTACGTTTGTGCTATTTTGAGTGTTTCATCATTTGCACACGTGGATGTCAAATGTTCGGACTTGCAAAAAGTAAATAAAATCATTGTGATGGAACATCCCAAGTTACTTTTGAATTTTGTTCCTCGTGCGGACACTTTATCATCACCGATAAAAAAAAAATATGTCTAACGCATTGCTACTGTGCTGCATTGAATGCGTGTTTGTTTATGGATACCCAGAGTTTGCTTTTATTGATCTCATTAAACGTGCACGCATGAGATTCTATTCTGAGTGCCTTTCGCGTACTTCGGCCCGCTTCGTGACGTACTGCGTGCGAGTCAGTGGGCGGTGTGCGTGCGTGTGCGCGTGCTTCGGTGTACGACATCGGAAGGCGAGGCATCGTTATAAGGGCAAGGAGGGGAAAGGCTAGCCATAGTAAGCTCTGCATTCGGCGCCTCAGCTCACAATCCTCAACACGTCCACGGCTGCTGCTGCTTCGAGTCTTGAGGAGCCGCAACAAGAATGCAGAGATTTATTTTGGGTGGAAGCCTTATTTGCTTGTGGTTAATTTCATTTCCACTTGAATCGCGCTCGGCAAACATAGGTAAGCTATGTGCAATGGTTTACTTTTATATGGGTTTTTTAAATTTTCGTACAGGTATTTTTTTATGCTTTAAATTGAGTGACAATTTTGATGTTAACTTTACCAAATAAAAATAACCTTTGAATTAATATCGCAATGCTTGTTTTGAGTACAGGTATAACAAATGTAAATACTTTATCACATGTTTAATGTGTACTCTTCTCAAGTTCATTTCAAGTCCTGTAAAACAAAATTAATCTGCTCTTGACACCAATAGTTTGGTTGTGTGGTTTTTAGTGTGCATTTTTTTAACCATGAATCTCGGGTCCAAAGCTAATTCATCCAAAAGAAAGCTGCTGTTTTCTAAAACATTGAACTTGAGCCGTGTGTTTTTATGATACAGCAGCTTCAGTAAATAGTTGATTTTGAGCAGGAATATGTAACATAAAGAGGCTCCCTCGATTTGAAGTTTGCTGTGTTGTTGAGGGCAAATCTGGTTTTAGGATTTTATTGTATTATGCCATTGGGGTGTTAATTATCAATTTGTGAGCCGTTTCACAAACTGTATGAATGCAAAAAACATCGTATCACTGTTCATAATAGTGGATGATCGCATACTTCTGTCAAACACATTTTTTTTTTGTAAACTAGTGACCGAATTTCCACATTCCGCGTGTGTCTTTTGCGCCCACAGACCCATGCTCTGTGGCACACTACGTCAAAACCAACACGACATGGAGGAAGAACACAGACTACAACATTATTCCCAACACCACCACCGCACCGTTCAACAACGACAACACCCTTAACAGCGAGTGGATACGCTACGTGTACGGGGCGGGCGTCCAACTGATCCAATCCTTCCCGGGATTGTTTCGCTGTGGCACTCGGCGACCCGTGTGGCTGACGGGCACTCCGCCGACCGTCATCAACACCACAGACGAGGTGCAGGCGTGCGTGCCCTCCTACAACGTGGCCACTGCCACTCCAGACTGCGACACGCAGCTGTACGTCTCCATCCGCCTCTGCCAAATTCCCAACACGGCCGAAACCTTTTACGTCTACAAGCTTCCCACCACGCCTCTGGACGCAGCCTACTGCACAGGTAAGCTTCGTCGTGGTTGTTCTTTGTTCGAACCTAACAAAGATCATCTTTTCCGCCTCGTAAAAATGTTATCGTGCTCAATATCCCATGTCATGAGATCCATTCGGATCTCTGGCAAATCAGTGCCACGCTCCGTGTTAGATAATTGGTTGTTGAAGCAAACATCGAAGAGCTACTTCTGAGATCCCTTGAAGTGATCTGTTGCGTTTTGTGTCTTCTACGCAATTTTTTAATGTTCAGTACTCTGCCAGTTCGTTTTTTTTGCAGTAATTCTATCGGAAGCATCACTGCTAAAGAAATTGTTTCCATAAAAGTACATTGGCTCCATCCCGGGTGTTGCATATTAAAATAAAGCCAGATAATTGTATTTTTTCCTTGCAAGGGGTTCATTGTAAGTCCTGACTGAATTATATACAGTGCACAATTGAAATTTATCTTTATTTTTGAGGGCAGTGCCATAGATGTTTTTTTTCATGGCTTCTACACCTTGTATCAAGACAGCTCCAGTGTCAAATTAAAAAAATTGGGTGTGGTCCTTGCCTGTCCATTGTACTGCATGTGTTTCAGCTCTAATACGAGCTCTGAAACATAACAAACAGTAGTTTCTGCTAAAACTTTGTATAATATAATTGCTATTAGTGTTTGGCATGGCTTTACGTGTATATGTGTCTGTCAAATGCTAGTGTTCATCAATTCGACCTCCAGACTTCCGTTTGAGATATTTGGCCAATTTCAGCCAAATAACCCGGAGATAACCCATCATGTGCATAACACTCGCAACCTTGCTCACACGTATTCAAGATCCATTTTCTAAGCCAACTTGCAGAAATGGTGTTACGTGCCAACTATTATTTGCCTCATTAAAAACTTGAATTTAATTACTCCCCCCACCCCGGAGATAATAGGCGGTATGCTCACATCCAACAACAATGTAATGGGGAGGAACACATTCTTGGTGCGAACATTGCGTGATTAGCCCCAGGCTGTTTGTGGTTTACAGGGGGTACTTATTCAGGAGTCTGGGACAAATAATATATATGGATTTTTTTTATTTCAAATGTCAAATATACATTCGTACTGCAATGTTAGGCTGTTGTTTATATTACACACCCTTTAACATCATGGGAGGGTTAAAATTGTCAATGAACCATTTGCGTTGGGTATTTTTGCTGGAGTAAGTAAAGGATTTAATGTAACGCTTCGTAATACAGGGTGAGGCGTAACTGTGTGTCTGTTGTTTTGCACGCACAGAGGGCGACAGAAACGAGTGCTTGGAGAAAACCGATTGCGACCTCCTCACGTCCACGTGCGTGGACATCGTTTACAACACGCTCAACAACTCCGGATTTTACTGCCAGTGCAAGCCTGGGTTTGCCAAAAATCCAACAACAGGAAAATGTGAAGGTCAGCAAAATGCCATGAGCAGATATCCCAGAGCTACTTTACAAGATCACTTTTAAGTAACCTCTTATAACCTCGTATGCACGCGTTCCCGCATGCCTTGATACAGAGATAAGTTCGTTAATATCAGTGAAACTAATGTTACTCTTAATTCTGTGAGCTAGAATCTAGCCAAGTCAAGTGACGAAAAAAACAATTTTAATGCAATTTATTGTTTTTGTTTCGCCCTTGGTCACAGGACTGAGACCATAAACCTGCTCCACTTGATAACCCATTGTTCCATTTAACCAGCCGTGTTCTGATTTGAGTGTAGCTTCAATGCATTTCAATAAGGTTTTGTATATTTTTTAAAGCAGGCTCTGTTGAAGAATTAGTTGGTATTCAGTGCAGCATTGTTGTTTTTTCTTTTTCAGATGTCAACGAGTGTCTCTCACCGCAGCAGTGCCAATTGTCGGCGCATTGCGTCAACACCTATGGGTCTTTCACATGTGCTTGTAATGCAGGCTTCACAGGCAATGGATACAACTGCCAAGGTAGGCACTGCACAAGTAGCCTGTTTTATGAGTTTGTGTCGGTAGAAATTTAGAGTAAAAGACATTACTCATAACGAAAGCACTTCCTTTTTAACATGGCACGGTTTGTGCCTATGCTGTTCATACAATAATAAAGTCGGCCGAGCAGTGGCCCGGTGATTGGCATACTGCGCGATGAAACTGGTGACATTAGTATGTCATTTATGAACAGCTCTGGCAGCCAACACGAATTTTTTTTTATTTTAGCAGGTAAGGTCCACTGAGCTATATAGCTCTTTTTCAGAAGTGACTTGGTCACAAATTATAGCTCAATGAAGTGGATCATCGTGTGGATTGTTTTTATAGCAGCTAAATACTCGAAACGCATTTAAAAATGTGGAGGGGAAAAACCAGAGGACCCGGTGAAAAATACAATCGACCACAGGGAGAATGTGCAAACTCTACATATACAGGTGCCATGGTCGGGATCGAACCTACGGCCTCCTGTATACCAGGCGAGGCAGTTCACATCTCCTAGCCACCGTGGTGTCCGCGACGTGGGTAGGCATTCATACGGCAGTGGATCTACAACAGGCTATATATTACAATTGTAACTTTTATGTACGTGAAATTTGTAAAAGTTATCATTATTCAGCATATATGCATATATATATATATTACCTATCTGCATATGCAATTCTACCTGCATAGCTAATGAAGCTCACTCTTTGCCGTAATCTTAAAATATCAGACGTCTGTATAAGCTACTGTGACATTCACTGTTGTAAAAACCAGCGTCGCTAATTCCAAACCATCACTTATGTGACAGCAGCCAAAGGGCTGCAAATACACGGGAGTGACATTGAGAAGGGTAGACGGGCGGGGTGGCACACAATGTGTCCGGCAGCACTTCTCCACTCACTGAGCACAGCTACACATAGAGAGCTTAGGATCCGGCCTAAGCTCTGACCGTTAATCGAAGCCCTTCTAAAAACATTTTTTTTTTTACCAGGTAAAGCCCACTGAGCTGTATAGCTCTTTTTCAACTTGGAAATAAATTATAGCTCAACGAAGTGGTTTATCACGTGGAAATTTATAGCAGCTGATTACTCAACGCAGGTTTCTAAATGTGGAGTGGAAAACTTGAGGACCTGGAGAAAAATTCATGGGGAGAACGTGCAATTCATGGGGAGAACGTGCAATATTCCAAATTTATAGGCGTCAGGCTCGGGATCGAATCCACTACCTCCTGTATACCAAGCGAGGTAGTTAATATCTTTCCACTGCGGCACCCCCCCCCCCTCTGCACTACCGACAGACATCAACGAGTGCTTGAACAGAAATGGAAACTGTAGCGACATCTGCGTGAATGATCAGGGCGGCTACCACTGCGCCTGCCCGGTTGGGTACACGCTGGACCCCATCAATCATGCGTCCTGCTTTGGTAAGCGAAGCCCTGCGGCAGGGACCCCCAAATCTGACTTGGTGACGCAAAGTCGACCTTGACTTTATGTTTCCTCTACACGTTTCAAAAACATAATTTTTTTTTATGAGCAGAGCAGGTACCTGGTATGGTTGCCGTCTGTCCATGTTTTTTCCAGGATCCGTAGTCATCTTTTTGAAGTAGTCTTACTGCAGAACCAACCTGCAAGTTTTCCGGGACAAGTGAATGTTTTGTCAAGACAATGCATTGGCATGGTGTTTTCCCATCTTCTGGTTTTGTGAGCTATCATTCAATGCCGAGATATGTCTTGAATTTTTTTGTACCTTAAAAGTGGCAACCATCGTACCAGGTAATACGTGTATTTGCCAACGCGCGTGGGGAACAAATGTCGATTGATTAACGTTGAATGCGGGACCCATGAAATGGAAAAGGTCTGGCTTATGTTGTATGCTCATTACACAAGGCTCGGTGAAAACGCATTTCCAGTCAAGCTTGCTTCCACCATCTGTTCTGTGTTACAGTAAAATGTGATGCTGTGTATAGCTGGTGATGAAAAAAGTTAAGAATTGTGTTCGCTCAAATGGGTGTATTTGTGCATGTATCTTGTGTATGTGTTTATATACCTAATTATGTATGCAAGCAGGCTCGGAAGTTATGTATTGTAATTGTTTTTGGTTAAAACTGGTCGAACTCCCTTGCGAACTGAGTGGTATCAACTCACCCCAAACTACCTTCTGGATCTGGACTTGTGTACCGTAATGTCCAGTACCGTATATCAATAGAATCAAAAGTAAGCGGCTACTTATGCATAATACGGGTTTTGCTGCAAATGTGTTTCCATCACGATCATAATCACTATTAATATTCTCAATTATTTATTCCTCCTACTAAAGACATAAACGAGTGCATGGTGAACAAAGCGAACTGCTCGCAGAACTGTCAGAATACAGAGGGCAGCTTCGCCTGCACCTGCTGGTCGGGCTACACCATGAACACCACCACCAAGACGTGTGTCGGTAAGCAGTCCTTCCAACGCGCTCCGAGCCGCCCCACAGTTTCCACAAAACGCAAACGTCTCACCCGCACCCATGAACGCATCCGTCTTTTAAGATCCTCGCCCCTCTCCATCTCTCCTGTCTTATCTCATTGTACCTCTCGACACATACACACACTCTGCTCCAGCAACAAAAGCTTTCTGCTGAGGCCCTCGGTCAACCTTCAGTCAGTGGGACATCGCTCATTCTCCTCTGCTGCTCCCACATTCTGGAACTCCTTTAGCCATCAGTGCTGTTAATTTCCCCTTGAAGTCCAGGATCACAACCTTTTTCCATTCTGCCTTTGATGGACTGCCCCTCTCTGAAACAAGTATACCCACTGTTTCTGTACAGCAGTACAGAAGTAGTCGCATTCAGATGCTATATCAATTCAAATTGTATGATATTCTGTTATTTGTTGCAGAGAGCAAAATTGTTCATGGACAAAAGGGCTTACATTGTGAACCATCGCTTTTGTGACTTAGGAAAATGATTTCATTCTCAGTAAAGTTGCTTGGGTCAACACTTGGGTTTGTTTCAATCAAAACTAGTTTTCAGTATTTCTTGTTGATGTCTGTGTGTTTGTGTTTATCTTAGACATAAATGAATGCCTAAACAATCCATGTGGAAGTAGTGGATCATGCTCGAACATTGATGGATCTTACGTCTGCAACTGCTTAAGAGGCTTTCAGCTGAACTCTGCAAGGATCTGTGAAAGTATGACATACAACATGTATACATAACACTCTTCTGAATTCTAATCGAATCCGCTGTGTCCTTAACCACGTATAAAATGAGTAATTCGAATTGCAACCGACTGTTTACAATTGAAACATGCGTTGCTGAATTTCCGATTATTTTGTGCCGTCATAAATGTACATGAACCATTACGCATGCTTGACAAAGTAACCAAAGCACTCAACAATGCAGCAATGTGTAACTTCAACATAATTATCAACATATACCATATATCGGTGAAAATAAATTAACTTGACTGTCATTATAACAGAGAATACATGAACAAAGATTTACGCTCCGTTTGTTTTTCAGACATTAATGAATGTTTGACGAGTGCCTGTGGCCCCAACGCAATCTGCACTGACCTCATCGGGTCATTCACCTGCCAGTGCCAACCCGGATACTCCTCAAATGGAACAATGTGCCTCGGTAAGATCACCGTCAGCCCACAATCCACTTGTGCTTTCCGTAACATTTGAATACAATTCAACTTTGACTTAACGGGGGGGGGGGGGGGGGGGTGCTTCACTCTCTGCTCGTAAAACAGATTTACGGTTGTTGAGCATGCAACGTTTGATGCTTTTTACTGCATTCATTACGCCTTGTAGACATCAACGAGTGCGCCAACACTGCCAGTCCCATGTGCCCCATCGGAACGTGCGAAAACCTCCCCGGATCTTATCGCTGCAACTGCCCCTCCGGTTACACCGCAGCCAACAACACCTGCAGAGGTTGGTGATGGAGCCCCTTTTTTATTTTATTGACATTCACGTCTGCAGACACCAACAGTGGCTGAATATATGAATAGGGTTTTTCCCCTTTTCTCTGGCAACAAAACTGACACCTTTTGCCAGAGAAAATGGGAAAAACCCGATTAGTATATTTTGGTACTGGCAAAGGAGGCCTCATGAAGTGGCTGAGTAGTTTTTAAATGTAAATGTGTGATTTTTTTTCAGCCATGTGCTCTTCTCACTGTGACATTAGGTAGTTGTAGGTATCACTATTCTTTGTTTTCGAATTCCTCATGAGGTGTCGGGAATCTTGGGAATGACGTTTGATCGCTCGTCTGTGGGTTCACTCGTTTGGCCAGGAAGGACCTCACGCATTTTTTTTTTGCTCACATTTCATGTTGCTTTGGTTGCAGATGTGAACGAGTGCCTGATATCCGCCTGTGGATCCAACTCGATCTGCCAAAACACTCCTGGCTCCTACACCTGTCTGTGCAACAATGGCTTCACGAGCGTATCGGGCGTCTGCCAAGGTGAGGAGGCCACGTAACGCAGCAAGCAGACAGGGCCCCAATTGCGGCTTGTTGCTGAATGTTCGTGTCACCAATAATGGGGCAAATTGGCAAGCGATGAGTTGCGTGCCATTTTGTCAGAATGTGAATCAAGCACACAGCATGTAACATAGTGTAAGTGGTCAAACACATTTTGTCTTACAACTTTTCTTAATTGTTGTTAATCTTCTCTCCTTTCTGCTCCTCCGATTGGCACGGGTTGGCTACATGCGGTGCGAAAGAAGTTCAACATACCGAAGTCAATTTACGCGAAACTGAATGTTAATTCCTAAATGTATATGTATATGAGTCGCATCCTTTTTTGTATATGTACGAATAAAAACAACATTTGTCATTTAACACTGCCTTGCAACAGATACCTGAATAATATTCTAACATTTTTGGCAATGGTTCTTCCTTCTGTAATATGTACCGTAATATACCTATATGTATTGCCTGCCGCTCTCTTTGATTTTTCTTGATATATATGAAACACTCAAAACAAACATGATGTTACGTTTGTGCACCGCTTCAACAGACATCAACGAATGCCTAGCGAATCCCTGCGCAGCTCCAGCGTCGTGCATCAACACCGCAGGTGGCTTCCAGTGCAACTGCCCCCTAGATTACCAGCTCAATGGAAACATTTGTGAAGGTCAGTAGCAAGCACTAACCCACTCAAGCTACAACAAAAGTTACATTTCACATTGATCTCTTAGAACTATTTTTCGGTTCATTGTATTTTGTACGTGTAATTTGCACGTCACTGCTTTTACTTCGTTTACCTATTCTCCATTTGGCAAGATTTTTCTTGTTTTTTAAAGTTGTGTTTTCATTGGCAGGTCCGTATTGTCCTGTCAATGGAGTGTGCAATTATCCCAATGGCTACATCGCTTACCTCAACTACAGCAACAACGCGGACGCGCACTGGAACTTCAACTACAGCGCGAGCAGCGGCATCAGTGGTAGGCGGTTCGCATCTATACACTGGTCACCGTGTATGCACACTAGGACCAAATGTGAGCTGACGTGCATAGCGATCGCTGTCGTGGTGGAGTTGACCATATTTTTCTGGGATAATCCCTTTGGACTCCACTACAAGCTGTGTCTTTTTGTGTCATGCATAAGGTGCTCCATTCGTGAACTAATGCAATGAAAATCAGGTTAATTCACAAGAATAGCATGTTCTTTTCTGCCATAACAGAGGAAGAATGTATATAACGTGACATATTGTGCAGCCTGGCCCAACTTTATTTATGCCCATGTTTTTGTTCTCCCCTATGGGCAGGTTACTAATATGCTTGAGTTTATTTTTACGGCTCATTTTGCCACTTGATTATTCACAGCAATGAGTTCACACCCACGTTGATTTCTTCTTCCGTCCGCGGGGAAAACACAGGTGTGACGCTGACTGTGGAAAAGTTCTGCACCCAGAAAAACCAGGACTATCTGGATTTGGGCCTCGGAAGCAACTACCTTGATCAGACCACGATCAAACAGTCGCTTTCAGGCAACAAGACGGCAGGCGAGACAATCTCGCTGCCGTTTATCCCCGGCACGCCGGCCTACATGCACTTCACGTCCGACCGCGACATCAACTGCACAGGCTTCAAGTTTCGCTTCACAACAGGCAAGCTTTCTTTTGAAGATGATTGTAAAATTCGTACGTAAAGCAACATAGTGCATGAATGCATTTTTTCTTGTAGAAGAGTTTGCAACGTGCGCTGTTTTGAACAAATCATTGCTCCTTGACAGCCGCGTATTCCAGGTAAAATGTTTGTAAAATTGGAAGCTAGCACGCATATGAATGCAAGCCGTGAAGTCGCTTACATTATTTTAGGTGTAACAGTACCACAGCAGTTCCAGAATTGCGCTATGAACCTAGCAAACCTGAGTTTGATTCCCGACCTCGAGTAACATCGGTAGCGAGTGATGTGTGAACCTGTCCTGGGCTCCCCTTCACCAAACCCACAAAGACCAACGTGGTGAAGTATTGTAGAAAAAAAATCCCCGTGACTAAAAGGCACGGATCGACCTTCATCCAGTGGTGGATTAACAAAGGTCTGCAAATTATCATTATTTTATTATAAATGTGATATATTTCAGGGTTTACAGTAGCTAATAGAGAATCTTCATTGGCTAATGAAAGATAATACATAAGAATAGGGTAAAACCTATTCTTATATTTTGATACTGGCAAGGGAGGTCCCAAAGACAATGCAGCCGGTATATATTTTAAATGTGTCAAAGAAATTAAACTTTTCATCTTCATGCGCACATGTATTGCAGCGGTCAACCAGTGCACAGTACCTGGCCAGAAACTCTGCAGTGAAAATGCGGTGTGCATCAGCACGCTGGGGACATCGGCCTACACGTGCCAGTGCAAGGCTGGCTACGCAGGAAATGGCACCGTCTGCACGGGTATGCGGTCCAGCTGCCGTGAAGGCACTGACATCACTACAGTCACTTCAGTCACTCGCTCTTATCCGTAGCAATTCGAGGGAGCTACTATTTATGGCTCCCAATATCCACATTTTATGATGATACTTTTTAATGGCGTCGTTTATGCAAATTGTATATCACAATCGCCGAGAAACCAAAGACAAGGCAGCCAGGTGGTGAGCCGGTGCCAATAATTGACCAAGCTCTGCCATCCGCTAAATATAAAGGTGTTTCAGCCCATTGGGTATCAGGCCCATGTAGCATCACCTAGTGCTGCACAGGGGCAGCTGTCATTGGGGGTCCACTAGGTTACAAAAAGAGAAATCACAGGTGGGCATATAAGGTGCTTTGAAATGCTGGGTCATTTAAGTTCCCAATAAATACGAATCGTAATCGGGTAAATTACTGCCGAGTGTTTTGGCAGCAGGATTTAAATGTTAGATCGAGATAATGTGTGTAAACCCCTTATCTGCAAGCCAATAACGTCCATGTTGGAGGTAGTACAGCAAATATAATTTGCAGGCTGTCTGTACGTGGACATTTACTGGGCTTACTCTGAGCACACTACATTTGCGTTCATTGCTAAAACGCTTGGAAATGATTTTGACAAACTTTCCAGAGCAGGAGCCCCCTGATACGAGTCTCTAAGGCCCAGTGAGGCCAACCTGTGAAAGTTAAATTGTTAAAGGTGCAGCCCTGCAATTCCTTGCTCACGCCACGAGAGGGAGCGCTCTGCTTCAGCAGACACTGAGCATGGACACTTTGTTCGTACATGTCAATCTGTGAGGCCAATGCAGGCCGAGTCTGTATAAAAATTAACCCGTAAAAACAAAGTTTTTCACTATAAATCCTTTATATGCGTGGCATCGGTTTTATTTTATTATTCATTTCTGTTTTTCTTGAGTAAGAGTTTAATTTTTATCACATTGGTATTTTAAATTAAATATGAAAAAAAAAAATCCTAAAAAGTGGAAAAGTTTGGAAAAAAATTTCACGAAAATAAATTGTCACGCACAACGAGTCTGTGTGCAAAATGTCAGCTCGATTGGATCACTAATATAAAGGATTTAAATAAAAAACGACCGAAAGATTTGCACGGTCGTAAGCGCGCAAGCAAGCAAGTGAACTTAATATAAAGGATTTAAATAGTCACAGAGTGTGGGCCCATACAGAGTGCGCGTGTGTCCCCTTGCCCCTATTTGAATTTCCTCAGACGTGGATGAGTGCCTGACTCTGAACAGGTGCGGAGCTAACCAGGTGTGCAGCAACAATGTCGGCTCCTACAGTTGCATCTGCATCGCAGGATTCAACACAGTTGGAGGCACCTGCCAGGGTAAATCCACCCACACACCAGAGATGAGGAAGGCAAAGAAGCTAACCAACCCCCACCTCCACCCCCCCTCCCCCACAAATATGAATCAAATTAATTTTCAGAATTTGGGAGTGTGATTAAAATTAAGAGTTTATAAATTGTTGTCTTGTTTTGTTTCTGTGTCAATTTGCTGGTTCCCCCACCCCTCCCCATATCCCATTTGTGCAGCTTTGTTTTCTGCATTATCTAGCCACATTCACCAGCCACGTGCCATGGGCATAATTTCCATGCATTTTAAGTCCCCTGCGACCACCATCACCCTTTGTTGCATGCATCGTGAGCATAGGGATCGATGATTTTCTTCCGCCATCGCTCACGTGTTGTTGTTGCGCTGCGGCGTTGGTGGCTGTGTGCAGACGTGGATGAATGCGTAAGAAAGCCTTGCCCAGTGAACACCGTATGCCTCAACACGTTCGGCAGCTACACCTGCCAGTGTGCCGCAGGCTACATCTACCTGAACAACACATGCACCGGTGAGGATACCAATACAACGGCGATTTGTAATTACTGCACATGGCATCGTAATTCAACTTTGTTTTTACAAGACGCTGCGGTATGCGTGCATAGCTTTCAAATTCGACGTGATAATACTGGCAATGGGAAGCGGTCAGCGAGACTACGCTGCTGACCTGGCCTCTGAATGTGCTTCTCTCTCTCGTTGCAGACCTCAACGAATGCAGCAGCGTGAACCTCTTCTCTTGCCCACCGAACTCGAAATGCGTGAATGCAATCGGCTCCTACAGCTGCCAGTGCACGCCTGGCTACCAGGACGTGAAGGGCGCGTGCCAAGGTGAATGCCTCCTCTGCACTATTCAAGCAGCAGCAGCTAGCGGCGGATATTAAGAGTGTGAATGTGTGAATAATGTCACTGACACTTGTCTATGCAATGAAACCACATCATCGGGCATTAATTGTGTTGATGGGTAATTTTACATCGGCTCAACACTTCTGTGAATGTTTCTCTTGACTGTGTTCTTGTCCTGTTTCACACGAAGGCAATAGTTGATGTGTCATTGGATGTACAACACACCCTAACCTGCATGTATACATCAAAATGTATCTGCTCATGGTGTCTCCTGAAAAAACACTGTTGAAGAAGGCCAGGGGAAGCTATCTCAACTATCCTTCCCTAGTTATTGCTCAGAAACTCTAGCTGTATTGAGGTGAAGAGATAGAGAGAGTGGGATTGGCTGAGATGGATAGAACTTGTGGCCATGAACCTGTCTTTGGGTAGAATGTGTGTTTGATGTCGGAGGCGTGCCCCTGCTGTTTGTATCCTGAGCTGCTCCTGTTACTGAATGCAATCGGTGACGACAGCAACAAACTTGCAATCACTTCTCGCCCATGCCCGTGTACCCCCCCCCCCCCCAAAACACAGATGTGGATGAGTGCCTTCGCGACAACGGGGGCTGCCAGCATATCTGCTTCAACAATGTGGGCAGCTACCGCTGCGGATGCCGCCCCGGTTACCTGAGCGTCGGGCTCAACGGCTACATGTGCCTCGGTGAGTGCCGGAGCTTCGCGCTCCCGTCTGCAAACGCGACACCTGCGGCACAAGCTGCGGTGTGAACGTAACCATTGCTGGGGCAAGCAGGCGCTTGCCCAGCCGCAGTTTTTGATGAATGTTTAGTTCATGGTTTCCACGGTAAGTTTGTTTACTTTTGTCCCCCACCCAGTTACTTAATGTTTTCTTTTTGGAGAAAATGTAAATGGAGTTGTTGTGTTTTCTCCGCCAAAAATTATCTGATTGTGGGTTTTTTAGGTTTTGATGTCAGGTGCTTTTTGAGATGCCGTGTAATTTAATCGCCTATAAATGAAAATCTGTTTATTTTTTATTTTTTGGATGAAAATAACCCTTTGAGTGGAACATACAATGCATTGATCACTGTAAGTAAGCACGTTTTTTGTGGTCATTGCCAAAAAACTCGGGGTTCCCTGGGTGATTTTCTGGGCGATGCTCATGATGGGCACATGTTGTCCATATTTCCACAGACATTGATGAGTGCCAGAACCCAACGCTGAACAACTGTAATCAGAACGCCATCTGTACCAACACACGTGGGTCCTTCAAGTGTGACTGCAAACCCTACTTCAAAGGGGATGGCATCACTTGCAATGGTATGTCACACGTGAAACGGAATCCACCACCACCATCCCTGCACACATGAAAACGTCGTTTCATCTTAATAAGTCTGATATACATGTCTCCCTAATCAAGAAAGGTGGATAAATTATTTTGCTCTGAATTGCAGTTGCAATTAATTGAAATACTTTGCCAAACTAAAAAGCCATGTCACGTTTACACTTTTGATTACCCGCGTTTATTAAAATATCTGAAATGTACGTCCAAAATGGTGAAATGGCCCAGCAGTTTTTTTCACGTGCTGTGTATCGCTCTTCCATCCTAGGCTGCTACTGCCCTTCCCAGGACCTTGCCACAAACAGTCTCGAAGTGCCTGCGAAGCATGCATGCCCCTGCTTTACGGGCTACATCACGAGCCCAAACTACCCTGGAAACTATTCCCTCAACAGCAACTCATACTGGTTCTTCGACAGTGCACAGTTCAACAATGACTCCGTTGCTTTCAATGGTGAGTGAGGCTTAAACAAACATTTTCAAAGCATTTTTTTCCCAATTATAGCGTTTGTGAAAGTGTGCTGCTAGCTTTTACTCTACACTGTGAATCTCGTGACCTGAGTTTGATTCCCAGCCACAGCTAAAACTATTGATATCTGAACCAGTTCTTGGGTCTCCCCCTCTTCACCACCCTGCATTGACCAGCCTGACAAAGCACGGTCAAACAACCCTAAAGACCAACACGACTACATTGGCGTGGAAACTTTTCACCTGGAAGGGAATTGACATTGGGCCGTACATTGTGATTGTAATTATTTTCGCATATGCCCACCACAGGACTGAGCTTCAAAATTTGGAACATGTCGTTGGAGAAGACGGACGACTACGTGGACTACGGCTGCGGCATGGATCCACCGCAGTTGCGCCAGGGCAGGCTCACGGGGGAGAAGATTGACCTCAGCTCCTTCGTCTTCTACTCCCTCAACTGCAGCAGCACCAGCACCTGGGTCCAGTTCCACTCGGACGCCAATGAGCCCCGCACCGGCTTCAACATCGAGTTTGAGTACAGTGAGTCGCTGCCCGCTCGAGCATGCCACATTCACGGCCGTAGGTTCCTCTTGGTGCCGTTGGTCAAGTTGATTTGCCTCACTGTGACATTGGCAGATGCAGATACCTGATGTACAAAAGGAAAAATTAGAAACTCTCCAATGTGCGACTGCGATTGTCCAGAACGGACCGTACAACATGCAACTATGCAAAATGCCCAACCCACAAGGTGATAGTTTGGCTTGACCATCTGAAAGTGAAATTGTAGTTGTTGCTCTGTATGTATGTCGAACTTATTTCACACCGTACGAAGTCAAACTTGCTAATTGCAGGTGCTCTGCATCGACATCAGCCATACGAAAGAAGGAGACTGACATTTCAATCTGCCTCTCTGTCTGTGCTATTTTCCCTCTCTCCCTCTCCAGTTATCAACCCCTGCAAAAACAGCTGCGACCCCAACGCCATCTGCGACATCAGCAACCCTCGGGCCCCACGCTGCGTCTGCCCCAGTGGATGGGTGGGCACTGGGAAAAAATGCTATGGTGGGTATTGCTACGATTATTTTCACAACCTTCATTTACCTGTGGTCAGCAAGTCAGTGCATGTAAAAGGAAGGGGCTCTGAAGCCTGAACACTGCCTCCGTGTTTGTTGTGCGCGTGACAGATGTGAACGAATGCCTAAACCCTTGCACCTGCCCCGCATCCACAACGTGCATGGACTTGGATGGTGGATTCAAATGCATCTGCCCTCCCGGTTACGTCTTCTCCAACAACGTGTGTGTGGGTAAGTGAACGCAAAACATCAAATATTTTCCAAGAAAGTGTGGCTTTCTGAGAGTAGATAGCTCAAGCGGAAAGAAACAGTCCATTGTGAAGCAAATGTTCTCGTCAGTCTGAGGAGAGCTGATATAGTGGGTTTTTTTCAAGCTACCAAAAGTGCACGGGTCATAGGCTACATACGGTGCCAAAGAAGTTCAAGATACATCCATATATGTTGACTACGTACGGTGCAAAATAAGTTCCACATCCATAACAAGGAGACTCCGCATTTGTCTGCGTCCTCATTAAGTAACATTTTCTCACGGGTTTATCCACAGAGGACACCTGCCCTTTCACGGAGATCCTGAACGAGAAGAACTACACGGTCACGTTCTGTAACCGATCGTCGGGCTTCTTGCGGTCCCCGCGATGGCCCGGCGAATACCGGCCTGAGGAGAACGTGGCCTGGTTTTTCAACCTCACCAACTACTCGGGTACGATGAGATCACGTCTTCGGCGACACTTGGACCGTTGTTGTTGTTGTTTCCTCCATCCATATTTGAGGACTCGGCCCAACACACTGACTGTTTAAACTTCTCCATTCTGTGTTCAACCACCACGCTGCAGGTCACAACAGGGTGCCACGGTGGCGAGGTGTTAAATACCTCGGCAGGTATACAGGAGGTCGTGGGTTCGATCCTGACCCTGACGTCTGTATATTTGGAGTTTGCATGTTCTCCCCGTGGTCGCGTGGATTTTTGCATGCACATTTAGAAACATGTGTTTCGAGTGTTTGGCTGCTATAAATGTCCATGTGATAAGCCACTTCGTTGAGCTATCATTTGTGGCCAGGTCGCTTCTGAAAAAGGGCTATATAGCTCAGTGCCTTAGTTTTTAATTATCTTTCTGCTTCTTTTCTAATGCTGCTCCACTTTAAAATTTCTGCCCATTACCTGTTCTATGAAGTTTTTTATACCCTTGCTTCATTCAAGAAACGAATTTACTCGTATCGATTGCACCTTCATAATTTATGCTTTTTGCTGGCCGCTTGGCTTGTTAGGCCTTTGGGCCTGTGCTCAGGAACTTTGGTTACAAAAAACACAAAGACACAATGAGGTGGCAATTCATGGCATTGGGCTTTTTTTTACCTTAATTGAGATGTTTGTCTCTTTCCCCCCAGGCATCTCCTACAAGTTTGTCAATTTCAGCACTGAGACTAAAGAAGACTTCTTTGACATTTTCAAGACGACACAAATTAACCTCAATGACCAGGTCCTGCAGATTTCTGGAAAGACAGGTAAGGTTGCAACAGCAGTAGCCGTGTCATGATTAACAATTTGTGCTAAACCAAATATAATCATCGCCTAAAAGTGTAATTATTCTGCTTATCCACAACATGACCGACCACATGAATTACATCTGTAACTGCAGTGTAAAATGTAACAACCAACAGGGCCACAAGCGATGATATCTCCATTGTAATTTTTGTGCATTTAGTCAGGGTGAGATCATAGAATGTTGTACTCTGGAGAACACATGAAGTTGTTTCAGATGTGATCAGTCCATCATCGTTACTAATGAAGCACTATGTATCAGCCTTGTGCTACCGAGCCGCGTCTGTCGCAGCTGTGTGTATTCATGGTCGTTTCACTGCCTCGCAGGATCCCTGCAAGAAACGTACAAGCAAACCGTCTCGGACAACATTCCGGACAACTTCACTCTCACTAAAGCCAACGTCAGCGACTTAATTTGCAACAGATTCATATCCGACCGTCAGAACAATGGATACGTCAAGGTTCAGTTCATGAAAGGTAGAGAAGGGTGGCTCACCTACATCATAAGCTATGAATGCATTCATCATCATCATCAATACATGTAAAACCTGCTCACAACTTTGTCAAACTACTTTGCTAATCTCGCCGAGGAGATCATAAACTATCACAGCGGCTTTTGGCTAGCCATCGCGCACTTTCAGATCCACTTCTGCGACCGTCTGGAACGCTCTTCCTTCCGATGTTAAGAAGCCGGTGGAGCTATGCACTTTTAAATATAGATTGAAAACTAATTTCTTTAGAACTGTTCTTTGTGTTTAGTATGTTACCCTTCCCCTACACCTTCGATTATCGCGGCTGGCTACGTACGGTGCAAAATAAGTTCTACATTCATACATACATTAACATTGGTCGACGCATGCTTACGACATGACTGGGCAATTAATCTGCATTGTTTCCATCTCTCCAGTCGGGAACAACTGTGCAAGCAACCCCTGCCAGCACAACGCGAAGTGCACAGAGAACGACAATGGCTTCAGCTGCTCCTGTGTGACCGGCTACACGGGCACCTACTGTGAAGAAGGTGACGCATCTCACCGCACGCTCACTTGAACCCAGCGCTCTAGACGTGCCATGTAACCAGGAGATTTATGCATTAAAAATGTTTTTATTACATACCATATTTTTTTTTTACGAAATACAACTCTGTGAAACTCGAAATTCCATATTCACAGCAACAACAATAGTCCACCATCTTCATAAACTTAATTAGAGATTAATGACCAATACATTTAAGTAAGGTTTTTAGTTTCTTGTTGTATTAACAATCCCATTTTGTCAACATTGGAGAATATATTACTCAAAGACCCAAAAACCTTACCTTGCAGCATTGTTTGAACCTCAATAACATCGCACAACCTCCAAACTGCAAGGACATCGATCTCCATGGAGCCATTCATTCATTAACTTGTTTTGCCTCGCCACTGCCGCTCCTGCTGTGTTCGCAGAGGTGACCCAGGTGTTGAGGTTGGAGTGCACCGTCAACTGCCGCTCGGTGACCGTCACGTGGGCCCTCAACTCGCGCGGGGCGCCCGTTCAGGGGCTCCTCTTCCGCCAGGGGCTCACGAGCGGCCAGACCGTGGTAACCAGTCACGTGCCCTACCAGCTGACGAGCCGCGTGGTGGACAACCTGGAGCCCTTCACGGAGTACGTCATCGACATTCTGCCCGTTGTCTACACGGGCCAGAGCAAAGGCAGCAGCTGCTTCGTGACCACCCTCTGCTACTCCGGTAAGGGGCATGACCACTCGAAAGGGCTCCATGTAACAAAGGCAAAGATTCCATGTTTTGCCACGACGGACTTTTGGGGCAAGTGCTGTTTGCGAGCACCTAATGAAGGCCGGAACGGCACACGACGGGGGTGGGTGGCCAGCACCACTCTCAGTCACCTTTGTCTTCCCAGTGGCGATGTTTACACTTCACACCAGGTACTCGCTTGAGTCAACTAGGACCCGTACTCCACGTAGTATAATAAGAGCAATTTCCTGGCCTTTGTCAATCCACTGCTGGATGAAGGCCTCCCCATGCCGCGTCGGTCATGTAGGGTTTGTTTGGCCACGCTTGTTCACGCATTGCACTGTGAACCCGGTGACCTGAGTTGGATTTCCGGCTATCATCAGTAGTGAGTGATATAAGGACCGGTCCTGGGGCACCCCTTCACCCACCTGCACTGACCAGCATGGCCAAGCGCATGCTTAAACACTCCCCCCACTCCTCCCAACCGTGACGGGACTGCACGAGAAGGCTTTCATCCATCAGTGGGTTGACAGAGAGGTGAAAAGGGCCGACTGGCACAGCCCTTGCGGGGACAATTTAAAGCTCGTGCCTCTGTTTCCCTTCCGTGTGCTCTCTGCGTCTCCAGACTGCCTAAAGTTTCAGACGGGGCTGCAGGCGGTGGCGCTCACCGCCTCCTCCGTGGAGCTGCAGTGGAGCCCCACTCAGGAGACACCAGCTGCATTCAAGGCCGTCTACTACACGGAGCCCTACAACTCGCTTGAAGTGAACAGCATGCCCGTCCAGCGAACATCCACCAAACTCCCGCTCACCAGTAAGCATGCTCGCCTTCGCTTTGTGCCTTGTCTTGCCACTTATCGGCCGTCCTTGGATTTTTCGTCCGTTGCTTTTCTGGGGGTTGTGATTCACACCGAGGTGTCGTGTTTCCAAGTACTGGAAAGAAAATGCCGAAGTGCATGTTTTTGTGCGTACAATGTTTTGTAAATTCTGACCTGTTTTCCGTTTTGCAGATTTGAAACCGGGTTCAAGTTACCGCGTCTGCTTCAGGCTGGTGACTTCCGACAATAGTTGCACGATAAACGACGGAATCTCGTTCATGACACGGCCAGGTACAGTACAACATCCCGGTACCTTAGGTCATGTTCAACTTCACTCTGACTTTCAGCGTTTTGGTACACAGTGAAAACACATCAGGGAGATATACAACAGAACTTGAAAAACACACATGGTAACCTTCAACGAAATGTTATGTTTTTTTTCAAATCCACCAACACGAAATAAAATCTGTAAATCACGAGAAAATCCAACGGAACAATGAGTGCTCAGCAGCAAAACGAAAAGTTTCAACAACACACAGAGAGGAGAACACATCGTCAGAAAACTGAAATCCACCTCACTCATCGAAACTCATGATGTTTCGTTGGTTTATTCCCCACCTAACAGACCCGGCATCTGCCATCGGCAACTTCTCCGCGGTGAGCATCAACCCGAATGGGGGGACCTTCTCGTGGGACTCCAACGCCCCGGCTCCTCTCAAAGTCACCGGATTCGACCTCGTCGGGAACTGCAGCACAGCCGCTGGCGACCAGGTCATCCGCACGGTGCATCTGTCGGCCAGCGATCGCAACGGCACGTTGACGAGTAAGTCACCCCGCTCACCCCCAAAGAGGGCTTCGCGAGCGCATCGGTCGCAGCGGTTGCTTTGATAGTTCGGGAACATCTGTGAAAAAGAGCTTTGGAGCAGATCGGATTCCTCCAGTATATATACTTATTCGGATTCTGATTCTGAACACAGCAGCCAGTTGCTGTTAGCTCACAGCTGCACACAATGCTCATTGCTCGGCATGCAATGGTGTATCAGTTCATCGATTGTTTGTGTGAAATTAATTTATTGAAGATATATTCCTGTTATTTGCTAATGTTACATTTAAGCTAATGGAGTGAGCTATATTGTGCGAACGAAACAAACGAAGACAAGAAACAATACAAACGGGATGGTAAAAATGAGATGTAAAATAATGTATATTTTTTATCGAATTGTGACCTTGTATTTTCATAATTCATAAAATTGCCCAGGGGGTGAACTGAGATGTGCCTACATACCACAACAGGTTGATATCCTCAAGTAATTGAGGCCGCTTTTCCCCGTGATGAGTGAGAAATTATGTTGCACAATGTGGCCATCTTACAAACCTGCCAGCGACAGCAGTAGATGGAGACAGCTTGCTGAAGCTTGCTGATGGATTAAAATATCTTCAACATGTGTTGAATGTGGTAACCCCCGATGGGAGTTCATTGTTCCAGATGTGTGCACTCACACAATGTTGTAAAAATCGTTCACATTCAAGCAAACTGTTGCACATAACAGGGCAAAGTGCATGCGATAACCCTGTTCACACCCATCTGTTAATCCCGTCTATTTGTTGTCTGCAGACTTCCCTTCGTTGTCCAACTGCAAGGCTGTGCTCATCGTGAACACAAGTAAAGATGGGTTGGCCTCAAGCCCACCCATTGATTTCACCACCAGCATCGGTAAGCAACCACGTTGGCGAGCGGTGCGGTCTCGTGCAACCAGAAGAGTACAACGGAAAGCAAGTGTGGATTGTGTAAAAGTTGTAAACGTTCAGTTTGGCAAAACAGCGTGGACGGATTTGTCGTATCGAGCCACGCTCTATGGCCCATGTCTTTCTCTCTGCAGGGGCGGCGAACGTGCGCGCAGTGTCGGTGAGCAACATCACCGAGACCTCGGCCATCGTGTCCTGGCAGTCATTGACTCCCAACGTTCCGGGAAAGTTCTCCACGGTGTACTACACGCAGATCGCCAACAACACGCCTGTCGGAATGCTGATGAGCACGCACACCAACGGGACGACAGTCGACCTCCTGGGCCTGAAACCCGGGGTGGTGTACAACGTCAGCATCGTCGAGTCCATCTATGAGACGCGCAGCAGCAACTCCACCCCCTACTCCTTCCGCACCGTGCCCGAGCCCGGTACAACAACCGCTCCCTACTCGCGTGGTGTCAGAAACGCTCGGCCGTTTTACTCCGAATGAAAATAATGCAATTTGTGCGCACGTTTGTGTGACTTTCTAAGGGTTTGTTGCTAAAGTATCAACGAATGAGTAATTGTTCATAAGTCAACACCGCTCATCTTGAAACTTCTTTACAAATTACATTTCTATCAGGGCCCATTGTTTTGTAGTGCAGTCTCCAAATAATATTCACTCAAGCTCTTACTATGAAGGTCCATTGCCCTGAAACATTGCCTAAATAGATGTAGTTTTGTTCCTCCTTTGAGCAGCATTGTTGAAGAATGTGTTGCGTTTTAGGCAACAAGATGGGTCTTCGGTTAATGACGCGACCTTCGATGTATGACATAATCTTCGGTGCAGAAACAGTGTCAAGATAGGTAACGAGATAGCTCCCGCCGTCACATGCTAAATTGCGTTCCTTCCCTCTCTCTACTGCCCGGCCCAGTGCTGCCGCTGCCCAGCGTTGTCGCCGTGAGCCGCCAGAGCCCCACGACGGCGCTCATCGCGTGGTCTCCGCCCATCGTGACGGATGGCGTCGACCCCGTCTACTCGCTTCACTACACCAACCTCAACTCGAGCGACCTGCCCGAGACGGTGGTGCCCCTCAACGGGACGGTTGGCGAAGTCCTGCTCAGTGGTCTCACGCCCGGCAACACCTACTCGGCTTATCTGCAGTGCCAGAAGGCACTGGGCCCACAGAAGAACACCGGCCCCATGTACTTTACCACTCAACGTAGGTTTATATTTTATTTGTCATCTACATCTTCATAAACAATTTGTATGGCCACGATTTGTGCAAATGTATTCATTTCATGATGGAATGTTACAAATAAAGTTATACTCTGGGATTATACTGGGTTTAAACAATATCGCGTCTCGTCTGGCACAGTGTTGGAAAAGTAGGCCGACACATTTTTGTTGAGGGGCTCGCTCCAGCTAATATTTGTGTTTGCTCTTCCACCAGTAATGGCATGAGAAAGCAATTGCACGACCGCGCCTTTACCAGCATTTATACAGATTGAAGCCACGCGGGTTGCAAAAGTGTGTGTGTGTGCGCACGCGTGTCCTTCGTGCAGCCGCACAGAAGGTGTCCGACGTGCAGGTGTCGAACGTGACGATGTACGCGGCGAACCTGCTGTGGGCGGCACCGGCGAACAACAGCTTGGACCCCGTGGTGTTCTACAACGTGAGCGTGTTTCCCGAGGGTTCCAGCACCCCCATCGCGGCCGTCATCCTCCCCGACAACAGCACCTCCCTGCCTCTCGTCGGTGAGGTGGACGCAAATGAACGCAAATGGGCAAAGGCACTCCGCTAGCAAGAGCCACAAAAATAAAAATAAAGTAGTGTAACGAAGCTGTAACGTGGGCGGTAGAACGGGGGCTGTCTTCAGTGCCTAGGAAGTAACGGCTTAATTCTGGCATGGAAAATTGTGTTTCACGAGCGGGGTGTTGTATTTGACTTTCATGTTACGTCTTGGCTCCTCGAGATGTACTGCTTGGGAGGAGCGGTATAAATAGCAAACGACGATGGTGGCCATTCATGTTTTACGGATTGTTTTTATGATTTACCAATGCAGATTGTTCAGGTAGACCCAGTCGATAAACGCCTGTGTGTGTATGTATTCGAGCTTGTCTCTTGAACACAGAGTCGGTTGCTCGTTAGAGCATGGATGTACAACGGTGCGTGCAGGATATAACACAACTAATTTTATTTTGTTTTTAAACAGGTCTGGTGCCATCCACCAATTACATTGCTTACGTCACAGCAGTGACAAAAGCCGGCTACGTGTATTCAAGCGACCCAATGCCTTTTACAACGGACAGCGGTGAGTCATGCTACGTAGCCATGCCATGAGGACAGTGCTGCATTATCCATCGTTGTGCTGTACTATCTATGATGAGGTCCTCGTACAGCAGTGGATCGACAACACGAGAGTTGTATTAACTCGTATATCTAAAATGTACGCATCAAATATCATTGGCTTTGACAATGCTTGCGATTTAACATCCCATGAGGGAGTTTCTATTAGGGTGAGCAATGAAGATGAACAGCATACGGTGCAATAGGTGTTGAGGATCATGAGCATAATGCGTGACGAAGAATACAAAATTATCAAATTAGGCAATGAATTATTTTAATATCGCAGTGTCTAGAGGCGTACAACAATGGATAAACCAGTGTGTCAAAAGCATTGATATGTAGCCGCTTGTCCATTCGGAACATGAGTGCATGTAACAATCCACCTCTTAGATATCCGGTTAAATTCCATCATTCGGGATCACGCTTTGATTCACAATCCTAAATGTAACAGCGCATAATTTGCACAATATGCATACATCGTGAAAAAATCAATTCTCACGCGCACGATTTTATTTACGTGTCATGAGTGAAAGAATTTATATTGAATTGATTTAGTGATGCATTGTCACATGTCTAATAAAACCTACCAGTTTCTGAATGAACAAGATTGTCTCCTACATGTAAAGGTTATTCATTCAGCACTGCAATGGCTCCAAATTAATCGTTGTTTCTGCTCCACTTTGTTTTTTTTTGCAGAAATTCAACTGGTGCAAGAGACAAGCTCGCCGACGAATGCGTTCATCGACTGGGACTACAAGAACCAGGCCGATAACATCACGTCCTGGCAGGTGCAGGTTATCGATGACCTCACCAAGCAGACGACTAATTTCACACGGTCATCCTCCGATCTCAACCTTCAGGACCTGCTGCCCGGCACCAACTACACAATTATCGTCACCCCCATCACCGCCGCGGGCCCGAAACCCTCGCGCACGCTGCATTTGACAACCCAGCCCGGTCAGTTCCGCTCCTGTCGCTCACATAAAAGCGCACGTCAAACCTTGGCGGCCATGAGAAATGTATACTTGACTTAAAGCTTTCGTGACTGCAGGAATTCATATTATTTGGGTCTTTCGGTAAAGTCACGTAGGTAGAACAATAAAATAATAGAAATAAAAATAAAGTGAATAAAAAATAATAAAAATATTATGACGTTTCGATCGCAACACAAGCAATCGTTATCAGGAGATGCAATCTTCCCCCTTTTGATGACGATTGCTTGTGTTGCGATCGAAACGTCGTGATATTTTTTTTATATTTGTTATATATTTTTTTCACTTTATTTTAATTTTTATTATTTTATTGTTCTATCTACGTGACCTTACCGAAAGACCCAAAGAATATAAATGTATACTTGATTTAAAAATGTTGTTGCTGGTGTTACATTGTTGTGTACGTATGTATTTCATTGCAGATCCTCTGAATCTGCCATCCAGAATAAGGAACTTGAATAAAATTGAGAGTGAAATTGATGCAATCTTCCTTGCTTGGGACAAGCCTGAAAGGAGTGGAAATAACTTGACTTACAAGGTAGATCCTCCTGCACCCGCCAAATCTGCCAGGGCTGACTCCTTACCTTCAGCTGAAGTGGTCACCACTTGGGTTTTCTGACGGCACTAGGATTCCATGAATAATGCGCAAAACTCGGTTAATTGTATAAGGCAATCTATCACCGTTTCTTTTTATGTTCGTGCTTGGTCATAAAAATCGGGAAAACATTATGAGCAGCTAGGGACTCCATAAATATGTCCTGCCCCTGCACTTGTTATACCAGTGCCTCCGTATAAAACAATTGCACCCCCTTATAGAGAAAGTAATTTTTTTAAATCAATATCATTGAGAGATTAGTAAAGTTTTTTTCCCCTCATGAAGTCCTGTGTTCGCTTGATGACATTGATGTTTTGTTGTTTTCTCTGACATGATTAGTCTGTTATTTTTTCAAACGTGACAGAAATATTATTATTCTAAATATATAATTAACCAAATCTACTCGCTTGATCGAGTAAATGTGTAATTGCTGTGAGCTTTTGTCTTAATTTTACAAATTGTACATACTCCTGGTAAGTCGAAATCATTTTTAAGAGAACGCCGTTAGGTATAAATTGTGCTCCTCGAATGTCACAACGATGTTCAAGGGCCAAATGATAATTTAGCTGCTACTTGTCGGTCAAGATTCTGGAGGGACAGAGCTGCTCCTGCTACAACCTCTGGTCCTCCAAGCAACCCTTAAGGTTGAGAAGCAAAATTACAATGCCACATGTGTTGCGTTTCTATCCTAAAGGTCCGAGTGGAATCGTTCAGTGACGTTCGGGAGAGCGTGACCGCGAGCAACTTCATCACGCTCTCGGGCCTGCTCGACGGCGTGGCTTACAACATCAGCGTAGTTCCGGTGGACGACAATGGGACAGGGTTCCCGAATACATTCTCCTACAGCAAGCCCGCGAAGAACAAGAGTGACGTCCTGGACGGTCAGTGCTCAAACGGACAGAGCACCCCCCCCCCCCCCTGCACACTCCACGGCTCATTCGAGCCCGAATATTAAAATTGGCAGAGTTTAATTGGCGGTTCTCTATGATGGACGTGCAAAGATGCACTGATCGATTCGGTGCCTAAAATGGGTTTTTGCTCTCACGATACAAACGTGGAATCGATATGTGTGTGGTAAAAGTAGAAGGTAGAGCGAAGCTTTTGGGTGCTCATCCGACTGCCGGTGGAATGGCCTCCACTAGAGGGAACAACGGAGAGCCACTCTCCACTCGAAAACTCTTAACTCCTTCCTGTATAATACAATGGGAAACAACTGTACCATTGAGTGGGTGCAGTAGCTAATACATTTACGACCAAGGGTACTTATCATAAGAGTCTCGATCTTGCATTTAAACACATGCCTAATGATTCTGTGGTGTTGTCAGTTGTGATGTGGATATCAAAAACCCCAGTTTACTATTTTACAAGAATATACCATTATGTTTCCATAACATAACCCAAGAGGGTAGATTATTTGTGCAGTAAATAGTCCACTGCTATAAAGACCATTACCTGAATTAAATCCTAAACACAGCTAATATGTGTGGCGACCGCTATCCTCTACACCGGTCCTGGCCTCACTCCCCACCACCCACCTCATTCACCAACCTGAACTGACCAGCATGGTGAAGTATGATCAAACAACTCCCCACGACCCACACAGCATGGGCAGACCTTCCTCCGGCAACAGGATTGACAAGGGGCTGTAATTTGATTGACGCTGCCCAATTGTCACAAATTTGGTCCAGAAGAAAAAAAAACTCCACAAATGACAGAAATTGCCTTTGTCGACGACAGCTTCGGGGTCAGAGCTGCGGTTGGAGCCCGTTGTCCTCAGCAACGTGGTGGCGGCCGTGCGTCAGCATTCCATCATCATGCAGCTGCCGCGCTGTGATTACTTCAAGAACATCACGCTCGTGGCCAATAAGAAGCTGGAGGACGCCTTCGTCGTCGTGATAATCGCCGAGAGCGCAAGTGAGTGTTTGTCCGCTGGTGTGGGGGAAAATTCACGGTCGCAGCCACCTGAAGCTGATGCGTGACCCAGTGCCGTGGTCGCCGAATCTGTTTGGGGAATTTGTTGCGAGCAGCTGGGCTGGATGCAGCTAAAACAAGGTCTTATACATCAAGGTACATTGTTATTCATTCGGAAATTATAAATGATGCTGTCAACATAACACTAAACTGCACTTTATAATAAAAAAAAGAGACTTTGAAATACCAAATTTCAAATAATAATTCCATAAATATTTTTTTCAAAATTATGTTAAATAAACTAAGCCTCATCTGAATCTCGAGATTATATTTCGGGAGAGTCCTGTTTCTGATAGCACCACTAATTTTCTATGACGTTAGTATTATTGTTCGCAGCTTTAGTGGATACATGATTTAATTTCATCCAGGTATCTACACTCGGCAAACCGCAGTTAGAACCGTTCGCTATGAACTCTGACCACTTATTCACATCTACTCCAGACTACCGGTGACTGGGAAAATATTCAGTGAGAAATGAACTGATCGTTTGTTTTTTCGCCTGTTCGTCCCACACAGAGGCGAGCGAGAGTTACAAGCCTCCTTCAGACTGGATCAACCAGACGTACTTCGAAACGGACAAGGGCAGCTTGCGTCCGTACGTGGCCGCCAATCTGACCCTGAACGATTGCCGTGGCACCAACGCCCGGCGAAAGCGGGAAGCCATCGTGGACATAGCCGGCATCGACGCCTTCCGCGTCGGAACGGAAGAAGCGTGTCCAACCAACACCTTCTGCAATGGGCAACTGCGCGACAACATCAACTACAGGTGCATGCCAGGGTCAACCGTCACTGTGCCCGTCAACAGCGTGATGAAATGGGTTTCCTTTTACAATGTCAGCAGCGCACTTGTACCGCGTGATCAAGCGGTCGATTGTTTCTGGATAGGTTTGCCGTGTGTAATCTTAAATGCCTCTCCCTTTTTCTGTGATTTCAGCACCCAATATGTCCTCATGAATCTAAATGAGCCAATATCCCAGAGCAACTGGTCTGCACCCATACACACCCGAGCAGGTAACAACCCCTTGAAAATTCTGGCCTCTATAGTATATTTGACGTATATAATTTCACACATATATATAAAACACACTAAGAAATAGCCAGTTAAAATTCAAATTGTATCAAATAAAATAGTTTTTAAAAAAATGTGCCATAAATTATTATAATGTTTAACGCCATTTGGTTTTCTTTTCTTTGTTTTAAATGACTACTCCTTTGTTGAGGAAAGTCAACAGTGGTTGTCTTATGGCCAGAATGGCCCCGCCATAGAAATGTGGCATTTCCACTACTGGCGCAGGTCTGTAAAGAGTAAATGAGCACTGCCTAAATGCTCGTTTTCAGCACGAAATCACTTTTGACGTTATTTTCTACTTGTTGTTAAGCGTCCGAGTACGATGCCATCGACACGAACTTCATGCCGCACTCGGGCGGCATGATCGCCCTCACCACGATCCTCGCGATCCTCCTCGCCTTGCTGCTGCTCGCCTTGCTGCTGGTCTGCTGCTTCTGCAATCGGTGAGCAGCTACGCACCATCTCACACCTCGACACGACTACTTATTTACTTATTTCTTAGGTTTTTTCGGTAAAGTCACTTGATACAGCTATCGTGCTGTGACGGTTCCACCTGAAGACGGAAGCTTGTGTTGCCTCCGAAACGTCGTGATTTTTCTTTTCTTTTTATTTTACTTTTATTAATTTTAATTTTTTACCTACGTGACTTTACCGAAAAACCCTAAGAATACGAATCCTTGCAGTCACGAAAGCTTAAAATCTAGAAATACTTATTTACTTACTTGTAACCATCTGGAGAGGTTGCGGTGGCGAGATGTTAGATCCCACGCCTGGTATGCAGGAGTTCATGGGTTTGATCCAAGGTTATGCCCTCCACATTTAGAAACATGCGTTGTGATTATTTGGCTGCTACTTGAACATCCCACATGACAATATAAGCCACTTCGATGAGTTTTCATGTGTGGCAAATAGCTCCGTTGGCTTTACCTGGTAAATAAAATCGTTTAGTTTTTTTGTTTAATTTCGTGCATGAATTATTAAAAGTTAAAGCAAATAACTTGACTCAAACGAACACTAGAATGTGAGCATTTTTCATTCTTTCACAGCAGTTTTTTTTACATATATTAGCAGTCCACTGCCGTGGACATGATATATGAGAGGGTTATATTGCCCACTTCGCCATGCGTATGGGTGGTGGTGGCCGGAAATCATACACGTATGGTGACCTTTGAATTCTCAGCGCCGATTTTGGCACAACGCACCAGGTGCTTAAATTTAGGCAACGCCAGCATGGGGAAGGCCCTCGTGTACAGCAGCAAGTGCCTGATGTGCCACTACATCCACAGCAGACTAAGCGCATACCACACTTAAAAGCATAACACACACAAACGCACACAAACGCACACATCCACACATCTCTGTGACAATGGTGTGCTCTGACGGGTTTGGCCACGGTGTTGGACTTATCTTCTCCGAAGCTCTTGTCGCGCACTACTTGCGGGCATCTTTCAGGCGTTGAAGTGAGGGTGCCGCAGTCGATGAAGATGCCCGTACGTGGTGCGTCGAGTGAGCATGAAAGAAGAAAAGCTCAAAGCGCAGCCAATCTAGGAGTCCACACTATGGTTACGAGTGGCAGAAAAAAACCTACGTAGGCTAAATCTCTTCGCTACTTTAGATTTCATAGAAGAAGAAAACCACTCCAGCCGCAGCTGCGAGTCTTTCCAGAGTTGAGTGCAGGATTGTGCGTGAGCAGCCAGCCTATGTTACCTCTGCAGGCGCCGGGAGAAGACCCTGCCCTCTCTGAAGACCTATAACCCGCACTTCGGCAGCAAGGTGAGCCACGGGAGCACCCTGTACCACGAGGGGCCCGTCCCAGCGCAAGTCAACGAGCTGCACCCCCAGGACCTGAGCAAACCAGTCGCCGGCGATCCCAACAGGGCGTTCATGTGAGTCCCATGCAAAGCTTCGCTCTACACTCTGTTGTGGCTTCATCATGTGTGTAAATCTGACCACATCTAACGATGCTGTACAGCTATTAGGTTTTAGTATAAAGTTGATTTATGTAGGCTTTGGTAGTGCTCGGGTCAGTTACTGATGAGTAAATCAGAATAAGGAATCCGATGAGCTATGAAGCTCTTTTTCAAATGCTCTGATAACAACTATGTAAAGCCAATGCCTTGTGCGGCTGCCTTCTCGTATTCCTCTCCCATACCTACTATCAAAGAGGAGAGGGCTGAGAGAGAGAGCAGAAGAGCAGTAGCACCCTCCCTTTCACTGAAGGTAGCCTGAGGGGTTTGACGAAGGCCCTTGTTGTTGGAGCAGAGGACATATGAAAGGGAGTAGAGATGAGAGGGTACAAATAGACAGTGGTCAGTCCTTGGAGACAATGGTGAAGGCAGTTGGCGGGGGGTGGTTGTGTATTTTGACCTGTGCCAATGCGAGACCATCAAACAATGGTCTGCGGAGTGACTCTGGTAAATGGCAATTGCTGCTCGCTGCTTTGTTTAATATTCTTCACGACACTTTTGCTCGGCAGGTTCAACCGTATCATCACTGATGGCACCAACCGTCTGGAGGGGGCGTACGGAGGAGACAAGTCGGCCCTAATGGGGGGAGAGTTGTGAGTACAGCACCAGGCAGCAATGAAAGCCACGTGTACCCCTCGGACACTGCATCCCACTCGTCATACTTCCAAGTTTACTATCGTGTGCATTAGATAATTTTATTTTTATAGCTGCACTCGCAATGTTTACAAATTATAATTGGACATTTTTCTTAGACTGTTGCAGTCTGAATAGCTATTAGATTATATTAAACATCTATTTTCATTTTTGAAAAATATATATATTTGGTAGATTGAGCATTAGTATAGTCACAAATAAGTATTTGTGATTTTGTTTTGTTTATTGTGAGTGGGCATGTAATGATGCATTGATTCATCGATTCAAACCAATTCTTGCACTCATGATACGTGCATTAAAATTGTGCATGTGGGAATAGGTAATACGATTTATGCATACAAAATGCTAATTATATATACACCTTTTTTTATTCATGCCAATGGTGTGAACATGCCTGCACAAGCGAGACACCAAACAAAAAACAATACAAGCCAGACATATCGTATTACAACTACAACATTTACAAAATCAATGCGTGCCTAATTGCGAGGTTTTCTCTGCCTTCGTTTCTCATGGGCAGCTTGCCGGGCGCACATACGCCGCCCAACACCATGAAGCCCCAAACCTACGTGGTCCAGCAGCCCCACGAAGTGCTTCCGTCAGCCCCCAACGTCACCAGCATGAAATCGAACGTGGTGAACCAGCAGCCCAAAGACGTCCAGCAGGGACCTGTTGGCGTCACCTACGTACTCGGCCAGCCTCAAGAGGAATCCCTCTACTCCATCGTGCAGCAGCGCCCCACCAGGACCGCTGAGCCGTGAGTTCACAGAGCACCCAGGACAAACTCTGCATCTCCATATCTTTCGTACAATACACAGAGAGCCCATCTTTATTACTCAGTGATCAGTTATCCTGTATTAATTCTAGATTTGAAGCTTTCGTGACTGCAAGGATTCATATTCATCATTTTTTTTCGGTAAAGTCACGTAGATAAAAAATTAAAATTAATAAAAGTAAAATAAAATAAAAATAATAATAATTGTATTTTTATTTTATTTTACTTTTATTAATTTTAATTTTAATTTTTTACCTACGTGACTTTACCGAAAAAACCTATAAATAGCATCCTGTATTGTTTTGTCATTTTACATTCGAGGCTGTGGTCTTGAATATAACATTCCTTTGACTTTTGAATGACGTTGAAGTGATTCCTATGGTGTTATAGCTTTAGAATTGTAACCTATTTATTTAACTGTAAACTTGCAGACACATATGTCGCTATACGCTTAAACATATAATGTAAAGGAATCTTGTATATTTGATGTGAAAGTCAAAATGCCATGCCAGATGGCTTCTCAACCCATTTTAAACAGAGGAATCCTTTACAGCTATTATAAAATGTCACAGATCCCAATTATAATGAGTGGTTCTGTGTGTAGTCCTAGCAGACAAACATGTACAAAATCCATCATTTCTTGAAGCGGGGAATCTTATGGATGCCACTGGACTTGCTTGACCTCTCCAAGTGGTGAACCCATTTTTTTTATCGTGTCCTTCATGGCATGAACTCCTCTATGTGCCATATGCAGGACTCTGCAAAATCAGCAGTCTTCTGAAGGCGATCTCCCTCCATACATCTCACCAGACTACCCAACCAAATAAGCCCTGGACCTGCTACAGCGACAGAGTGAGTCTCATTCACTCTATGTTTTGATGCATTCATTTAAAAATGCACATTTTTTTTATATCAAAATTAACTTGCAATTTGCATCAGAGTGATATTTGCTTAGGTTTTCGAAGGAGAGGCTGTATGGGCTATCCGATGTATTTCCTGGTTGTCTCGTGCGTTTGTTCGGCATGATGCCCGACGTTTCGCTCCATGTGGTGGGAGCTTCAGAAACGTTGGGCAATGTGCGGTACAACCAGGAACACAAAGGAGGGCTTTGCATCAGAATATATTATTTTAATAAAGGACATAAACAGTGTAATAAATCATGATATAACTTAAGAAATAATAATGGTGCACGCTTATCACAAAAAATTGTGATGCACGTGTGAATCCTACTTGTGGAATTTTTACACAAAAAAAATCGTATTTTGATTAATATTTTTCATGTTTTTTTTAGAAAACCTGAACATTGTGGTGCTGGAGGAAATCACCCACCTTCACAACACTGATCATTCTATAGCCTTCAGCACGTGGTTCACAGCATACATTTATCTTCATAATAAATAATATTAATAGTAGGTTACATTCCTTTGTCAGTCCACTCCTGGATGAAGACCTCAACATGTTGTGTTGATCATAACGGTGTTTCACATACCTCACCACGCTGGTTGGTTGAATTATTTTTACACAAACGATAGTTATCAAAATGTACTGCTTATTTGGGTGTGCACTAAATCACCTTTTGATGGAAACTAACAATATCAAGTGCAGTTATGTTTTATTAATTATAACATTGGTATTAGTCCTGGCACTGATTATAGTGATACTTTTTATATGCTGTTATACAAAAAAGGAAAGATAATGGTATTGTCAGGATCTCAATTATTATATTCCACCAAGATGCAAAATATAATAGTCAAATATATATAGTTTTATTATAAAATGTCAAATCTTCATTGAATAAACTCCCATACAGATTCCTAGAAATCAATTAATTAGAATTTATATAGAGTAAATTATTGGTTAAATCAACCAAATTTCAAGGGCAAGCAGCATGTACTTGCCCTGATTTTGCATGGGTAATGTTATAAATGCAACCATTATTCACTTTGTGGTCGTAATTCGTCTTTTTCATATACCCCATCTATCGCTCTTCCTACATGGGTTCCCATGCACATTTGTCGTTGAAAAATAACTGGCGTCATTACGGATGGAAAGCAACTTTGAGTACCATTCAGACGTGCAGTGCTACCTGGTGGCTGCTTCTGGAAACTCCGAATCACTCAAATGTGGAATGGCGTGTCTCTAACGTGGCTCCTTAACTTCACAGTTATTCCGATTGCCATTGTCCAATTATTTTACACCTATACAAGCACGTAACAGCATTATGTAAGCATTTTACCAGAAGCCGTGTTTACCTAATCCATTTACGTTATTGTCGCATGCTGCACAAAATCACATGCTGAAAATGAAACACATATCCAACATTTGAAATTGGCGTTCACGTCTCATACCATTCAGCTGTTTTTTTTGTTACAATTACGAAACAAGCCTTCGTCTATTAATTATGACTCTTGGACATCCTCTGGAAATATGTAAATATGGTTTAAAACAAATATTTGTGAACAAAAGGAACTTTTACAGTCAAAACATAATTTGCAGCGATTTCCTAATCCACTGCTGGATAAACAAGGCTTTCCCATACTGTGTCAGTCATGGGGGTTGTTTGACCATACTTCACCACACTGGTCAGTACGGCATGGTGAAGGGAGACCAAGGACGGTTCAAATATCACTTGCTGATGTTAGTCGCAGTTGGGATTTACACTCAAGGCACCAGGTCTCCCACTGTGCTCCGCCCAACTTTTCCAGCTAATGTATATACTCAACTAGACTCTACGTTGTTTCTGAAATGTAATTCTAAACTTTTGTTGGACCTTGGGATCTGGGATGTTATTTGGAAGCACTTTAAATAAATGGACAAAATAATGTAATTATCGCAAATTCTCACGTGTGTCTGTACAAAACTCTGGAAGGTAGTGTGTAATGTGTGAACATGATTCACCAATAATATGAAGTATGTGCGGTAGTTACAATTACTCTGTAATCGAGGGTACTTACACTATCAAACTGTCCATGAAATTTAAGTGCTGTTCATTCTTTGTTGTTTAACGGATACATGTATGTTTTCTATGGGTTCTGTGTCTTTCGTTTATTGAAATCCTATAATGCAGCACTCAATGGATTAAACATCAATGTTTACATCTTGTCTAAAGCCTTTCTCCTATGGATGCACCATGTCTGTAATGTTCTTTAAAATGTATTTAAAATAAATATAGGAATGTGTACCTACTTGTAACCTTGTGATGGGTATCAATAATAATCGTCACACATTTCTGCATTGTGCCTATTTTGATTCAAATAACCTTAAAATGCACCTGATCATGTCAAATTTTGAAAGCTATGCAATGTTTAGCCTGGTAACTACTTGAATAAGGGACCTCCAGAACTTGCCAGGGACTCTGTTTTTTCCCCCACATTAAAGCCACACTCATGAATGGTATTTGCCAACCATTCCATTGCAGGACTCTCCTGAAAAAGTGTATTGAGACTTTAGGCTTTCCTGAGGAAATAATTGTTATTTTATTTAATTGACTATTTTTGTAATGACTCATTGTATTCATGATTCATCATTGCCTTCCTTAGTATTTGTTAATGGCAACATGATTTGAAAGCTCGCGCTAAGACCAGGAATAAGAATACACACGTACATGGGGTCCATTCCTAAACTTTAGAACAGTCTTAACTACCTAAGCCCAGAACGGCAATAACCTGGCCAACCCCCTCCCCCGCCTGCTCTGACGAGTCCGATGTGCCTGATACCGTCAATGCAACTGGTAATGCCGTCCAGAATTTCAGGATGTTGCAATGTATGATGTGAGGATGTGGAATAAAAATATTTTATGTATATAAAAAAAAGAAAGCTCGTGCTATATGTGATAAAATATTTGCAATTAACTATGCGAATATTCCTTCTCACAAGGCATTGCAATAAGAAGCTGGCCTCACTATCCTATCTAAAATGTATATAAATGTATCCCTTTAATCCACTTGAATGCACGCCTCCCCATGTGAAATATGGTTGTTGACCACACTTCACCATGCGAGTCATTGCGAGTTGGTAAATGGGCTGGGCAGGCCCAATTAGTATCACTCGCCACTGATGTCAGCCATGTGTAAGAATCGGTTATTGAGCTCATACCACAGTGCACTAACCATTACACCACCGCTCCACTTCCAACAAAGTGTATTCTAACCACTCTATATACGACAGTTTAATTGCCCATTATGATTGACATGAAAGACATTCGGCATCGCACAAGTTGAAAAACAACGCCTGGGGCAACACAAAAGAGTTGTGAACGCCTGTTTTTGTTCACTGGGATTTGTACATTTCGCGTCAAGTTGCTCATTGGTGCGTTGAGCAGCAACACGCTCGGGGCTAAACTTGAGGTTGAGCAAATGTACACAGAGCTCTTGGTAGGCAATTCTCATCGCCATTATATAACATGTGATGAAATCCTCTGGCAACAATAACGATGTATAAATGTCTACTAGTAATTGTACATTGACATGAGAGCAATGTAAGTGGTGAGGTGCATCTTCTTGGTTCTTTCGGTAAAGTCACGTAGAAAGAACCAAGAAGATGAATCCCTGCAGTCACGAAAGCTTTAAATCGAAATTTATGGTGGAGTGCAGTAATCTGTTTGTTCGTTTATTTCTCAATCCGCGTGTCCTGGTGAGGGTCACAGCGGTAGCATGTTGAGTAGGGCGGTCCAGACCTCCCTTTCCCTGGCGATGGACTCTTAACTCTTCCTGGGGGATTCCCAGGTTCCCAGGCCAGCTGAGCGACATAGTCCCACCAGCGTGTCTTGTGCAGGCCCCGGGGTCTTCGCCAAGTGAGACATGCCTGGTGGAATTCGAAGGGGAGTCTACCGGGGGACATCCTTACCAGGTGCCCGAACCACCTTATCTGGCTCCTCTCAATCCGGAGGAGCAACAGTTTGACTCTGGGGCTCTCCCGGATTACCGAGCTCCTCACCCGATCACGAAGAGTGAGTCTGGCAACCCTGCGGAGAAACCTCATTTCGGCACCTTGTACCCACAATCTTATTCTTTCGGTCATCACCCAAAGTTCGACCTGTTAACCAAGAGCTTTATTCGACAACTCAGCACCCGCTTCACTACCATGGAATGGTACAGCGCCCATATCACTGCGGACACCGCAACGATCCACTGGCCAATCTCTTGTTCCCACTTACCATCACTCGTGAAAGAGACCCCGAGCTACTTAAACTCCTCCACTAAGGACAGCTATTTTCCCCTCACCTGGAGAGCAGACTCCACCATCTCCTGGGAGTGAACTATGACCTCAGCTTTGGAGGTGCTGATCTTCATCCGAGCCGCTTTACACTCCGCAATCAAACCGTTCAAGTGCATGCTGGAGATTACAGACTGCAAAAAGCAGCTACGCCACCTCCATGCCCCCACACTGGGTACTCTCCATACTTCGGCTGTGCCTTGATATCCTGTCCATGAAAATCACAAACAGGAGTGGAGACAAGACGCACCCTTGGCAGAGTCCAACACCCACAGTGAACGACTTTGATTTAACACCAAGAATATGGAGGGACTGAATAGAGGGACTGGATAGCCCACAAAAGCGGCACCTCCGACAAGACATTCTGGTGAACATGGTCATATGCCTACAAAGCAGAGGTAGGTTGGAGAGGCATACTCCCATGACCCCTAAAATATCTGTGAGAGGGAAAAGAGCTGGTCCATTGTTCCACGGCCCTGACAGAATCCGCATTATTTATTCTGAATCTGAGGCTCAACCACCGGGCTCAGCCTCCTCTCCAGCACTCTGGCATAGTCTTTACCTGGGATGCTGAGGAGTGTGGTCCCTCTGTAGTTGGATCACACCCTCTGGTTTCCAGTTTGCCAATCTAGAGGTACTGTACCCGCCTTTCATGCAACATTGAAGAGGCGTGTTAACCACGACACTCCTACACTGTCCAGCACTTTCAACAACTCTGGGTGAATCTCGTCTACCCCAGCAGCTTTTCCGCTACGAAGGTCCTCGACCTCCGCAGCGACTTCAGCAGCCATGATGGACACCCCCCCCCCCCCCCCCGCTGTTTCCAGGGCTGCCTCCTGAGTGGAGGGCATATCCACTGGGTTGAGGAGCTCCTCAAAGCGTTCGTTCCATCTCTCGACTATCTCCTGAGTTGAGTTCAATGTTACGCCACCCTTACTGGGAACAGCCTGGGCCACGTCCCGTTGACCCCTCCTAAGGCGTCAGATGGTTTACCAGAATATCTTTGAGGTTGCCTGGTAGTCCCTCTCCAAACTCCTCACACGCCTGGGCTTTCGCTTCAGCAACTGCTACCACTGCTGCCCCCTTGGCAAGCCGGTACCTCTCAATTGAGTCGGGAAACCTTTTTTCGAGCATAGCTCGGAAAGCCTCCTTCTTCAAATTGACAGATTCCCTCATCACTGGTGTCCACCAGCAGGTCCTAGGGTTGCCGCCATGACAGGCACCAACTGCCTTCAGGCCACAGCTTTTCAGAGCTCCATTGACAATCGAGGTGCTGAACATCATCCACTTGGACTCAATGTACATAACCTCCCATGGAGTGTACAAGAAGTTAAAATCTTTCTGCACTGGGTCTTCTGCCAGAAGTTCTCAGAAATCAGAGAGGTTCTCTGATTTTGATATTTCAGAACCATTCATGAGGGGCTTTTGTTTGGAGCATTATTTGTCTGGAATCTCCCCCCAGACATGTTTGCCAAGGGAGACCCTACCAGGAGTACAAGACTCTAGGTGACATAACTCTGAGGGTCATTGGAACACACAAACCCCACCACCACGATAAGGTTACGATTATTTGGTGCAGTAATCTGAATAGTGGAAACTATCAACGTGGATAACGAGTAGAACAGGTGAGTTCGTATGTATGTACCGTATGTTGAACTTCTTTCGCACCGCACATAGTCAACCATGCTAATCGTAGGTGCGGGGGAAGGACAACAAACTAAACACAAAACGCAGTTCTAAATAAATGAGTGTCTGCACTGATCACAGATAGACGGGCGTGTAGTGGAAATGACATTAAGGATAGCGATGGTGAATGAGGCATCAGCATTAACGATGAGTGAAATGGGGCCTCTCTTCACCAAACTGCACAAGCCAGCGTGGTGAAGTATAATTGGCACGGTGGCGAGATGTTATCTTTCTCACCTGATATGCAGGAGATCATGGGTTTGATCCTGACCCTGACACCTATATATTTGGAGTTTGCACGTTCTCCCCATGGTCGCGTGGATTTTTCTCCAAGTCCTCCGGTATTTTACCTCCCTATTTAGAAACATGTGTAGTGACATAAGAAGGGAGGGGCTGCTGTAGGCTCTGGGTTCCCAGGGGATCCAGACGCTTTTAAGCCTTTGGGCGCCAGGCGTTGGGTTCCCAGGCGCTTAAGCCTTTTTGGCGCCGCCAACGGTGGGGGGGCTGTGTGTGCTCTGTGGGATGTCTGGTGGCGCACAAGACCCACCCCTCGTCGGACCAGGCATAAAAGGAGAGCTCCCTGGACGATCGGCCCAGTTGTAACTCAAGACCCAAGACCCACGACCAGCCATCTGAAGACCCTGGGATGCTGTGAGGGCCAGCGCTGGGACTCTGGAACTCCCGACGCTACGACCTTGTGAGGGCGAGTCCAGAGCGTAGCCAGAGTAGAGTATCTAGGCTGTGTAGCTAGGCTGTGTACCTAGGCTGTAACAGAGTATCAGGACTGTTGGAGTGTTGTATTGTAATAAAGAAGTTACATCTACAAGTGTCTCCGGAACCCATTACACATGCGTTTATATTATTTGGCTGCTATACAGTTCCATATAAGCCACTTCGTTGAGCGATCATTTGTGGCCAGTTCGCTTCTGAAAACGAGCTGTATAGCTTAGTGGGCCTTACCTGATTAAATAACAAGTTAGTTTCGTTTTAAAATAGTGTAATAGTTTAAACAATAATCCCCTATGACCAATTTGGTGTGGGGAGACCTTCAAGGCCTGTATCTGTACTATCCAAATCATTGAAAAAAAATCATAAGAGTTGCTAAAATGCCCCAAGCCTTGCTGAGGTCTTAGTTTACCAAATATTATTGATAATTGTGTGTTTAATGCATTTCAAATATTCAATGCATCCACAACAGCAATAAATAATTTCTGAAAAAAGAATGAACATTTCTAGTATGTGTAATATATTTACATCCTTGGCATCCACACCCTGCAAATATTTACACTTTTTCTTTATCAGCCAAGGAGCATCATGGTTTAGGAATACATCACGTGATGCTGTCTCGAGATACACACTGGTGGAACCAGCCAAACAATCCATTCATCAATTGAGAACCCAATAAGATAAATTGTCTCTTGAGCATAGAGGTAAAACTGGTTACAGTACTGGTAATAATTCCAAGCAGTGATTCTTAACCTGAGGTGCAAGATAACCTTTCTGGGGGTGGGAGACATACCAGTTTTTTTTAGAAGGTAAATCATTCAAGCACAAATTAAGCACGGGCACGTAAGTACAACTTCGTTGTTTCAACATAGCCACCTCAGCACGCTAGCAGTGGAGGCCGCTCACCGATCTTATATTAACATGCAAATTTTTACCTGGCAGCCCTATAATTGGTGGAAAACCCACCACCATCGCGGTCGCTGCCCACCACTTACATTAACATTCCCTGCCCTGCTCATGCTGCTGACATTTGGGCTACGCCCATTTCAAACTTTTATTAACAGTTTTCCTTTTCCTGATGACGAGTGCTTGTGTTGCGATCGAAACGTCATAGTTTTTATTTTATTTGAACCTATCTTTACCGAAAGATCAAAAGAATATAACATTATACATTGTTTAACGATTGAGAACCAAAGGAGTGCAAGGCTGGAGTAAAAATTAAGAATAATTGGTTTAAGGTGAGCTGATTAATATTGTTAGTGGTGGATTCATGGATTTGGTAGAGTGTATGCCATTGGCATCATATGATGAATATTTTTCCATATGATGGAAAGTGATGTTCAACATAAAATTTAGAGTTGGCAGAAGAAAATGTGTGATTATGTTTTCATGGAAGTTAACGCATATCGGTGTAGTGTAAATCACAAAACCAAATAAAATGTGGAAGTCACAAGTTTGTATCATGCATGATCTCATCGTGGTGATTTAGTGGGCCCGAGCTTGGTAAATAGGCGTTGCACATTTTCATGAGAAAATAAACTGGAACCTTTACTGCTGCTCCTGGGAAATTTCAAAAGACATACATTCTTTAGTAGTAGGTTTTTACCGTTTTAAACTGGTACAAAACTGACACCTTTATTCAAGGCATCATGTTTGCAATAACCACAACACAAGTAGTCAAAAAAGCAAACAAAAAGAAGCAACTCTGATAATGATAATAATATGCACTGTCCTTGAAGTTGATTGGTCCACACCCGAGACGGCTTTCTTTAGAGCCTAGTCCCCATTGGTGTTGGACCAGATGACACCAGAAAGCGTACAACTCAAACACAGTGCAATATCAGAGTATAGAGAGCTCGGGGTAAGCATTTACACTATGAGATCTCTTTTACCAGTGGCAAAATATAGTAGTAGGTTTTTACCCTTTTAAATTAAGCCGTCTCGGGTGTGGACCAATCAACTTCAAGGACAGTGCATATTATTATCATTATCAGAGTTGCTTCTTTTTGTTTGCTTTTTTGACTACTTGTGTTGTGGTTATTGCAAACATGATGCCTTGAATAAAGGTGTCAGTTTTGTACCAGTTTAAAAGGGTAAAACCCTACTACTATATTTTGCCACTGGTAAAAGAGATCTCATAACATAAACCCTTTGTCAAACATATTTTACAAAGGGTTCATATTTTTGAAAGCTCGCCGAAGCAAATGGCTTAATTAAGTGTAAATAGTATTTAATTCACAGTGAGTCGAGCGGTGTAGGTGTAAGACTATACATGAGGTTACATTGACCCCCTGTATCTCAGTGACCATAGGGAGCACACATGCGCTGGATGTGTATGGTCAGTGATTAACAAAACACCCGAATGCCACTCTTCATCGCATATTCTGCTGCCACGTACGCTGTGCTTAAACATCCCGGCGATGAAATGAATGTGGCGCATCGAGTAAACTGCAGTGCAAGTCCCCCGAATGTAAACCGAGCAGATTGACGGTGAACACAGCGTACCCGTGAAAGTGCGGGAAGTGTGGTGGTTAGATTGGAGGATAACGCTTATTTAATCCGTTGCGTTTCCTGCGGGGGTGACTTGTATCCTGTGCAATGCCCTTCCCCTTCTCTGTGATTCGCCGTGATCCTCTTGAGCAGCTGCGCTGCAATGAAAATTAAAACTCCAAGCAGCTGAACAGGGGCGGGGTGGTGGGTGGTGTGTACCTCCTGACTTGAGCATCCTCACTCGCCCCATTACTCACACCAAGCCCATATAATCACCCGAGCCCCAACTCGCCCATCCCTTCTCAGTTCCCAGTGCCATCACCACAACCCCCCACCACCACTCCACTCTCTCTCTTTTTCTAAAAATAACCCGTGGCGACTGGCTCACCCCTCGGCTTCTCTCTTTCGCATGCGGGCCCCGCAGTCGGCAACGTTATTGGGAGATTGAACGTCAGCCGCTCTTATTTTCCCCGTCGCCCGTTGTGAATTTGAAGGTAAACTGTTGTCGCGAGTGTCCACTGAGAGTTGAGTGAACTTTGTCGGTCAGCCTCTGTGAGTGCCATTGGAAGAGGGCGAGAGAGTGCGTAGAGATACGAGGCTGGGTTGGAGCGCATGTATTTGAGCGGCACGTGTTTCGTTCATTGCGAGTAGCCACAGATGTTAATGAGCGAGTGCTTAAGGGTTGGCAATGAGTAAATGTCGTCCTGTGCGTCAATGTGTACTGGTGCCAAACGGTCATGTCTTTTTCGTGTGATAAATTACATCAGCGATTGCATAATACTACAGCTCGTCATCGTGAATGGTGCTTGTGTTAACGTCGTTTGTTCGAACTCCTGTCACTGCCACCTTCCCTCCATTGCCACATCTCAAAGCGTTAATACAAGTCTGCACAACTGCGGCGAAGCAGCTTAGTTTTCAAGTGCAGTAATCTCTCAATGTCCCCGAGAACATAATTACGGCAAGGGATACGTTACCTCGTCAACTGGTATGGAACAGGGCTTATATAAGTCACGCAAGTCAATGCAATGCAATTTAAACCATAACCCTACTGATATTGAGTCATGTAAAGATGTTTCCTTTTTAGAAACTTGGTTTAGAACTTGAAAACCAAGAGTAGTACGTGGATAATAATGAATACACAAACATCCGCATACATAAAAAAAAATCCCTCTTTCCAAAATGCACGTTTTTTTTTGAGATCACAGTTTGCAAAAGACCACCGGACTGCAATCTGCGAATCACGAAGCAATGGATATTGAGGAAACACCAGAGACTATGCCACTGCATGTTTGTAAAAGGCAAAGCTGGAGAGTGGGCATTGTATGCCATTTATCATCCATCCATTGAACTAAATATACAGTAGCCATAGTAGCAAGGTGGTGCTAAAACCCAAAGGCATGTCTGAAGTTAATTGAATAAAAACTACAATAATTCACGTCATTGGTACTGGATATGTGCTTTTTATTTGCCAGCTCGAAATTCTTAAAATTCCTGCTGTGTGTGTGTGTTTTTAATTACCGATACAGGTACAGCAACTATTTTGCATCAATAAACAGGTGAACTTTAGGAGGAATTGGCAGCACCTGCCATTTTAAGCTGCCTGGGTGAAGGATGCCTCTTTCCTTCTGCGGAAGTGACAACAGCTCCGCTTACAGCGTGGACAAGGGCGTCCTCAAAAATGCCTGCTTTGTGGATGCTCTCAACCTGGTGCCTCACGTCTTCCTGCTCTTCATCACGTGCCCCATCCTCTTCATAGGCAAGAGATGACACCACCGATGGTGTTCATACCACGCCAGGCACTGCGATCTGCCACTCTGCTTCACCTTGTTACAGTGGGTCTTAGAATTGACGGGCTAATTCAGGTGTGGAGTGGCCCTTAGTGTGTTCGTTTCCTTGAAAAAAAACCTCTTGTTATTTCCAGGAAGACTTATTTAGTTCATTTATAGAATGTCATGTTATATAGATATTGTCTATCTATATAGAATACATCTTTACAAACGATTTAAAATGTATAAACGAACATCACAGCCCATTCTTGAATGAACAATCATACGCTGTCGTTACAGGATATAATTATACTGGGACTCCCTGTTTAACACGGAGGCTTTCGCGAGCGATATTAACCATAACAGAGGTTTTTTGGGTTAAATCGCGTTAATATAAATGTGTCGTTAAACCTGCCACCACCCGACACAGCCAATTAGTAAGGTTTGTCACGCGAAACAAAACATGGCAATTCGTTACTAGTACAGCACACCGGTGTGTTTGAGAGTAAACCCACAGCATTTACAATCTGAGTACGACGTTTCGCCAGTAATTACACTAACATCACCAGGCGACAGCCAGGTTTGTGGAGAAATCCTCCTGTTTCGTTCTTAAATAGAGGGATAAATGTGATGTCGTCACTCAGGAACGAAGGCCGGGGGGGGGGGTTAATGCATGCATATAAATAACAATGCCTGGCCCGTGACGTTAATGTGCAGTTTGTATACAAAGCTAAATGCAAGTCAGCATTTCTTATTCAGCTTTTGCACTGTGTTATATTTTCCCCAATAAGGACAAGGGTCTCCCAATGTGCCTACAATTATATGGGAGATATAGTATGTCTGCTGATGTCATTTCTAAGATACACTGTAGAATCGTATAATAGGACATTGTTTTGGCAACGCTAAACGACTCTGCAAATATCAGTATGTTGCACATCCCCATTGGGCACAATCACAAGCATTCGGTGAGTATTCATTGGCAATGTCCTGGTGCGTGACTGTTGTGACAGAGAAGACTAATCTTGCGGGAATCTCAGGGCCATCTGTGGCAAAACCCGTCAGAAACGAAGGCCCATTGGCCGGTGAAAGATTTGCTCGGGAAAATATCAACCGTGCTCGAATGCCTTTGCGAATTTGTGCGTGTCAGTTTCAGTGCACTCAGAGCAGGGGCCAGAGGACACTGAGTCACTGTCATGCTACTGTCGTATTGAACTTTATTGAGCATTATTATAAATGTACAATTAAGTAAAAAAGTGTTTTTTGGGATGTGCGCATTTAAGTTAATACAGTATCGCATGCACACATTTCTGCTCCAATTTTTTTTAATCAAATTAAATATGACAGAATTTGATGAGCAGCCAACAAGCAAAATGAGTCATGCTTTTATTACAAAGTGATCTGTTGGGTAATTATGAATTGTCATGATTTAGGGTGATGATGTTGTTAAAATACGTAGGTGAATGCAACGCCGCTAGTGGCTGCAGATGTCAAATCAACACGTAATATTTAGTCGATATGTAAACTATTCTCATGTGCACAATTCGATTCCTCTTTTGCGAGTGTAAGTATCCTTTGTAATATATCAATTTATATAATACCACATGCCTACTGTTAGTTTAGGGGCCCAACTGTGCAGGTTTTGTTTTTCGCTACCGCTTGAGGAACTAATGTTTCACGAATACACATTACATTTTTTGATATGGACCAATAAAACATGTTAATTAGCAATCGCATTTTAGTAATTCACTTTAATTGGTCACGTAAAGACATCAGTACCACTAGTTTTGCCACTTGAGGTAACACTGACTACTGATGTGACCCAAGGACTAAATGTCCATTCATTAAAAATGAAACTGATGCCATTTATTTATTGAGGTCTCAAGACTATTTTGTATGTGAGAAGAAACCTGTGGACCCAGAGAAGTCCAATGCACGCTAGAGGATAACGCTCAAAGGTTCACACAGACGGGTTCATGATCACAATTGCCGTACTGCCATTTTCTAGCCACCTTACAGCAAGCAGCGTGTGGGAGAGACTCAAATACCTGCGTGATTCACCAACCCTTGTCTCCTAAGCGCAAGATTTCTTGTGTGTGCCATGATCATACCCGGTTCATGACCTCGGTGTGAGTCTGTGTAAATGTGTATGTTCTGGGAGAAAAACGAGGATAATGTAATGGCAAGATTGAATCTGCAGATATATTCTTTGGGGTCTGATTTGGTCCACAGATAATGGGAGTCACAGGTAAAACTGCTTCAGATAAGTGTCTACATGTGTAAAGGTTTTGGGATTAAGTTTTGATTTAAAGCTTCCGTGACTGCAGGGATTCATATTCTTGGTTATTTCGGTGAAGTCACGTAGAAGGGAAATAATAAAATAATAAATTTTCTTGCTGTGGATTTCACACCTGATGATGATTGCTTGTGTTGCAGTCGCAACATCGTGAAAATGTTATTGTTTTATATTTTTATTATTTTATTATTTCCCTTCTACGTGACTTTACCAAAAGAATCAAGAATATGTCGTGAGAATTATTTTATGTTTTATTTTTATTATTTTATTATTTCCATTCTACGTGACTTTACCGAAAGAACCAAGAAGATGAACCAAGAATATGTTTTGGGATTAAGTTACATTTCCCATTGCGGCACTGGCTCATGTGACAGTGCTGGACTATGCTCTTTGTTGTTGTTGTTGTCTATTGACTGCGGTGCAGGCTGGGGCAGCCAGAGCTCCAAGGTGCAGATCCACCACAGCACCTGGCTACACTTCCCGGGGCACAGCCTGCGCTGGGTCCTCACGTTCACCCTCTTCTTTGTGGGCTTCTGCGAGATTGCCGAGGGCATGGTCTCGGACAGGTGAGCAGCGTTTCCTCGACCGGTACTGCGAGATCCGACCGTGTTTGTCCAGTGCTCGCCGAGCTGCATTGGCTTACGGTTTTGCCGAACAAATAAGTTACAAGGTCGCACTCGTTGCACACAAAGTGCTTTGCCGCAAATCAAGCACAATACCTCGCTGATCTCGCCAAGGTGCATACACCATCACGCGAACTCCGGTCATCCTCGCAGCGGATTTTGACTGGCCATCGAACTAAGACGGTCACCGCATCGCGCGCTTTCAGATGCGCTTCTGCGGCCGTCTGGAACGCTCTTCCTTCCGATATTAGCAAGCCACTGGAGCAATGCACTTTTCAGTCTAGATTGCAAACTAATTTCTTTAGAACCACTTTTTGTGTTTAATTTGTTGTCCTTCCCCGCACCTCCAATCAGCACGGTTGTCTACGTACGGTACAAAAGAAGTTCAACATACATAAGAGGAGCAGTGTCCTTTTTCCTGGTGGTCACCCATCCAAACAGTGTCCAAACCTACTTGGTTGGCTTCCGAGACGGGACGCGATCAATCACATCCCCCACGCGATTCGGTCGGACAGTTGTAGGCTGTTGCCGGGGTTGTGCTGTCAACAGAGGGCAGTGCAGCAGAATCCATGGTACTGCCCTATGCTCCGTCTACGCTTGCTTCCTGCCTGTCCTGCACCAACCCACGCTGACCAGCATGGTGAAGTATGGTCAAATAACCCCCGTTGCGAAGTAAAGCCATTGAGAGGCCTTCATCCAGCAGTGGATCGAATGCTCACTAATAGAACACGAGCAGACACCTCGGATTAGCACGGCTGGCTATGCACGATGTGAAAGAAGTTCAGCATACATACAGAACGCCGTATGGATTGTAATGATACCGAATATACAATATGTTCCACCTGCTGCCAGATTTATCTTTGAACCACCTGACGACCTCTTCCATCATTGCTCCACCTCCTGCCTGTTGTTAACAAACGTCTGCCACCAATTCAGGCTTAACAAAGACTCACACACCCCCGACAGCCAAGTAGACTGTAAGTGCTGTTCGCGAGACACCCATATCAGCTGGTCTGACGCACACAAGAGTAAAGGTGGCCAATACCACGCGCAACCACCTTTGTCTCCCCCTGTGCTGATGGTCACACTTGGCATTTAAGGCTGAATTAATCGTCATAATTTTTATTTTATTTTTATTTTACTTTTATTAATTAAAAATTTTTACCTACGTGACTTTACCGAAACAACCCAAGAATATGAATCCTTGCAGTCACGAAAGCTTCAAATCTAGAACTGAATTAATCCACAGGATGGATGCCCAAGAACAGACAGGTTCTGAAAGTACACTATTGACCACTTGTGTTATCCGTGGCCGGGTATGAAACTCACGTGCGCAATTGAAAGGGATAACCACTGAACCACTATATCCACTCGAAGAGATCTTCAGCTTCGCCAACATAGGATATTGAGCCATGCCCTGTTAGCGAGCACCCGTTAAGGCCAGCACAGTGCACGCCAGCATGGTGTCAACAGTACCACACTCGGTGGTGAGGTCACCTTTGTCTCCTCAGTGCTGGTGTTTATGTATTGCTCTCCACACACATACACGGACACACTGCCAAGCGCATACAGATTAAATTTTTGCCATGATGCTTGTTGGAGTAGGTGCCAGCAAGCTCCTGTTATATGCCAAGGCTCTAATGAGTGGATGAATTACGTTACAGTATTATTTTTGGAAATGATACTTCAAATTAATTGAATTATTTTTTTATTTGCCTTCACAGTTTTCTAAACTGATTACTTAACAAAAATTGATGCTGGCAGTTTGTGCAAAACTTTGGTTATGAAAGCATCACTGGTGCGCTGTCTTCTTTGTCAGTGTCATTAGGATTTAATTAGCTTTTAACAAGCTATTCAGAAACACTCACGCTGCACAGATTGCCACATTTTCTTCAGGGGTTTTTGCCAGCGCACAAGTCAGACGTTGCATGTTCATTCGTGCCTGTCGAATGAAAACATATTGAACTTGGGACATTTCCCTTGATCACCAAATTATGTTACCCTATTTGTATTTTTGTGTTTTAGGATTGTATATTACGGCTAGTTTACATTTTATATTGTATACTTTTTCAAAATTTTACATACTTTAGCCCCTGAGTATAGACTTTTTAGTATAGTTAGACTGTATACCACTTATTTAAGTTTTAAGATTCTGACATGTTGAATGTATGCACCTTCCTGCCATAGTAAATTCCTTGTTTGTGCTAACTTTCATGGCGAATAAAACCCTTTCTGATTCTGATTAAAGCCAAATGAATGCCTCACGTGAGTAAGCCTCGTTACCGAAACACACACACCACCACCGCCACATGTACAAACCCGATATTGCACTCTTCTGGATTTGATTGCAGCTTCCTGCCAACGAGCCACCTCCACCTCTACATGCCACCCATGATGGGGTTCATCGCTGGCTTGGCCTCCATCGTCTATTACCACAACATCGAGACGTCCAACTTCCCGAAGCTCTTGCTGGGTAAGCCATGTATCTTACATTCCTGTCTGTGCACTGTTTTATTTAGCTATTAATTGTATACTTAGAGCAGGGCTGCGTTATTGGCAAGCAGAGCTCAGGGCAGCACAATCAATTGTTTTGTACTTCTATATTCCTAACATCCATGCTGCCCACCTTTGCCGACCCCTACTGACCGGCGTGGTGAATTCTGCTCAGATAATTTCAATGATCTGCACAGCGTGGGGAGGCCCTTATCCAGGAGTGGATTCACAATGGGCTCTTCATGTGCATGCTGTGGTGTGGGCCAGGGAATACATTACTTTTAAGACATGCTTCGAGATCAAAGGAAAACAGAACACAGTTATAATTATATCAGTTGTAATTTTGATTTGAATAATTAATCGTCTCAAATTAACTTAATACATCTTGTAAAAAATCTAATGGTGGTCTGTTAAGCAAACATAACATGCTCATGGGTTCAATTATTAAACCCATTTTTTGTATTTCATTTGCAGCTGTATTTTGACATTTTAATAGAGGAATACATTTCAAATTTTTATTCTGTCGTATACGACATTTTCAGAAAATCTATTTCCATCTCTAGTAATTAAATACAGATGATTCATTGAAGATGACAAAAAGTTGTATTTTTACCAATGACATACGTGGCTCGTGATGAAGAAAACTGATATTGACAACAAGTGCTGGAAGCAGAAGTAGGCCATGGGGAGATGGGAGGCAAGCGGGGTTGAAAAGATAACAAAAGGAGGAATTGATTAAAGACAAGAGGACAGGGAGAGGTGTGATACAGTCTGTAGTAGGGAAGGGAAAGAGTACAGAGAAAGGGAAGGACACAGGGAAGAGACAGTGCCATCTCAGAAAGTAATTCTGCTGGATTCTAGATTTTAAGCTTTCGTGACTGCAAGGATTCATATTTTTAGGTTTTTTCGGTAAAGTCACGTAGGTAAAAAATAAAAATTAATAAAAGTAAAATAAAAGTTAAATAAATAAATAAATCACGGCGTTTCGGAGGCAACACAAGCTTCCGTCTTCAGGTGGAACCGTCACAACCGTTACACGAGGGTTAGCATTACACCCTTGATGTGACGGTTCCACCTGAAGACGGAAGCTTGTGTTGCCTCCGAAACGTCGTGATTTTTATTTTAATTTTATTTTAATTTTACTTTTAGGAATTTTAATTTTAACTTTTTACCTACGTGACTTTACCGAAAAAACCTAAGAATATAATTCTGCTGGGTCTGTGTCTTCGGCAGCCCTGCTGGGATACTGGCTGTTGGCCTTCACCATGAAGCTGCTGAAGCTGGTTCAGTTCTGCCAGCACAGCGTGGGGCCCAGCGAGCTACGCTTCTGCATCACCGCGTTGCTCGTCTTAATCTATGCCCTCTTCCTCTGCTTGGAGGTTAACATCATCCGACTCCGGGTGAGTCAGCCTCTTTGTCTGTCAGACAGTGATTCTTATTCCCACGTGTCCATATGTCTTTCTGCCTGGCTGCCAATTGTCAATCTTAATTCCATATCCCGATTTGCACAGTGCTATTGTATTATGTTGTATTTTTATTCTTTTATTATTTCATTCTACGTGACTTTACCGAAAGAACCAAGAAGATGAATCTCTGCAGTCACGAAAGCTTTAAATCGAAATTTAATGCTACGGAGGGCGGAGGGTATTTTAGCGTGAGGCCTCGTGAAAATGCAAACCTCCAAATGTCTATCCAACTGAATCGATGAAAGACAAACAAAATCACCATAGAAACAACCTCTATATGCCACCATATTTGTTTTGTAACAGCATTTTATTGAACAGCCTTTTATACTGACAATATCAAACCGATCGGTGTGATGCCAATGGCAAGATGCTTGTTAATTGCAGAGCTGCCAATGATACTATTATCGTTGCATCTGTGCATGCCACAACAGCACAGTGATATGCTTTAACATGTGCCAAAGAGTAAATAATACCTCATATTGGCAGAAATCGAGTGTGCAAGCTGGGCAAATTCACCAAGGCCCACGGGCAAAAGGGCCCAGGTGCTATGTTACAAAGAGGTAGGAGGAAATTGCACAAGGGCCCTAAGTCATTCCTTGCACCACGGTCCAGGTCAACCATGCTACACAACTCAATATTGGCTATTTCATTATTTTAACTGCTACTCGCCCCAAGGGCAATTCTGGTCTCCACAGATGGTGGAGTGTTTATTGTATCCTTGGGTGCATCTTCCCATTGCTCCCCCATTGGGATCTGTGCATCTGTTAAACTAACCCTTCCAGCACACCACCTGACCCAGACATAATTACACAAGCTACACCACCTTTCCCGTTTGCTGATTTCAAGCCTCATTTCAAACACTGACACTGCCATTTTCCAGTCCTTGTACTCCTTGCTGTTACATCTGAGAGTTGCATTTACAACCGTGGCTAATTTTACACGAGGGTTAGCATTACACCCTTTGTCCATTTTATTATGTAATTCTTCCGAGCCTATTTTTGGGCTGGCACCAGTGCTGCTCACTGTAATTGGGAGGTAACCACGTGTCAGCCACCATTGGTGGATCCAATGGCGCCATGACAAGGATGTCTACAATTCTAATTTCACAACTGCATGCTCATATATTCTTCTGTCACAAATGCCAGTGTCACGTGTATGGCTGTTTGATTCCTATATGTATTTACTATATATACTGGGTAGAAAAAAATACACGTTCACATTCATTCACGTGTTTATTTTTAATGTTGCGTTTTCATTGCTGTACTGAAAGATTTCATGCTGCCATGGTATAATGGTTAACACACAGAGGTGGCAAGATGTTAACTACCTTGCCTGGTATATTGGAGGTCGTGGGTTTTATATAGTTGGAATTTGAATGTTCTCCCTGTGGTCGTGTGGATTTTTCACGAGGTCGTCCGGTTTTTCCCTTCACATTTAGAAAGATGCATTTTGCGTATTTGGCTGTGATAAATTTCCACATGATAAGCCACTTCGTTGAGCTATCATTTGTGGCGAGCTCGTTTCTGCAAAAAAGCGCTACACAGCTCAGTGGGTCTTACCTGGTAATATATTTTAAAAAATCGTTGATAGTTTCAGGCTGCCAGCCCAATCTCCAGGCCTGGAAGTTGCAACAATGGAAAAGTGTCTTAAATCCCTCCGCCCTTGTCCACCAATCAGGATAAATGGATACACCACAGTTTGGGTATTCTCACCTCCTCTGGGATGTCTGGCCAATGTGGAGAAGTAGACCAAATCTCCTTTAGAGCAGCTCTCTAGACCTCACCACAGTCAGTGGATCGATCGGCAGGCCATGTGTGGTTGGGATAAAGTTTGGGTATTCTCACCTCTTCTGGGATGTCTGGCCAATGTGGAGAAGTAGACCAAATCCCCTTTAGAGCAGCTCTCTAGACCACTCTTTAGCAGAGGCTCTTCCATCCGTGGTGGCATAAACAAGCAGTTGCATGGGCGGCACCTTTACAGTTTATCCGTTGATTAATCCAAGAGGATTCCTGACTCATGTGGGCCTAATGCCTGAAAGGTGACGATCAGAGTCTGTGAAACCAAATGTAATATTATAAAATCTGCCTTTTTTTACAATTTCACGTACCACTTAATTTTGATGACGCATTGGTTAGCGAACTGCACTTTGAAACCAGCGACCTGACTTCCATTCCTAGTCACAGCAAACATTGGCGGAGAGTGATATTTGAACCGGTCCATTCCTCTGTCCCCTTTACTAACCTGCACTGACCAGCATGGGTGAATTATGGTCACACAAACTTCATAACTAACGTGGCATGGATAGGCCTTCACCCAGAAATGGATTCTAAGTTATTGTTACCACTCGATTGTCACTGACTTGGCACATTCATAGCAACCACCTGTCCAATAGCACATGAGAACCCTCAGCAATAAGGGCCGACAATGTTCTATCTTCTCACGTGACCCAATGGGATGGAGATCCTCGGTGTCAGATTTTAGAGAATGTGAATAAGTGCTTAGTCAGAAACTATAAATACTTGAGTGGTTCCTCACATACATCCTTCCCCACCTCATCGGATGTGAATATCGCACGCATCGGTGTCCCTCTGCTCTGTTTACACACATATATACCAACAGCCACTAAGTTGGCGGTGACGTCACCAGAGCACTTGTGCCAGGCTGGGTACACTTCGAGGCTACGTGAAGTGTGGAATTCTCACTGGCAAGAGGTGACATGGCAGACCCAAGTCTTATGGGTTAACTGCCCGAGATGACTGTACCATCTGCGCCACCCACTTTGCCGCACACACAAACGTGTTTTTCTTGCCCCCCCCACTTTGCCGTGTGTGTTTTTCTTGCCTCCTATTTAATGGCAAATAGTGTTGCACTATGCACGACTCTGCAATCATCTCTCTACATTGGTTTTCAATTTACTTGTTTGTTCAAATAAGTGACATTTATTCGAGTGAAAATGGTTACGAAAATTAACAAGGGGTAAAACAAAATAATCGTCGCAATAAAGACCAGAAAGTAATGTTGTATACTTACACATCTTGTATTGAATACATTTAGCGAGTGTGCACTTAATGAGAAGGATACATATTCACACACGTCAAGTGATTTCTCCTTCTACTTATTGGAAACCAAGTGACTATGGCAGTTTATGGGGATCCTGCCAGGATAAATAAAGATGCTGATTCTGGCAACATTTGCAATAGAATGCAGAATTTATTTTGCATCCTAATGCAACGGCATCTCGAGGTGTTGTAGAAAAACGGTGAGCATATTAAATTTTGTAGCGAGAAAGAGACAGTCACTTATAGGACGCCAATGAATTGGATGACAACAGCATGCAATGAAAATTGAACATATCTAGAATCTACATTCCAAGCGTCTCACAATGATATACAAATAGCAGGATGCACATTAAGAGCAAACGGAGGAATACAGTGATAGACGTGGGTAGGAGAGAAAAAGATGGTCTTGAGCCTGGGCTTGGGCCGAGGCTTGAACATGGAATCTACAGCACAGACAGCTGGGGAGGTGGGGGGGGTTAGACTATGGGGTGCAGCATAGGAGAACGAGCTACCTCCCAATCAGCAAAGGTTGACTGGGGGCTTCAACAGAAAGCATTGCTCGCTGTCGCAGAGAATGTGTAGACGGGAGTGGAGTGAGATATGATGGGAGTGATAGACATGGGCGAGTTCATGGGCGATCTTAAATAAAGGTAAGTGCCCTCTTTTACATTGATCAGTAACTGAATTGGGAGCCAGTGGGAAGGACTGGCATATCGAGGTGGTGTGGTAACATTTACGGGTGTCGGTGGGAGGTCTGGAAGTGGCATCGATGTCGTCGAGCCGAGATGTGCTTGAAGGCATGGATTGGGGGTGTCAAAGGCAGCTGGAGTAAGGAATGCCAGATGCAAGATATATTCTTGGGTTTTTTCGGTAAAGTCACGTAGGTAAAAAATTAAAATTAATAAAAGTAAAATAAAAAATAAAATAAAAATCACGACGTTTCGGAGGCAACACAAGTCTCCGTCTTCAGGTGGAACAGTCACAGCACGATAGCTGTATCAAGATTTTATTTTACTTTTATTAATTTAAATTTTTTTACCTACGTGACTTTACCTGAAAAAACCTAAGAATATGAATCCTTGCAGTCACGAAAGCTTAACATCTGGAATAGATGCAAGATATGTTGCATAGATGGAAGTATGAAGTCCTGCAGAGCTGGGATATGTGGCACGAGAGTGAGCGCTTGGGATTAATGAACATAGAAGGACATCATTGCTGTGTCTTTATTTGGATAATAAATACTGAACGGCTACTGTATAGGCACTGTAGTTTGGAGTTTAGTGTTAATCATAAAATTGGTTTCACGTATGCTGCTTTCACCAAATGTCTCTGTTCTATAAATCAGACAAAACACATTACAAAAAAATAAAAGTACACAGGTCTCTCCTTCCAACTAAAAAACATAAATCAACATTATATTTGTCCATCGACCTAATGGGCCTTCTGGACCAATGCTTTCTAGGCAGCGTTGTCCCGGGAGGCAAATTGTGGACCGGTTTCGATTTTCTGAACCTCGTCAGCAGAGGAGATCCTGTTGAACAAATATTATTGGGTTGCCTGAAGTAATGTGGCCCATGAACACACCAGTGCTGAAAGGTACACTGTCCCAAGGTGACTGTCTGTTTGCTAACTCTCTAGTATTGTACTGTAGACACTACCTACGTGCACAGATGCCCAGTCACTCAAGCTTTGCTATATCTATTCATCCCCATGGATCTCTTGACATGCATAGAGAGCCTTTGCTGCATCTCATGTCTGCTGAGTGAAGCCAAAAAGTGGCAAACGATGCTCCAATATGGCTATCAAGTGATCGTCCACGAGGTTATCTTAAGCCACGCATTCAAAAAAACACCTCCTCAGCTGCCTGCATCAACGTGGCCCACAATTTCAGCTGACAAATTCTTGTTGAGTCTGCAGTAGGGGCTCCAAACACTCCCACAATTAGCGTTTAATTCCTGAACAGCCACACACTACCTCCCCAGAATCACTGCATGTGAAATGCAGAGCAGAGGTGGATATGTGGGAGAGCTGGGGAGATACATTGTTTTGCCATAGACTCAGCTGGCATTCAGTTTTATGCGCTAAATTACAAGAAATTAAAAATAAACTAGTGAGGATTTGTCCCTCATTTACACGAAGACCAGAAATAAAATCCACAGATGTATGTAGATCTTCTTCAATGCTTGTAGTTATTGTTTTTTTCCCGTTACATGCTCAAGTTCAAGTTCATTTATTAGGTATAGCCCTGTGAGCCATTCGGCTCTTGAATCGGGTGCAACCGCAACAAAAAAAAACATGAACAAAAAAAAACATCTTAAAGTGAATGTGACTGAGTGCAAACAGAAAATACAAGAAAAGACAGCAAAATATTGCAGAAAAAACACCGTACACCAACGCTGTGTGCAAAAATCCCAGTGGGATGCAAGTCAAACAACCAACAACAACCACAAGACAACTTAGATTAAGGCCATCAGTCTAACTATGTACTACAACAAACAAACATGGCCAAACCAATACACTTTTCGATGCACCTATGACATGAATTGACACGCCTCATTTAATCCTCAAACACAGCGGGCACGGCACGCCAATGTTCACCACTGAGCCAACAGCGACAACAACACCTCCTTGACGTGCTTGTATGTTTTTCACAGAGGTACATATTCTTTCGGAAGCCGCTGAAGGTGAACCCTCCGGATGACCTCCTGGACCTGGGTGTGCGATTTATGCACCCGTTCGTGAACCTGCTCTCGCAGTCCACTTACTGGTGGCTCGGCAACCTCATCAGCCTGGCCCAGAAACGACTCATAGACCTGGAAGACATCGGCAAACTGCCCATCGGCATGCGAGCTCTCAGCAACTACATCCTTCTGCAAAATTCCTTCCAGGAACACAAGGTGGCGTCGTATGCAACTGTGGATGTTCACATGAGGGGTTGTCGTGATGTGGCGATATTGCGATATGGTTTATGCTCTAAGAGGTATGGTAATTGTTTCGCCCCTTTTGGAGAATGTCGTTATGTCGTGGTTGTTCTTGCCAATGTTATGTTTCTTAAGTGTTTTATTTCCTGAAAAAATATGTATAAAGTATCAAACGCAATAATAAAAGTTATAAATAGAAGGTTATTATTCACTAACTTAATAATTATAGAATGGGCTTATTAAAAATATATCATTGGTAGTATGCCAATTATATGACCTCATAATTTTCTTAGTTCATTTACTAAACTGTAAAAAAAATTATTTACAACTTGTTTGCTACTGACTGGACTGCTTTTTGGTTCAGCAATTTAAGAGTAAAACAATACATTTAATAAAACAAAAAATATATGCTGAGACAATGTAAATAATTGATACTAGTTTTTACATATCCCATCAGCCAGTCAGCATTCTGGGAGCACGCATTCGTTCAATAAAGCAAACTCAGGACCGGTTTTGACAATAAGCAGAGTTAGGCAAAAAAAACTGTGCTGGTGAATTGATAAATGTGTATTGGCAAAGACCACCTTCTGTTAGATAAGCTTCCTCGTTCAATGCAAAACCACACGATACGCAACAACAATAACGACTGGCATTGTTTGAAAATGTATTGGGATTTGGTAAAGTTTTTTACATTAATCAGTCCCCTATTCTGACAAAATAAATGTTGCAACAATGCTCCGTGTGCCGATAGCGCGAGTGCGAGGCGCGACAGGAGGTTGTGCCTTCGCTCTGGCGCTCGGTGTTCCGCACCTTTGGCCGTCCCATCCTCGTGAGCAGCGTGCTGCGCTACATGGCCGACCTGCTGGCCTTCACTGGGCCCCTCTGCATATACGGCATCGTGCACCACCTCAACAATGACGAGCAGCAGCTGAAGCCACAGGTTATTACTGCGGATGTAGTAACCATGCAAATACCATTCTACACAACAGAGACTCATTTCCTGGCAGCGATTTCAGCCGCACCACCTCTACATAATCATAGGCTCAGTCAACCATTCTACACAACAAAGACTCATTTCCTGGCAGCGATTTCAGCTGCATCATCTCTACATAACAAAAAGGCTCAGTCCCTTTTACACGCACCTTTACATCATCCGCACCTAGTTTACACAACAAAGACTCATTCCTAACAGCGTGCTTCAGCCGCACCGAACCTCACAATAATAATATTCAGGGCCTACCTTGGCTCCTCCCACCCTCAACCAGTATATTTACAAATACTGTTTTCTTGGAATTTCTCTCACTTGATACAGCTATCGTGCTGTGACGGTTCCACCTGCAGACGGAAGCTTGTGTTGCCTCCGAAACGTCGTGATTTTTATTTTATTTTTATTTAACTTTTATTAATTTAAGTTTTTACCTACGTGACTTTACCGAAAAAACCTAAGAATATTAATCCTTGCAGTCACGAAAGCTTCAAATCTAGAATGCAAATACGAGGCCGTCTGCTTCACAGTGGACCGATGGAGATCCCCTGACCTCATTCAGGGGATCTCTTCCATCCATGGTCCAAATTTGTCAATTGGGAAAATTACTCACAAATTCTCAAATCGGATTACATATGTATATATTTCGATTTAAAGCTTTCGTGACTGCAGTGATTCATCTTCTTGGTTCTTTCGGTAAAGTCACGTAGAAGGGAAATAATAAAATAATCTTTCCGACAGACCTGTTCTTCACCTGAGGACGGCTGCTTGCGTTGTGGCCGAAACGTCGTGAGAATAATTTTATTATGTTTTATTTTAATTATTTTATTATTTCCCTTCTACGTGACTTTACCGAAAGAACCAAGAAGATATGTATATATGTTGAACTTTTTTCGCACCGTACGTTGCCACCCGTGATAATCGGAGGTGCAATATTGGTCTCTGCTGGAAGACTATATCTGTCTGAAGCATAGCCTTCGTAATAGCCCTGCGGTATGTTAATGCAACGAATACCAAATGCACCAAATTATTTAGATTTCACGTGAACATTCACTCGCACATGTATGCAATGGTTGCTACTTCTGAGGTAACAAAAAAAAACCCAAGACGTATCATGGGAATATCTCACAGATACCAGAAGAGGGGGGGGACTTCACGTGTATGCAATGCATTGAGTGGTATAATATTACGCAAATTGACAAAAACCAGGACTTGTAATGTCTCGGGTAGATTTACAAATTTCCATCGAAGTCCACCTCAAAAAGGGGATGGTGCTGGGAAAATCAGGACCGATGGAGGCCCTAATGCAAGCATGCTTTCATTGGCAAAGAGAGCCAACCCATGTTCTCTATAGATGTCCTTTTCACCCCAATGCAGCTAGCTATTAAACCACCACTTATCCAGTGTTTATCTCTTAAGTGGCCCAATACCAAACATAGGTAGAGTGGTGGGGCAGTAGTTAGCCCACTATTAAGCGACCACTTTCTACTAATAATCTAGTGTTTATCTTTTAGTGACTTCATATCAAACAGGGGTAGAGTGCTATTGGAGTGAATAGGTCACTGGGCAATGAACCCGGCGACATGAGTTTGATTCCTGGCCAAGGCTAACATCAGTGGTGAGTAATATCACCAATCAACACTGACCAGCAAAGATTGATGTGATCAAACATTTCTCATGAAAGACATGGCATGGGGAGGCCTTCATCCAACAGCGGATTAACAAAGAGCTTAAATTATTAATTCCAGACTGTAACAGAGCAAAAAACTGGTGTGTAAAAATATATGTACCGTGTTTTTTCATGGCTTGTTTATCCTCAAAAACAATTTCATAACCAATTGACCCTGAATACGTCCAATCTTATCAGATCTCGGAAGCTAAGTGGAGCTGACCCTTGTGGGTATTTGGATGGGTCACTCGGGTTTGCCAAGTGTCGTAAAATTGGGGCTACAAAGTGGTCAACTGACTGCAGTGTTCAGTGTTATCCTTTAATATGCGTATGCTTTCTCTGGATATTTCAACTTCTTCGCAAACGGAATTGGCCAAACATCGCAATGACGGACCCTCCTAAAATAGAGTTGTGAGACTCATTGCGGCTTCGCTGATGAAATATTTTTCACCATCGTTATTTTTGAGAGCCCTAATAATGCATAGCCTGTTTGGCTCCTCAATATGTTTTAGGCCTCAGGACACCAGTCAAGACAGACCCCTCCCTTTGACAACCCTGATACATTCTACAGCTGACGTTATTATAGTGTGGCAACTGAAACAAATCTCAATAACAATTCATTCTTTTTTTGAAATTTAATAATCAATCGTTATTATTAATACTTCCAAATGTTGCTCGTGGCAGAGCACACAGGTGTGGCCACCTGCCATTGCCAGAGGGCCCTGACGAACAGGGCCACCCGCTTTTGCCTGGCCAGGTGCACCAGCTTGGCGTGTACTTCATCTCCTCGCGCGAGTTCCTGGCCAACGCGTACGTGCTGTCCGTGCTGCTCTTCTTCTCGCTGGTGCTGCAGCGCACCCTGCTGCAGGCCTCCTACTACAAGGCCATCGAGACGGGCATCAAGTTCCGTGCGGCGGTGCAGGTTCGGTTTTGTGGGTCCCCCCCCTCCTCCCCCCCCCCCCAAGTAACATCCATTATTGTTTGCCTACACGAGGGGGCACAGTTTGGAAATGCCCTGAACAAAGTGTTCTTTTTCGATTTAAAGCTTTCGTGACTGCAGGGATTCATCTTCTTGGTTCTTTCGGTAAAGTCACGTAGAATGGAAATAATAAAATAATAAAAATGAAACATAATAAAATAAAATACTTTTCATTATTTTATTATTTCCATTCTACGTGACTTTACCGAAAGAACCAAGAAGATGAAAGTGTTCTTTCCATGAAAAAAACTATATTTTCCAGTTTCAGAGGTTCAGTTAAGTTCAATGTCAAATGTAACGATATTATTTTGTGCAGAAATTGTTGATACGGCTGAAGCTGTTAACTTGCTTGACTTCTGAATGCAGTTTAATTATGTGTGGCTGCCTAGAGTCATCCCCAGAATATCAGGGGCACCAGCTAAGTGCTCTGACATTTGACTTACCCTCTGAACAAGCCATCCACCTCTAGCAGTACACATCTATTGCTCCCCTGCTATGGTCATTACACGTTCTCATGTTATAGAACAACGCTTCGTATTTCTCTCAACCCAGAGTTTTAGAAAGTCCAGGTTTTCCATGTGCATAATCCACCTTCTCTTTAAGAGCTGATCACAATATATAACATACCCGATCTCAATTAATCGCAGACTTTGAGTGAATGAGTGCTTCAGATTAGAATTGCCACAGAACAGAATATGTTGTGCTCAACTAATTCAATTTTATTAAGCAAGTTATTCTCATTTGTCCAATTTGTAACCAAACAGGACATTCTTATAAGGAAGGGCCTTATGATTAGGAAGACCTTGGCTAGAAAGTGCTTTTCATTTATACCCTAATTGCAGAATTAAATGAAAATCTTCACCTTTGAAATTCGAAAAGAAAATATTTGTAATGCATTGAGTGAGGCTTAAATAAATACTGCCACTAATATTTGTAACACTTACACTGCAGTAGTCAATTAAATACCATTTATCCACTGCTCGATGAATACCTGCCTACGTCATCCCTCATGGTCTTGCAATTATATAATCTATCTAATTCCTGCGCATAAGCTAGCCCCATCGCTCCATCTCTGTGGTGGTCGCCCTGCTAGCACTTCATCACCATGCTTGTCAGTTCGTTATGACCCCTTCGAGGAATGTATCCTTCCTTATTCCACTCACATTCGTGAACAGTCTATGTGATGTCTGTAATTGGCATTTGTTCTCAGATCCAGATGTTCCTCTCTTTCTCAGTGTAATTCCCAGCATGCATTCTCAATTTTTGTTACATTTTCTTTGTCAGTGTCCAGGTTTCCAATCCATGTCGAAGCAGGCAATATACACTAAAAACATTCCTCTACAGGAACGTTGATGTGTTACTTACCATTATCAAATTCACATTAGCATTCCAACCTGCTCTGGCCTGCCTCTCTATTGTATATGTTGATCCCAGTCTGCTTTCAATAATTATAATTAAAAAACAAATATTTTGAATAATTTTCCTTTACTCTTGTATGTTAAAATAATTACATAAAAATGCCTTGTTACATGCTTATTTCAATTGTTAGCACAGTGCATTGTGCAATATATTGAATGTTGATATTCACCAGTGCTACATATAGGCACAATCATAGCTTTTTCTGCTATGTCAGCACATAGCACACACATGGAATCTTATTTAATGAAATTGCTCGGTTCAGGTCTCAATATTTGACCTAATTTGAAATCCCTGGATGGTGCAGGTGGCCAAATTCCAATATCCGACCGCAGTTTCCAACACCTCTGGATTCCTGAATTAAAATCTAACCCTGACTGGGGTGAACAATAACTCTCCTCACATCACTAGCTGCCAAAGTGGTCATGGCATAGGCTGGCTGGGAGGATCATAGCTCAGTCGTTTATGGACATTTGGCCACAAACACAAAACGGTCAACAGAATCTTATGACGGGCATTTTATCTGGAATTCACAAGTAAAAGAAGATGACGGAGAAAAAGTGGACCTTCTTCGTTCGTATTGTCTCGCTTGAGCTTATATTACACCACCATTTATAGTATTTTAAATTTGTGACAATTTCTGTACTGTAAGAATAAATCATAATTTAGAGACCATAATAGAGGGTTTTGTGGGTTAGATCGCAGTAAATATAAATGTGTCGTAACACCTGCCACCACCCGACACAGTCAATTAGTAAGGTTTGTCAGGTAAACAGAAAATGCCAATTCCGTACTAGTTCAGCACACTGGTGTGTTGGAGAGTAAACCGACAACATACATTTTTTTTTCAATTTTTGTAAATGTTGTGGTGGCAGATTTAACGACGGAATTTTATTTACACAATCTCACCAAAAAACCCTCTTATGGTTAATATTGGCTGCGAAAGTCTACTACATGTTAAATGTGAATTTAGAGACCTTTGCCAATCCATGTCGGCCATGGAGATTGTTTGACCGTACTCCAGCCTGCTAAGTGCAATTGATTGAAAAGGGCGTCCAGTACCAGTTCAGATTCCAGCTTGCTACTGATATTGGCACTGGCCGAGGATTGAACTCAAGTCCAAGGGTCCGTAACACATTGCATTACCACTCCCCTGATACAGCAACTCCAATTGGCGGAGTTGGCTACGTACGATGTGAAATAAGTTCAACATATGTACTGTATTACTCGACATTACAATATCCCAATTTAAAAAGCATTCAATATTATAAATAAAATTCACTACTGTCAAGTCTAAGACCACACTATTTACAAATATAAAAATGGGTATCCATTAAAATGTATTGTACATTGTGTTCTTTCGCAGGTAACGTCTATCACACATTGCTATGTTGAATACATGTAAAAAAATATTAATTCTATATTATATGTAAACTCTTCAATGTTTTCCAGACGATGATTTATGACAAGATTCTACACCTCTCCACGTCCAGCGTGTCTCGTGGGAAGATGACCTCAAGATACATCTCCAACGTCGTGACTGTCGACTCCAATCAGCTCATGTGGTTCCTCTTCCTGTGCCCCAACCTCTGGGCTCTGCCTGTGCAGGTTTGCAACGAGATGTCAGTCTGAGAGACGCGACTCACAATCACCTTTGTTCCAACAACAAAAGCCCTTTCACAAAGATATCCTCATCTCCAGCTGCTGTGACGAGACTTGTGATCCGGCCTTTTACAAGTCAGACGCCTGGTATCACTTCGTTCATAATTATGATGCGAGCATTCTTAAAGTGTGGACATTTGAAGACATGGACAGTTGGGAGTGTGACTGGGTCATTTTGACCCCACAATGAGAACCACTGCCCTCGTACACATCGTTACTGGATTACCTATCATTGTTACAAAGTCGAGAGCAGTGTATTGTCAAAGTACGGTAAAGTTAGTAAAATTTACAGAAGTCGACAGACCATGCATGTCTTGTACAATAATCTAAGCTATTCATTTATTTATCTCAGATGTATTCACTTTGAAATGTCGTTATCTTTTTAATTGCCTTTAAATTCAAAATAGTAGCAGGTGCTTTCCCTGATGAAAAGTCAGCAATGACTAATATGGTGTTGTTGGCTTCAACAATATAAATGTGGAATATCCACCACTGGCTTACGGACCGCAAACTAAGAACAGCAACTACTCCAAGCTCGTCTCAGCATGGAGTAGAGAGCTGGGACTAGTAGTGTGATGAAGTCAATTCCATAGCTGTGAACCCACACGGTTTCCCGTATTCTTGTGCAGGGAAATTGAGCTTTCAGGTCCATACGGCGTAAAGCCGTTTCAATACGAGCAAACATTTTTGTGTCTAATTGTTTGAGTTTCTCCCTTGTGATGGGACTTTGTAGGACGAACGTTGAGATTTATAAGGGCACGGGGTGACCAATAAGGTCTGATTAGGTCTGTAATAAGGTAGGCACTGATAAGAGGTTGACAGGTATGGAATCAATCGAATAAATGTTGTAATTGACCAATTTACTTTGTGGTGGATTACTCAGCCAAAAAATGGTTGCCGCTCTGACATCCTGCCTCCAAAAGGTGGGAAACTCCCCACCAGCCGACCCCTACTTGACACGGCCCATGATGCCGATGATATCATGAAGTCTTGTCCGTCACCCCCTGTGGCACATGTGCGAACGGAGACGAGACTTTTTTTCTCTCGCAGCTATTTGCGCGTTATCCGATGTATTGTAGTGATCGCACCAATAAATGGGCGAAGGAAAAATCGATTGCTGAAACAACGCGAGATCCCAGCGCTAGGAGTGACCTTTCACTCCCGTGTCCTCTCCGGCGCTTTGCCCGGCAGATCATCGTGGGGGTGTCGCTGCTCTACTCCCTGCTCGGGGTGAGTGCCCTCATCGGCGCCGCCGTCATCGCCCTGCTTGCTCCGCTGCAGTACTGCATCGCCACGAAGCTTGCCCGCGCACAGAAGCTCACGCTGGTGAGCACAACTACCTACCCGAGGTCATGGGACCTCCTTGTGCCAGTACCAAAATATGAGAATAGGTTATCCCCTTTTATCTGGCAACAAAACAGCTGTGTTAAGTTCTTCTTGGTTCTTTCGGTAAAGTCACGTAGAAGGGAAATAATAAAATAATAAAAATAAAAGATAATAAAATACAATTCTCACGACGTTTCGGCCACAACGCAAGCATATAAGGGAAATAATAAAATAATAAAAATAGAACATAATAAAATAATTCTCACGATGTTTCGGCCACAACGGCTGCTTGCGTTGTGGCCGAAACATCGTGAGAATTATTTTATAATATTTAATTTTTATTATTTTATTATTTCCCTTCTACGTGACTTTACCGAAAGAACCAAGAAGATGAATCCCTGCAGTCACGAAAGCTTTAAATCGAAATTTAGGTGTTAAGTTGTTAAAACACCGAACTGAAACCTTTTTCAAAGAATCATGTCTGCATTAACAACAATGCTTGTGGTCAGAATGCAAACAAAAAACATCCTCTGATAATATATGCATTGTCTTTTAAACTGATTGGTCCACACCAGAGACAGCTTTCTTTGGAGCCTAGTCTCAAACGGTGTTAGACCAGAGGACGCCAAAAGGCGAACAGCACAAAGACAACGCACTACCCGTGACTTCGTCGTGTTCAGTGATGGACTCGTACCCCTCCATCCCTCCACTCCCCAAGCCCCCCCCCCCCCACCCCCTTAAGCCCCCCACCTCCACCCCCTCTTTTTTTTCTTCCCATTCTGTTACCCAGATGGAAGTTCTGTTGCGTAAATTTTTTCTCCGTGTTGGAATATATTGCACTAATTGTTGCCAATTAATGAAGTGACTCATCGTATTTGTTATTTAATGTATGCTTTATTTAAATGCTGCTTTAAGATGATCGTGATGTACAAACCACACGGGGCACAGGTTAAATGTATGTTTGTCGTGGTGTCCATGTATTTGATTGCAAAAATATATTATGTGCACATGTAATGTTTTATATCTGGTTCATCTTTTCATCTCTACACCTACGTATAACGCTGCACATGTATTTAATATATACACATGTTACTGATTGTATTATCTCGTATACTGAATGTGTTACATATGAAGCTCTAATCATTATTCTGAAGAATAAAATTGGGAGATGATTGACTGGTTAGCAATGCGCTTCCGCTGCATTGTATTGATCCAATAGGCACATTTTGGATTGTTGTGGCAAGCTTAATTGAACAACGTAATTTTTGTTATCGTGAAAAATAGTCGCACAATTCACTAAGAAAAGTAAATTGTTACGGTCGCTTCGAGACAGGGTCTGTACATTTCTGAGTGGGGTCAGGTGCTCACAATGGGGCCTATTGGTGTTCGTATTACTGCACGTGTGCGTGTGTGTGTGCGTGTGTGTGCATTCGGTTGTGTTTTTGTGATGAAGAGTGGCACAATGGTTAGGGCAACGTGCAATGAAATCTGCAACCGATACTCGACCACGGTCAACATCAGCTGCCAGTGGTATTAGAACTGTTCACGGGCTTCTACTAGGTCGACCCAGCCTCAAATGGGTACCTGGTGCAGTGTGTAAACATCAGCACTGGGGGGAACAACGGTGGCTGGGAGTGGTGCTGGCCATGCCTGCCTTCATAGGTGATCGATAGCACCACTTGCTATGCAGAGAATCTTTGTTCTTTTATTTGTATCTACATGCATGTCTTTGTGCGTGATGGGTGGAATGTTAACGTAGTGGTTAGCGCACTGCTCTATGAACTGCCACCACCTAGGTTCAATTCCCGGCCACGGCTAACATCAACGGCAAGTGCAATCTATACTGGTCCTGGGCCACGCCTAGATCTACTCAGCCTTAAATGAGTACCTGGTGCAGTGTCGGAACATCAGCGCTGTCGAGATGAAGGTAGCCATTGTGTATGCCCCTGTTCGTGCCATGCCGGCCTTCACGCCTACTCGCTGACAGAGATTGTCCCAACAGTCTTTTGAAGGCTGCATCGGGGACCGTTGTCTTTTGTGCGTATGCGCGATGCATTGCAGGAGCACAGCAGCTCGCGGATTAAGCAGACGAGCGAGCTGGTGCACGGCATCAAGCTGCTGAAGCTGTACGCCTGGGAGCAGGTGTTCTGCAGCACCGTGGAGGAGACGCGCTCCAAGGAGCTGCGCAGCCTCTCCACCTTCGCCATCTACACCGCCCTGTCCAGTGAGACGAGCACGGGGGGCACATGGCTCAAGGGCACATGGCTCAAGGGCATGGGTCAATGAGCATAAGCCATCACGCGAACTCCGATCATCTTCGAGGTGGCTTTTGGCTAGCTATTGAACAAAGGCGGTCACTGCATCGCGCACTTATGCAAACATCTGGAATGCTCTTCCTTCCGATATTAGAAAGCCACTAGAGCAATGCACTTTCAGATCTAGATTGAAAACTCATTTCTTTAGAACTGCTTTTTGTGTTTAGTTTGTTGTTCTTCCCCCGCACCTCCGATTAGCACGGTCGGCTGCGTACGTTGCGAAAGAAGATCAACATATGAGAATAGGTTTCCCCCTTTTTTCTGGCAACAAAACAGGTGTTAAGATGTTAAAACACCAAACTGAAACCTTTTACAAGGAATCATGTCTGCATTAACCACAATACTTGTGGTCAGAATGCAAACAAAAAACACACTGTGATAATATATGCATTGTCTTTGAAACTGATTGGTCCACACCAGAGACAGCTTTCTTTCGAGCCTCGTCTCAAACGGTGTTAGACCAGGGGACGCCCCAGTCTCAAATGGTTTTGGCGTCCTCTGGTTCTCATGAACGTAATGTAGGTATTCATGTGATTCAAGTGTAGTTTTATTATTCTAATTTTGTTCACTCGCAAAAACTATCTCATGTTTTATAGAGTTTTTTTGCTAGGATTGCACTCTCCATTTCCCCCAACCCTGCCGCCACCTAACAACCCTTGTGCCTTACAAAAAGGAATGCCGTTGAATTCATACCGCATGTCCACCCTGCAATAGGGATTCATTGTCTCAATGGGCTTTTGCCTGATTACACATGAAGCGCCTGAACAAGATGAATAAATGAATCATTCATACTTTTTTTGGACCAATCACTGTACCGACAATCGAGCGGCCAATGCTGACGAATGGGTTGGACTCTTGGTCGTTTATTCCCACCCCCAGTGGCAATGAATGTTTGTTTCAAGGCTGTGTTGACAGCTCGTAAATAAATATGGCTTTGGAATCGCCAATGAAGGTCTTGGAATCAATCTTCTTTTGTTCGACCCACATATGGTTAATTCACTGAACGTGTCACTTCAGGAAAACTCGAAATGCAAATGTAATAACAAGATTCAAGAAAGCTGCGATTACAATATTCCTTACCTAATGCTTGTTTCAGACAAGCCAGAGGGCAATTTGTGCTTAAGAGATACTGAACGGCTTCAATCAATTTACTGCACAGTAATATAAAACAAAAACAATCATTTCATTACTGTATTATGATTTATTTCAATGTTTCCAAGCATACGGTTTTACAATCATCCCTCCTTTTCAAATTTGGTAAATGACAAATGAATGATTCATGGTTTTCAAATGAATGCACAATAAGGAGTTGTCACAGTTGATTCAGATCACTGGAGCCTGCACCAGACACTCATCCATGTGTGGTATTTTATTGATTTTATTTCTCCATGCTTGCCATAGATATCTGAGCACCAAGAAACTTCCAAAGTCATGGTCTACACATTATTGTGATGATGATGGTGGTAAAAGTATTATTGCAGCCCTGTGATTGTGTTCTTACACCCATGTTGGCAGAAAGGCTTCCACTTCAAGAAGCTCAAGTGAGCTCCTCTAGAGGGTAGAGAGTATTTTGGCCTACTCTGTCACACTGGTCAAATGTCTTGGAAGTGGTGGGAGTTACCCACACTTTGTCCCACCATCCACTGCTTTCTGATTCACTCACTGTGGTGTACCCATAAACACTGCTGAGTGGACAATGGCGGAGGGATTAAAGAAATTTGCCAAATGTTTAAACTGCTGCCCAAGGAGATCTAATCGAACTGGTGACCTCTGGATTGCAAGTCCCGTCTGCTAATCATTACAGCATGGCAGCATCAATGATGATGATGATTTTATTCCACCAGTTTTATGTGATATTGAAGCAAAGTATATTTGTTAGTGATATTTGTATTGTTTTAAGGGTTAAATTTTTTAACGTGCAATGCTTACTTTTATGGATATAGGAAGTACCTTAAATTATGTTTGTGTTTTATTGAATGCAGCCTTCATGAACGCGGCCATACCGATTGCGGCTGTCATGGCGGTGAGTCCATTCCTGTTTCCTGCTTGAGCAAAATCAAAATAACTGTTCATGATGGATTTCAACAGCCGTCACTCATTAAGTACTGTGTGTGTGTATGTATACCACTGAATGCGCGGAGCAGTCGACTGCGGCGTTGGAGTCTCAGTCGGACTTAGGACTCTTATATTATTGAGTTTTATTTGAACCTCATTCCACGCGACCTGTGCCTCATAGCTTACTTGTTTGTTAGTAAACCAAAGGTGAAATGTTTAGTTTTTTTCTTTAGATTACCCCAGCAGGCATTGCTGAGTGTGTCCACATCTAACACCTAACAGGTCGGCATTGAATCGCCTTGCTATAAATTGAGGTCGCAGCATCTTGAATTGGTCAACTTCCACGTAACAGGCTGGGCAGTAGTTGTCATGACCCAAAGGCGTTTGGTTACATTGGTGAGCTGTCTACGTTCGTGCGTGGTTCCCCGTGCATTGTGAGCCTGCTGTCCCATCAGTGGCAGTACTAAGCAGCCAGTTTATTTATTAGAATGTGTCCCCAGGAGAGCACTTCGGAGCCATCTATCCACTTATTATCCTCGTGGGACAGCCTGCTCCATCATTGCAGTGATTAGATACATTTATTCACATCCGGACGTATGGAAAATTCGATTAACATTTACTGTCAATAAAGAAAGGCTGTTGCGATAATAAATGGATGCCCTGCTGAGCAATGTAGCAAAAGAGATAATGTTGCAGAAAGTTGCAGGCTCAACTTGTGAATGTCACCCAAATGTAATCAACAAGGCATGTTTGCCATTTTCATATCTGCTCAATTTTTTTTAAATCTGCATTATTGTATTCACATTTATAATTTCAAAGAAGTTTTATCAAATGTGCCATTTTCTTATTCTGATCATTTAGAAAAAGTAGTTTAACTCACTAAAGTTGACAGATACAATTAAATATGTTCCGTGGGAAAATGGATGCACGTTTAACTCATCTCCCTAAATTGAAACCATTCGGCAAAAATGCCAAGGATGCAGACAGAATTAACACAATACATTATATTTTCATGTCTTAACTTGTTATGATTTGGGGAAGATTGCCCATGCAGCAACAAATGTAATTAATTGTATTTAAATAGGTAAATTAGTGTAATTCATTTGTGCGTGGCTTTTAAAATGTTTGAGCTAGTTTCTAGCAGTTGCGGCACTGGGCAGTCAGTTTATTTATGAGAATGCCTCCCCATGGGAGCACCATGGAGCTGCTTGATTACTTCAAATGCCGCTTGATGACGTGAAGGAAAGTGATCCACAGAGTGAAATGAAGAAGAATTTTCAAGATGGGGGGAGCTTGAGCCAAAGACCTGCCATCCTATTTTTATTAATTGGCTTTTCCTGTAATTTGATTGGAGTGTAATTATTATTACTGACTTTCATGCTGTGTAATTAGTTTGCATTCCATATATATAGCAATTTTAGTCATTGTTTTTTTTTCTATTCGTTTTCAGCAATACTTGAGAGTGTTATTTTCAACTACAGTAATACCCCGATTTACGTCTTCCCCTTTTTACGTAGTTTTGCAAATATGTCGTCACTGTTGATACCACGAGCTGATTGCGTGGCCTCAACCCACACGTACGTCGCTGACAGCATCGTCTGTCCTTTCTCGTGTCCGTTGCCTCACCCTTCGCCTCCACTTACCCTGTAAATCGCTTTGATTTACGTCGTTTGGATATTCGTCGTTGGATATTCCTTTCAGGAACGCATCCCCAACGTAAACCGGAGTATTACTGTATATTCATGTAATTATTGTCCGGAGCTTTGAGATATTTCCATATTAAAGGCGTTTAATAAAAAAATATTCTTATTATAATTTGCCAGAGATACTAAAGAATTTATGTTTGTTTTACAGATCCCGGCCAAACGTTAATGTAACACTTTTTTACATCGTGCGTTTGTGTCGCTGTTCACCGTCTAGACATTCGTGACCTACGTGCACTTGAGCTCGCCTGACATAACCTTGTCACCGGCGGTGGCATTTGCGTCGCTGGCTCTCTTCCACATCCTCGTCACTCCCCTCTTCCTCCTCTCGACCGTCGTACGCTTTGCCGTCAAAGCTCTCATCAGGTGGCTTTCCACACCAGCATCCTACACACCAGGTGCTACTGTGGTCATGGTTAGCACGCTGGACCTACAAACCAAGATTTAATGTCCCGGGTGTGGCATTTGAAACTATTGGAAAGTGTTTGTAATATCCCTTGCATCTGTCCAACCAGCGGTACACCACAGTTAGTTGATCGACAGGTCTTGTGCGGTTGGATAAAGTGGGGCTACTCCCACCTATTCGAAAATGCTTGGCCATTGTGGAAGAGTAGGCACAAATATCCTCAAGAGGGGCTCTCTAGAGCTCCCTCCAGAGGAGGAGGCCCCCTTCCTTCCTCCAAGACGGGGTGTGAGCAAGAAATTGGAGGGCTTCACCTTTACCATTTTGTTTTTACTGTCCTCATGCCTATGATCATATCAGCCAGAGAGTTGAGCAGGCGGGGGCCTGTATCCTACTTAGATGGGGTGACCACCAAGCTGTAAACAGGTGTTGTAGGCAGCTGTGGGAGGGGGGGGGCCTGCTATGTTGTGGACAGCGCAGAGCTGAGCAGTCGTTCTGTACGTCCATGCCCCCACATCTGTGCTCCCTGTCTGACCCGCACCTCTTATTAGCACGGTTGCCTACGTACGGTGCGAAAGAAGTTCAACATTCCTGCATACATACATACGACCAACGTGGTGAAGTGTGGTCAAATAACCGCTGTGACCCGCACAGCTCGTGAGGAGGTCCTCATCCATCAGTGTATTCACAGAAGGGCTGTAAATGTACACACACATTTGTGCTATACGCTTTGGATTCCAATTTAACCCTTGTTGTACAGGTGTCCCGCGCATGCTCAAATTGGGTTTGCAGTTGCTCATTAATATAAAGCACATTCACCTTATGTCTCTATATATGTGTATGTAGAACTTATTTCGCTCCGTATGTAGCCAATTATGCTTATCGGAGGTCTATGTGTCTACATGTGTGTGTGTGTGGGGAGCGGTAGTGTAGCGGTTAGCGCGCTGCGTTTTGAACCCAGTGATCCGCGTTCGATTCCCGCTCACGGCCAACACCGGTGACGATAATCTGAACCAGTCCTGGGCCTCCCCTAGGTCGACTCAGACTCAAATGAGTACCTGGTGCGGTGTGTAAACATCGCCACTGGGGAGACAAAGGTGGTCGGGCGTGATGCTGGCCACCCACCCCCTCGTGTACCATTCCGGCCCTCATAGGTGTTTGCTATCAGCACTTGCCCCTACAGTCTGTTAAGGCTATATGGGGGGTCTTTGTTTGTGTGTGTGAGAGAGGTGCTCGCTAACAGCACTTGCCCCTACAGTCTGTTAAGGCTATATGGGGGGTCTTTGTTTGTGTGTGTGAGAGAGGTGCTCGCTAACAGCACTTGCCCCTACAGTCTGTTAAGGCTATATGGGGGATCGTTGTCTTTGTTTGTGTGTGTGTGTGAGAGAGGTGCTCGCTAACAGCACTTGCCCCTACAGTCTGTTAAGGCTATATGGGGGGTCTTTGTTTGTGTGTGTGAGAGAGGTGCTCGCTACCCGCACCTGCCCCAACAGTCTGCTGAGGCTAACCTGGGGGATCTTTGTCTTTGTGTGCACAATGCAGCATGCAAAAGCTGACCGAGTTCCTCGCCACCAGTGAAATTGGTGACGAACCCAACACGATGGACGTGGAGCCTCGGCCAAAAAGAAGTAGCAACACCGATGGGGTGGTGAGATACGTCTAACTAGCACGCGTTGAGAGCTTCCTCACACGCCCATTCCTCATACCCGTCATGGTCTGTCCACTCGTTCTTCTTCATGCAAATGCGGTCATTACACTGCCAACAGCAGCGGGGTTGAACTTGTCATTGCACAGCTGCTCCTTCATTTATTTATTTATTTTTACAAATTATTTTGATTATTTAAAATGGAAACGCCATCTACATCTTAGAAGGTTAAACAGCGTTTATACATGTATATCAATAACCTATTACCAACTTAGTAAGCTATGTTTGTGGTAATTGGAATATTATGTAACTATTTTTATTTGCATACCCTGAATGGATTTTCCAAGTCATCTGCTCTGATATATACTTCTAGATTTGAAGTTTTTGTGACTGCAAGGATTCATACTCTTTGTTTTTTTCGGTAAAGTCACATAGGTAAAAAAATTAAATAAATTAAATCAGACTTAAGCGGTGTGCTTTCACTAAGTTGTACCCACCTGAAGAAGGACGCTTGTGTTGCGCCCGAAACGTCGTGATTTAATTGATTTGAATTTTTTACCTACGTGACCTTACCGAAAAAAACAAAGAGTACAGATATAGGCTGTGCTATTCTGACCTTTTGCTTTGATTGGATCATGCTAATTAATTCACTTTGACATGTTTGATCATCTTAAATGGTGTGTGTCTCGCTTGGTGTGTCTTTGTGTCTCTCTCTCTCTCTGCACGTGTGTCTGCCTGTGCTGTTCCCGTGTCTGTTTTATCATTCATTTTTACCTGACGATGATTGCTTGTGTTGCAACCGAAACGTCGTCTTTTATTGTTTAATTTTATTTTCTACGTGACTTTACCGAAAGAACCAAAGAGTAATCTTAAATATACTGCATATATTACATCTGAAAAGGATTGCCAGTCATAAACAAGGGGAATTGCGCTACAATCTTCGAAATTACATGAGCAAAACATTACAGCTGTGTCGATAAATGTGCGTAGTTTATGTAAACAATATATATGTGATGTCAAATATAAACGTACAGTGCGAGCCTTGTATATCCCAATATACGGTAATGGTATGTTGGATGAGTGCATACATGTATTGTATATTTATGAATGCATTTATGAATGCATAAATATACGTGTATGCATATATATGCATTTATGTCTAGTCTGTTGAGACATTCTACACGGAAATCATGTTTTCCGAGGGACACAATTTTACTACAACCTTTTGCTATTTTCCACAACGGAATGCAGCGTTAAGGGATCGGACACATTGTTTTGCTTACCAGCGCTTTCAATGTTTCAGGCAAGTTTAATTTCCTCGACGGCCAACTACAACGCATCTGGGAATGGATCTGTGTCCGTGTGCAGCGTCAGCATCGTCAGTCGTGCTGCACAAATAGGGCTCCCTTGTGTGTTCTCCCACAGCAAATGATGGTGGTGAATCGAAAGCAACCGCAGACGCCCGTGTGGGATGATTTCGAGCCACAGGACTGGAGGCAGTTTGAATTCACCGATGGATCAGTGGACTTTGCCATTAAGGTGACATAGAAGCCCTGGAAGCAGAACTTCACAGTTTGTGGGGTGAATTAACGATTGAACGCGGTGGTCGGGTGTCTCCGTGGGCCAATCTCGAACGCGAAGGGTTGCGCTCTTCTGTGGGAGAAATCCGAATAGTCGGTGTCATGACATGATACCGATGGCACAATCATGATTCTTTTTATAATTCTATGGGAAAGGCAAAAAAACCACAGTTAACATTGAGACGAAGCTGAAATAAAATAAGGTAAAAATGTAACGAACAATATCCAACAGCTTTTCCGAAGTGTATTGTTGAGCCGTGCCATGTGTTGGGTTTGCGTGGAGCACGTGGTGAAGCCTAACTTGCTGTCGGTGGTGCTGCAGGTGACCGCTGGGGTGTTTACGTGGGCGTCCAGCGAGCCAGCCCTCCTCACCGACATCAACATTTGTATTCCACACGGTCGGTTTTACGAGTGACCCTTTGATAATCATTATTTTATAATCTGAATGTAAGCTTGCAGTTTATCGCTAATGTGGTCACGCCGTTGACTCTTAGTAGCGGCTATTACGGTGATGCTGTCCTACAATCACATTGTGTGTGTGTATGTATCATCCCAAGCATTGCCAATCCTACCAGTGTAAGCAGCAGGCTGCCGATTATTGAACACTTTTACTGCATTACCGATTCTCAAAGCAAAGATACAATATTTTGTTCGAACGTTTCATGATATCAGAATGGCTTCTTTTTTCCATCATTCTTTTCTGAAACCACATTCATCTCTTGTTTACCCATTCTGTACAAGTCAACCACACACAAAATATCTACACTAGGCTGGGGTTTCGCTGAGGTTGACTTTGTGCGTGCACCCCGTTGTCATGCAGCAATGTAAGCAATGGGAAGACGAACACATCCATGAATGTTTATGCCTATCCTGGTCTGCACAGGGCAGCTCACAATGGTCGTGGGTCAGATTGGATGTGGGAAGTCGTCCCTGCTGAGTGCGACGCTGGGAGAGATGCATCTTGTCAGCGGCTCGGTCTACTGGAACAGGTCAGGCCGTGCCGAGCAGCTCTCCCGTGGGTTGATTGTAATTCTGTTTAGCTTTGTCATTGTACGAGCTTAGCTGCATACAACATGCTGTCTCTTGCAGCCTATTTGAAGTACAGAAAAAATATAGAGGCATTGGAGATCAGCGCTGGCGCAACAGGTTTGCGCGATGAATTATGAACCCTGTCACCCTGATTCTAGATTTGAAGCTTTTGTTACTGCAAGGATTCATATTCTTAGGGTTTTTCGGTAAAGTCACGTAGGTAAAAAAATATTAAAATTAATATAAGTAAAATAAAAAATAAAATAAAAATCACGACATTTCGGAGGCAACACAAGCTTCCGTCTTCAGGTGGAACCGTCACAGCACGCTTGCTGTATCAAGTAAATGAGTTTGACTCCCGGCCGTGGCTAACATCGGTGGCGAGTAATATCTGAAACCAGCCCTCGGCATCACCCTTTACAAGCCACACTGGCCAGTGTGGTGATAGATGGTGTGAAACAACCGCCATGACCGGCACGGCATGGAGAGGCCTTCATCCGGCAGTGGATTGATGAAGTGCTTTACATATAATTACATTGCATATATATAAAGGCATTGCATTTTTTTCACTTAATATTCAGTACATTTTGTCACAGTTCATCGACATGCCATTATTTTATTAATCAATTTTTACATTATTTAATTTGATTATTGCATTTCTTATTTATCATGCTTGCTATTATAATCAACATTGTTGGCAAAGTGTAAACACAAAAAATACTCTGTACATTTCGTCAAGTGCGAAGAGAGAGCCTCAACATTTTGTAAAATGTTCGAAAAATTCTCAAACGTGAGCATAGTTTTTTTATTATTTCTCTTCCACAGTTCATCCCGATAGCCAACACGCACTGTTCTAATCATGTCGCATGCCTCCTGATTGACGGCGATTGTTCCCGCTTGGTGTTGCACCTCGCATTTGGCAGGCGACGAGGTTCCGTGGCATACGCAGCTCAAAAACCCTGGATCCTAAACTCCAACGTGCTGGAGAACATCACCTTTGGGAGCCCCTTCGATGAAGAAAGGTTCAACTTTGTTCACCTCATTACGTCTCCATCGAGCTGTAACTCTCATTGCTTCGTGGATTAAGGACATTATTTTGTCGCAGGATCGTGAGAGATGCCAGCAGCTTGGGGAGGACATCATCCAACAGTGGATTGACCATGGCTGATGATGATGATGATCTCATTGCTTATCACATTGCACTGCTAAGTTCTCTTTCACAAGCGGTAGTGGAGCTGAGACTATGGTATAACAGAAAAATGGCACTTCTCATCAGTACGCGGCTGATACGTATATGGATATTTTATCTATTTATCTGCAATTGTGGTGAAGCGTTGATTTTTGTGAGATGTAGTCTATGATGAAGTGAACACTGTAATGAAAACTACTTTAGATGTGCTCTGGATGCATGCCGTGTCAATCCAGTGGAGGCTTTTGGCACCATTAGAAAGAGAAAACTGATAAGCAATACACGGACGGCCGTAAACATCTTATCCCTTCACATTCTGAGCAATGTGGAAAAGTGGTGGAACCAAGGAATAATTTATCATGGAATATTTTCCAGGGCCCTCTAACCCCCCCCCCTGCCTCCCCAGGGTCCTGGCTTGCCTGATAGCCAAGGGCAGTGGAGGGCAGGAAAATATATTCCAGAACTCAGCCCTGGTCAACTCTATCTGAAATTAATCCCTGGGTGAAACGCTTCACCCCACCCAAGCAATGTGATGAATTATTGAGAGTTTAGGTCTCAATGCAATTCAAAAATCGATTCTTATTTTGTTACATTGTGAATGGTCGTGCCTCTATTGTCTACAGGGTTTACGTGCACCCATCCCATACAGCATTAACAGTACAAATCTAAAAACATTGATTCTTTCACATATGATTCGATACATGCATTATTCGTTTAGTAATAGACATTGAGAGACATTGAGGTAGTGTCACAGCTGTGAAATGTATTATAATACATTATGATTACAAATGCATTGAAATATTTGAAACAAATACCCACTATATAACCCCCTTTAGTAAAGGCATGAGGTCGGTCACCGAAGTATGTATGTTTAATTTTATCATTACCGTATGTGGCCAACCACGCTAATTGGACACACAGTAGAAGCTGTTTAGAATTTTATTGCGAATGGTAAATAGCTGGAACCATTTCCCACGGAACATCTCGACGAGGCTGTGACCAATTCAACGGATTAGTAATTTTCCTCGATTAAACATGTGGATTGTGGGCGTCATCTGATATGTATTACCAACAAATTATAGACCGCCACTCCATATTCCTGCATGGGCAATCATTTGCGCTGTCACCAAGGGAACCGGAAGCCTCTTAATTTAGAATCGTGGATACGGTGATCAATGCAGCTGACAATGTGGGGTTTATAAATGAGTGACGGATTCCCGAGAGGTCTTAACCATTTCCAATGCCGTGCAGGTACAAAGCAGTGATCAACACGTGCTCGCTTCAGCCTGACATTGACATCCTGCCCCAAGGGGACCGGACCCATATTGGAGAGAAGGTCAGTTGAAAATTGATTGACAAAACAGATTCAATGTAACAACACGAGATCATGAGACATTTAACGACAACAAAAACAGGGCTGTCCCAAGCGCCTGTTCGATATCGCCTCTAACTCTTTGTTGAAAGTTACAATTTCCGTGATTATATAGACCGTAGCGGATACCTCTGAATTATACTGATAAATACATGGTTGGTCGATGTTCAAAGTTGAGTGGATTGTATGTGCTGGTGATGTTGCTGACGCCAGGAATAGTGGTTGTGCTGTTGGTGCTGCTGTTGATAGCGATGCTGCTGGTGGGTAGTGCTAATTGAGTTTATATACCATTCAATTAAACGTGCGCAAATTAGGCAATTACATCTTACAACCTCTGTTGATTGGATAGGTTATATTTTTTTCCTGGTTATTTAGGAAAGCCTCGCTTAGTTTGAAAGCTCTTGCTAAGGAGGGTCCTGATCGTAATGTGTTTCCAACCGTAGATTTGAAGCTTTCGTGACTGCAAGGATTCATACTCTTAGGTTTTTTTCGGTAAAGTCACGTAGGTAAAAAAAATTAATTAATAAAAGTAAAATAAAACAAATTAAAAAAATTCACGACGTTTCGGAGGCAACACAAGCCTGAAGACGGAGGCTTGTGTTGCCTCCGAAACGTCGTGAATTTTTTTTTTTGTTTTATTTTACTTTTATTAATTTAAAAAGTTTTACCTACGTGACTTTACCGAAAAAACCTAAGAGTATGTTTCCAACCGGGTTATGATAGTGCACGTCAGTAACCCAGCACTTCGTGGATCGCACAGATTTGTGAAGCTTCCAAACTCGCTGGGCTGCAAAGGTGGCCAGGAGATGACAGATCCGCAAATGGATTAAATCCACCTGTGCCTGCAAATTGGAGTGTTATTCCCTTTGGTATTGGTTTTTTTCTCTCTGGGTATTTAAATTTTTACCCATACATCAAGACTTCATTCCAATGCAGGACTCTCCTAAAAATATTTATTGAGACTCAGTAGGGCTTTCCTGGATAACCAAAGGCCCTTATTGCAATTATTATATTTGCATGTGAGTGGAAACGAGCATGCCTGGAGAAAACCCATGCAAATGAGGGGATGATACTCCTCGGTTGTGTTGCTTGTGTGGGGGGGGGGGGCGGGGGGGCATAGTGCTGGGTCACTCAGTTCATGTTGTGCCTGCAGGGGATCAACTTGAGTGCCGGGCAGAGACAACGGATCAGCGTGGCTCGGGCTTTGTACCAACAAACGAACGTTGTGTTCCTGGTGAGAAAACACATTCCGAGGACAGACGTGCCAGGATGGGACATGACTTTAAAACGAGGACACACGGTGTCCACTTAAAGGGTTGGATTAAACACGTGGTATTGACCGAATGAATGGATGGGGATATGTCCCCGTGGTACAATGGATATTGCACTGGACTTTGTATTCCAGAGGTTGCTGGTTAAATCTCCCATCGCGGCACTCGAAAAATTTGGAAGTTTCTTGAATTCCTCTTTCCACCCGGCAGTAGTCAATCAGCAGGTCACTTGTGATTGGGTAAAATGTGGGTAATTGCCACCTCTTCCAAGGCATCTTTCCAGCGTGGAAGAATCGGCTAAAATACATTCTAGAAAGCTTTATGTATTTAATGCGTGGCACACACTAAATAGCGGATTTAAACACACTATTGTGGCGTGTATTGATGATGCAAACGTGCAGCATTTGTGCAATCGTAGGCTGATGCAAATTGCTCATTTTCAAAAATATTAAAATGACACAGAAATAAACCCACCTCTAATCAGATGGAAGAGTGTGGAATATTCAGCAACCCGCAGCTGTGGTGGTAAAACCATTGGAATACAAGCAACAGCAGCCATGCGGTCCCTATAACGTACATTTTTCTGAGAGAATATTCGCATGTTAGTTTTAATGAGCCAAAATTAGTCTGACAAATTGGGGCAAAAATGTCTTGTTATTGGTTGTAGAGAGAGCAATGCGAATACAATGAATGACAATGTTGGACAGAGGCCTTATTTAACAACAGTAGGAACAGCTGCATTAACAGAAGTAAAAGCAAGAGCATTAATAATGGTACGATGCATTCAAAGAGATGCATTGAGCCAGATATAATGGCTCAACTGAATATTGAATGAGAGATAAAATTATCCTCTAACTACAGCTTGCATCCTACAATTATTACATACCCTGCCAGGAGAAAATTAGATGCATGTTTTCCTATGTCTGCAATAATGCAGGCAACCCATCCTACGTGTTTTACCTGTGCACTTGTTTTTGTAAAGAGTATATATTTTTATTTAAATGTTGATATTTAGCAACATTGGTAACGCTGTTAAACATTCATACTGACAACTTGATAGTCATTCATATAGGTCCCATTTTCACTCAGAGATATGAACCTTAAAAAGGCTTTGGGAACAACACATCAATATTAGCGGCTTGATTCAACACTGAGATTGATCCAAATCTGTTTAGTCCGCGTGTCCCATAATATAGAGATCATTCATACCACTGCTCACATACCTGTTACAGCGAGTGTGAGTAAATAAAGATTATGCCGTTACACGGAGCTTGTATTATTTCCAATGTGATTGATTTATTCTGCTGTGATGCAACGTGCCTTCTCACACATCAGTGTTTGTTCATAACATTCTGCATTATGCACGTTGATACAAAGTAATTGCCAAGCTTGGTGGCACAGTGGTAACGTAACATTACAAAGTTCAATTCCAAATCAAGGGTTGGCTCAACCCTTTATTTCTATGGAAGCAATCATATCGACACCTTTTTGCGTAAAGTCTGCTCTGGTTTAATTATATGTGACTAAGTCCTGCCATAGAAATGTGGAAAGTATAGCCCAACCACAGCTTCGTGTCCTTTGTCCTCAACACAATCGCCCACCCCAAAATGTTTGTCCTGTCCACCGCGTTACCGCATGTGAAGGTTTGTAATTCTTCTTCTTGTTGCTGGTGATGTCAGGACGACCCGTTCACAGCCCTGGACATCCACCTCAGTGACCATCTGATGCACAGCGGCATCCTGGGCCTACTGCACAACGACACGCGCACGGTCGTGCTGGTGACGCACAAGCTGCAGTACCTCACTCACGCAGACTGGGTGAGTGCCCCCAGCCTTCACGTCAGGGCTACCACCTGTTCTGGTTTTCCCAGGATGTCCTCTTTTTAAATCCTTTATATTAAGTTCGCTTGCTTGCTTGCTTGCGTGCTTGCTTGCTTGCTTACGACCGTGCAAATCTTTCGGTCGTTTTTTAACCCACTTCCCGTGATCCAATCGAGCTGACATTTTCCACACAGACTCGTTGTGCGAGACAATTAATTTTCGTGAAAAAAAATTTCCAAAATTTTACACTGTTTAGGGAAAACAAATTAAAGATTTAATTACCAATTGCTTAATACTGGCAGACAATCATCTGACCCATAGGTGGCAGCCATCTCAAGCCAGAGGACGAGAGGACTCTAGCCGCCACGCATATAAAGGATTTATAGTGAAAAACTTTGTTTTTACGGGTTTACTTGTTTTGGAGCCAGCCATCCAGGCTCACACGTAGAGTCTTCTCGGAATATTCTCGTCCAATGTTTTGGCAATTGTATAGTCACACGCACAGGGCTTAATTCCTAATTATGTGACCCTGCTAGGCTGATTTAGAGGAGGGATTGTTGGCGTAAAGAGCGACCACTATCATTCATGGTACGCCCATCCATTTAATCCTGTATTACTGTTCGCTGTGTTCCTATAATCCGACACACATGTTATCAGTATCACGAGGACAATAAAATACAAGATGGATGTCATGTAGCAAAATAATTCCCAGAACAGCGTTCTCATTGTTCTGGCTGAAATAAACCTCGGAATACACTAAAAACAATGCATTTGCATGCTGTCATTCCCCCTTCCAGAATTGTGAAATATTCATCTTTCTATGATATGTCCGAGTTTTTTTCCGAGGTGGCAATCCGAATTCTCACTTGCTCACTTATTCACTCAGTTCAATCAATCAAACAGTGAAGCAGGCAGAGATCCTGCAATCAGTGATTCAGTCATCCATCATCAAACAGTCAGTATAGCAAGTCAATCAATTATCCAGCAGTCTCTGAACAGGAACAAAGTATAATTGATCGTTAATCATTTGTTTAGTAAGTAAAACAAAATTAACAATGGACGCAAATATACAGATACAATAATCATTTTCTTTGCAAGAAATTAAATTATTATCAATAATGTGCATAATTTTACTCCAATTTGTTTCTGATATATTTAATTAGGTTAAGGTGTCAAACAATATGGCGAGTGTGGGTATATTCAGTGCAGGAGATGCATAGGGTTTTTTCCCCCCTAATATTGCAGGCAGTCATCTCAAACCCTGTATTAAGGTAAGCTCATATTCTAATTACAGCTCAAGACAATATTCACATGAAAGGCTCATTACTCGTTCATTAGTGCTAATGAGATTCGATCAGGCAAACCATGGGCAAGCTTATCATGCATTAAATTTTATTTTTGTAACTGGTTTATACACTGCTATCTAAACCCAGCAACCTGTCTTAATACCCGGCCATAGCGAACAGTAGTGAATGGTATGGCAACCAATCCAACTAATTCACCAATCTTTGCTGACAGGTTAGGTGAAGTATGCTCAGATAACCCCCATGACCATTATGGCATGGAAAACCCTTCTTCCTGGAGTGAATTGACAAAGCTGAAAATTAGTATGTGTTGTTATTTTGCTTTCAGAAATGTGTAATGTGAGGTTATAACCGGATCGTTGACGGATTACAACTCGTCATGACGATTGGCTCTGCCGGTCCTGGTTCATAGCCAATGGGAGGAAGCCTAGGGGCGTGGCCCTGACATAATGGAAAGGTGACAGCTGGTTGTAGAGGATTGGTTCTGCTTGCTTTAGCCACAGCCAATGGGGAGACGAGTCAGGGGCGTGGTCCCGGGAGCCTCTGGAATATTCCATAGAGGCTAACCAGGATTGGTGGAAACGTACCACGTGACCCGGGTATTAAATAGGGGTGGAGACGTATGACACGTGGTCAGAACGGGAACGAACAGAGGAAGGGGGCCACGCGGGAGCGGGGCTCCGGGTTGCCACGTGGCTGTGTTTCTCTCTCTCTATCTGTCCCTCTCACGCTGTCTGTCAGCAGCGTGAAGGAAAGCTGTAATGCAAAGTTGAATAAAAGACCGGATTCCAGAAGTCACCTCAACGACCTTTATTACAAATGTATAATGCATAGTGGCCGGATGGCTAAGGGGTCCGAGCACTGGGCCAGCACGACTGACATTCTGTCTTACAATCTGGGTTTGCAAGTCTTCTTCTTTCGTATGTTGGGAAAAGCTTACAATGGGACATCTAGTTTGGCGATCCACTCAATGGCTTTCTGAGATGTATGTACGTAGCCAACCGTGATAATCGGAGGTGTGGATGCTATGTGTAAGTGTCTGCAGCAACAAATCTCAGTGGGCAGGTTGATCCGATATGCTCCATGGTCTGGGACTCATGGCTCCAGTCCCATTTGGGGTAACATCCCTGATCTTCCACTCGTGAAGCAGATGGCTGTGTCATCGCCCACGTCCAAGCACGTTGATGATCTCAGCCTGTCACCAATAACTGCACAAACATCCCGTATATTAAGTTTGGCTTTCATGAAATTCAGCAATTTCAACATATATGTTTTGGCTTTACTGCCATGTAACAAACAATACTTTCGCAGGGTTCTTGGGAAAGTGCAACACCCCTAGAGTAATCAAGGTCACTTAAACATATCTCAGAAGTAATTTTGATATTACCTTTCACGGGATATTTTTGCACACATTGTGATCCACATCTCGGCAAGAGTTCTGAATGAGTATTCTTGTCATTACATGGCACTTCTTTGTTTTGTCACGTGTGCATTTGTGCCGGGCCAGGCGGCAAATTTATCATTTGCATAATGCGGTGCCACTAAGCTTGGTTATCAGACAATAATGTTTTCAACAATGTGTCTCACCGTCTATCTTGCACCACAGCTACAGTTCAGGTTGTCGTGTAAGCCCCACCTTAGCAGGCTTGTTGCGCATAGGAAACCTTGGCCAGTTTGGGAACACTTGATCAAAAGTAGGACTGCCAGAACGCGGTGTCATCCACGAGGGATGGGTTCCTTGTTGACTATGAGAGCCACTCCTCCATGCCACGGTGACTCTGCTAACACATCCTGGCGTGGCATGTTGATCCAGAGTGAATGCCGTGATGGCAGATGGGCAGGAAACAGGCGAAAGAGGCCATGACATGGCACTGAAAGCACAATCGGAATAAATGTGGGGAAAAGACAATGAATGAAAATTATAATGCAGCAATTACATACGTAAAATGAATCTGAATTGGTATTTCTGTCATAGTGAGTTACATGGATTCGCAATGTGTGTAAGTGTCATATTTCCCTGCAGCAGTTTGATCCAGAGAAGTTTGTGGAAGCAGAGCACAAAGGGTAAAAGTCTAAATGTAACTCGCCAAACAGTTATGATTGTTTAATCATTATTAAATGTAAACTCGCCGTGTGCTTGCAAGAAATGCGAACCAATTTCTCTATTTTTCTTAATTTTCACAAAAGTATTGATTTGTACGGAATTATTGAATGCTTCATGTTTTTATCGAGCCTGTTAGCAGGCACCGGTAGCACAACAAGGAGTAGTGTGCCCAGCACCTTTTTTCAGATTCCAAAGAACACAGGATGAGATGTTACTATCCTTTGTGCAAGCACTTCCAAGAGTTCATGAACAGTGAGCCTGGTGAAATTTGGGGAGCGCATCGTCAGTAGTGACCCCCGGTTGTAATGTTGGCAGCCAAATGCCAGATGCACAATGTAGGCTGTATTGACTTAATGGGTGCTCCGGGTGAGATTAAGATTCCAATTCCGTTAGTTGTACATAAACAGAATTGTTAGTTGTGGCATCTGTTCAAGCAATCCATACTCAAGTACAACGGAAAAACGATGAGGGAGACTAATAATGGATCTATTGATACGATTATCCAATAACTTAATGCATGCATATTTGATTTTGGAAGAGTTTGTCTGTTACTAAATATATCTATCTCTCTGCTACGAACAAGGGTAATTACCCCAACACTTTTTCTATTATATAGATAAAGCAGAAATATGTATTGTTTTCCTTTTAGGGCGGTGTCAATAACGAACAAGGAACAACACAGAGGTGTTCTTGCGTACGTATTTGTTTCTGTCATTCCAGATCGTTGCGATGAAGGACGGGACGGTGCAGAGGGAAGGCACCCTCAAGGACATCCAGACGTCAGACCCTGAGCTCTACGAGATGTGGAAGGAGCTCATGAATAAGCAGGACGAGGAGCTACAGAAGGTGTGTGGACGTTTACACCATTGGAACTTCATTTGCCAGTAAAAAATATGATGATTGGTTTTGCGCCTTTTGCGGTCATCTGGTCCAACCCATGTGAGACTAGGCTCTAAGGAAAGCTGTCTCGGGTGTGGACCAATCAACTTCAAGGACAGTGCACATTATCAGAGTTATGTTTTTTGTTTGCATTATGACTGCAGGTATTGTGGTCTATGCAAACATGACTCCTTGTAAAAAAAGGTGTCAGTTTTGTTGCCAGATAGAAGGGTAAAAAAAACAATTATCGTGTGTGGACGTGTCTGCTCACTTCCCTGCACTCAAAACGGACCATCCCAGTTCAATTTCCCTGTCGGTGGTGAATATATCCTCATCGGTGCTGGACCACATTCCCAGACCAAATGTCTACTTAGCCTTACATGAGTTCCGAGTGCAATCTGTAAATATCGCATTGGGCGGAAAAAGATTTCCAGCTGCAGGGCCTGCCGCGCGTACGCCGTGCTGGCCTGAGCAGCTGCTCGCTTAGAGAATTTGCTCAAACGGCCTGGACGTTATCTTCTTGGTTCTTTCGGTAAAGTCACGTAGAAGGGAAATAATAAAATAATAAAAATTTAAACACTATAAAATTAAATTCTCACGACGTTTCGGCCACAACGCAAGCAGCCGTGTTTAATTTTTATTATTGTGTTTTATTTTTATTATTTTATTATTTCCCTTCTACGTGACTTTACCGAAAGAACCAAGAATATGAATCCCTGCAGTCACGAAAGCTTTAAATCGAAAAAAAGCCTGGATGTTGGCAATGTCGACCCATCATCACATACCCCAGCAAGACGAGCCAGACAGTCCACTCTTGCAAGAAAATCACACCCACTCTGCTTGTGCAATAAAGGTCTGCCAAGGGCACTGTGAAAGCGGCAGAGTAAATGTGAACGATTCAAAGCGCTCGGCTCTGAAGTGCATTGTAATTTTGCACACTGAACTGAGTTGGATTTTTCCCAATGATGGCCCATATTGATAGTGCCTTTTGATATCTTTCCCAGGAGACTATTATTCAGAGCAGAACAGTTTTGGAGCGAAAGAACCTTCGGCGTGCGATGTACTCCAAAGAAGTGCTCGTAAAAACGTCGTTTGAGGATGAAGAAAACGGTAATATTGCCTGCCACCTTGTCATGAGTCCTGCACAAGGCCAAACTATAAAGTGTCTCATTTTCATATGCGAGGGTAAAAGGCCAGCTCCATTAATTGTGGCTTTTGTTTTGTCCTGAACTTGGCTCCAGGTGAAGTGCTGCACATTCATGAAAATGCAAATGTGTGTTTCGTTTAAACCTGCAGTGGTTGGTGTGTGACGGTAACACGGATCGCGCTGTCTTGTGCACCACTCCCGCTTGCTCAGATCTGATGGCCATTCATGTGATATTTCGCAGGGGCAAGTATCCGTGTGGGTTTGTCCTAAGAATTGTGCGTGTGATTTGTCATCTGACACGAGATTCTCCTACTTGGCTGCATTTAGAAAGGGCAACCAGACGCGCAGATGCCGCAGAGAGTTGTTTTGAACGTTTTTAGGGCGTTGAACACAAGTAATTTGGAGCATAAATCTTCATAAAGGCAGAGTTGTCGCCCTTTAACTAGATGCAGCCAACTGCAGTGTGGGAAAAAGTTTCCCAATTTCGCGAGAGGAAAACGTTCTAACGGCTTTTATATCTCTAATATTGTGACACTGTGCTCGGCACAGATGGTGAATGGGGGGGCAGGGTGTGTGTGTGTGTTTGTGTTTGTTTGTTGGTCTGGCTGCCACAGCATATCATGATTTTTGTTCAGAGGCAGAGTTAACACAACCCCCTACAAATTGTTTTTGAACCACTCATAACAAGCGAGTGTTTGACTTAACAATGACTTCACATGTTCTGCCGTGCGTATAACCGAGGCCATTTACTTCAAAGGAGTGCACATGCACTCCGCTTCATTCTGCAGGGATGGACACTTCTATTGCTTCCGCCCAACCTTAGTTCCATCACCACAGTTTTGTTCTCATCAGCTATGACGACAACGGTCACTTAAGCAATAGGTCACGCTGTCGACACAGAAGGTCTAGAATATGTTTAAGCGAATTCCACACATCACGATTTATTATTGCCTTCCACATTGGATAGTAGCGATTCCAGTTCAGTGTTGATAGCTTTGGCTTCAATTTCACATTTTATGATATTTTTCTGCAGACTCAAACTTGCATTCTATTTAAAAACCCTAACCGACTTAAAAAAAATAATCGTAGCAGTTTCATGCACAAAAGATGAAAGCCAAATGACTTTGACACCGCAAAAATATGAAAAGTGATGTTTTGTTATTGTATGTATATCACTGGTCAACACACTTTTTCTGGAATAAGGTATTCCAACGGTTTTAAGGTAATTTTGGGGTGCTGATTCACATCAGGTTTTTGAGATATCGAATATTGCATTTTCAATAAAAACTGCAGAAGAAAAATATTAATTAAATGTGGATATCAACATTAAATGATATTATAAAAACACTATCCTAAAAATACAGCACCATATTTTAACACGAAAGCAGTCACTGACTCGCAACAACTTGCAATCATAAGTGACAGAGTTAATTTCGGGTAAAATCAATGAAAATGGGGTATGCCGATAGCATAAAAATGAGATGTGATAGAGCAAATCTGAGATCAGATTTGGAATCAGCACCCTGAAATTAGTCTAGAACAGCTGCAAAAGTCCAGGCCAGAATTTTTTTTTTTGTTGACCAGTGTATTATAAGTACAATATAGCGCAACGGTTATTGTATATTTAATAATGTAATGAACCGTTTTCAGACACCAAAGTCATTCAGCAATTTGGAAGCAAGGTTTGGTAGATCGTGCATTTTATCCCAAAGTCACTGGACTTCACAATCACTGGGAAATGGCAGTGAGTTGGACTCCATCTGTGCAAAGGTTTGAGTCTTACTTCCTAGTATGCTAGGATTTATGTGGGTAATTCAGTTCGCTCCCATGTGCCAAACACTAATTACTAGAATTGGCCAAACATCCCAAAGCAACACTCTGCAGAAACACAATCTTGAGACTACCCTGAGGATTTTCTTGATGAATAAAGAGCATTAACTCAGAGCATGTGAGCTGTCAACAATCGTATATGCACATATAGTGAAGGATACTGAGACAGTGAGTGTAATGGTTAGCACACACGACTTGCAATCCAGAGGTCACCAGTTCGATTCGATGTACCATTTAAATAATGGCCAAGGTTATTAAATCCCACCTCTGTCCACCCACCAGTATACACGAGCACACCGCACTCAGTCAAACATCAGGTTGCGTGTGGCTAATACTCCCACCTCATGCAAGACGTTTGGCCAGCTTGGAAGAATAGGCCAAATACCCTCTTGAGAAAGGCTCTCTCGAGATCCCTCTAATAGAAGCCCATCTGTGAGAAGTGGCACAAGCAAGCAATTTACCTTTTCATTCAACTGAAATTCATGATGATGGTAACGATTGCGATCACGGTAATAATAGTGGTGGTAACGATGCTGCTGCTGCTGCGATGCTGGTGTTGTATGTTGTGTAAGACGCTTGCCGTGGCATGTAATGCACACACAGAGGAGGAGCTGGAAGTACACACGCAGGCCCGGGAGACGGCCACTAATCGCCAGCTGCCGGGACTGCCTCTGGGCGAGTGGCGGTCATACCTGGCGGCCAGCGGGTGGCCCCTGCTGCTGCTCATCGTCCTGTCTCAGCTTTGCAAGCACGTCTCCATGGCCGCGCCAGACTTCTGGCTCGCCGTGTGGACCAGCCGCGCCCTCAATGTCACAGCTCAGAACCACAGCTGCACCAGTGACCTGCTACCCGAGGTGCCGACGCGGCGGCTGTAGAACTGAGGTCCCATGTAGAGGTAGAGGTCATGAGTAGAACTCAGGTCCCATGTAGAGCCGAGGTCCCATGTAGAGGTAGAGGTCTCATGCCGAGCTGAGGTCATGAGTAGAACTCAGGTCCCATCTAGAGCCGAGGTCCCATGTAGAGGTAGAGGTCTCATGCCGAGCTGAGGTCATGAGTAGAACTCAGGTCCCATCTAGAGCCGAGGTCCCATGTAGAGGTAGAGGTCTCATGCCGAGCTGAGGTCATGGGTAGAACTCAGGTCCCATGTAGAGCCGAGGTCCCATGTAGAGGTAGAGGTCTCATGCCGAGCTGAGGTCATGAGTAGAACTCAGGTCCCATCTAGAGCCGAGGTCCCATGTAGAGATAGAGGTCTCATGCCGAGCTGAGGTCATGAGTAGAACTCAGGTCCCATGTAGAGCCGAGGTCCCATGTAGAGGTAGAGGTCTCATACCGAGCTGAGGTCATGGGTAGAACTCAGGTCCCATCTAGAGCCGAGGTCACATGTAGAGGTAGAGGTCTCATGCCGAGCTGAGGTCATGAGTAGAACTCAGGTCCCATGTAGAGCCGAGGTCCTATTTAGAGTTAGAGGTCTCATGCCGAGCTGAGGTCATGAGTAGAACTCAGGTCCCATCTAGAGCCGAGGTCACATGTAGAGGTAGAGGTCTCATGCCAAGCTGAGGTCATGAGTAGAACTCAGGTCCCATGTAGAGCCGAGGTCCTATTTAGAGTTAGAGGTCTCATGCCGAGCTGAGGTCATGAGTAGAACTCAGGTCCCATGTAGAGCCGAGGTCCCATGTAGAGTTAGAGGTCTCATGCCGAGCTGAGGTCATGAGTAGAACTCAGGTCCCATGTAGAGCCGAGGTCCCATGTAGAGTTAGAGGTCTCATGCCGAGCTGAGGTCATGAGTAGAACTCAGGTCCCATGTAGAGCCGAGGTCCCATGTAGAGTTAGAGGTCTCATGCCGAGCTGAGGTCATGAGTAGAACTCAGGTCCCATGTAGAGCCGAGGTCCCATGTAGAGTTAGAGGTCTCATGCCAAGCTGAGGTCATGGGTAGAACTCAGGTCCCATGTAGAGCTGAGGTCCTGGGTAGAGATTCCTGCAGGAATGATATGCTGAATCTCATGATTCCTCGAGCGGTGATTAAATTCAAGAAAGTGATTCCTATAGGTGATTAGATTAATTGGGGGAAGGGAGGGAGAAGGAGGGTTATGGAGCTGTCTATGCAAACTAGGTGCTTCGTATTTAAATTGTTTTGTCATTGACTCTATCTCTCAATATATTCATTATGCCAAGAAAAATAAGAACATTTCTTAAATGATCCACTTGGTTTACTTAAACTTGGTTTTTATATTTAAAAAAATACATTATTACTATGTTTATGAAGGAAAAAAAAAGTTCAAACAGAGTTATAAGTGGGACACTGTGCCACCATATTCCATGACCTTGCTGTGATATTGATTTTTTTCCTGCACCTCGGCCATGAATTTTACAAAAAATGACCGTGACAAAATCATAGCCTTCCCCATCGGTAATCGGTGTGACACCCCCCCCCCCCGACTTCCCTCAAACCATGACAAAATGACTTTCAAACGGGTAAACAACAGCGTGGTGAAGTATGGTGAAACGATTGCTGTATCCCATCAGTGGATTTGACAAAGCTGATGTAAATGTCGCTTTTAATATTGCTGAAATTTAACTGACCATAAACATTAGTACATGGTTCATGCCCAAAAAACATTTGTGGTGAGACAAAAGTAACCCCCATCATACTCTTACGTGCCTTATTGGCATTAATATTCAGGGCGATCAATGTATACATACCCCACTAAAATGATGAGGAGATAGAGGGAGAACAACATTTGATATCAAAGCCTCTTAATGTCTCAAATCAATCTCAGTACAAATATGAAATATTTAACACTGTTCTTTGTAAGAGATCGAGCCATCACTGTCACAATATTTAATCACTTTCTGGGAAAAACGTAAGATGATAATTAGAATTCAGCATGGTATTGATGGATAGATCATGTTATTTAATATCCTGAAGACTGACACTGCGCTTGTGCAAATGATTCATGTCTGTTTGTCCTTGTCTCTGTGTTGCCCATATCCCTGTGTATTTGAGCAGCCCTGATTGGTTTGTCATTGTCTCTGTGCCTTCAATCACTGTTGGTAAGCGTTTGTCTCTTTGTTACTCTCCAGCTGCTCTGTGTCTTCGAGCACCCTTGATGGTGTTTGTCTGTGTGTCGCCCATAGTCCTGTGTCTTTGAACATCATTGATTGGTGTTTGTCTCTGTGTGTCGCCCGTAGGACTGTGCCTTCGAGCACCGCTGGTATGCGTCCATCTTCGCCGTACTCTGCTGCCTGGCCGTGATCATGTGTCTCATCTCGTCGCTCGCCGTCGAGTGGGTGGGACTCAAAGCGGCACGGGGCCTGCACAAGAGGCTGCTGGGGCGCATCGTGCGCGCTCCTTTGAGGTGCAGGCCTCTTTCGCTTACATATCATCGTCGTCGTTATTATCGTCATCAGCAGCATTGCCTCCATAATCATCATTTTCATCATCAGCAGCATCTTCATTACTATCGTCATCACTAGTAGGAGCATCTTCATTACTATTTTCATCAGCAGCAGCTTTCTCTTCATTATTTCCAACAGCAGCAACTTCATCGTCACTTTTTGGTCATTATCATCAGCAGACGCTGCATTTTCTTATATTTTGTCCTGGTCATCATTATCAGCAGCATTGTCTTCATCATTGGTGTTACCATCATGATTGTTACTTGTACTACGTCAGACCAAAAGTGCCAGTGTTGTTGATCATGAAGATTATTGTTGTATTGGCAGATTGATTTACCAATATCTGACGTTGATTGAAATGCCTTGTGATAACGTGTGTATATGCATTGCAGGTTCTTTGACACTACACCTCTGGGAAGCATTCTAAATAGATTCTCTGCTGACTTACACATGATTGATCAGGTCAGTGGGAAGTGTGAGTAATAGTGAAATGGAATGTGTGTGTATATATATACATATTCCTCAAAGTTTACCTAGCCTGACACAAGAGCCGTGATAATGCCACCACCACCTGTATGTGTGCAAGTAAAATATATTTCAAACTTAATTTGGAGCTTTCGTGACTGCAGGAATTACTCTTTGGTTCTTTCGGTAAAGTGACTTTACCGAAAGAACCAAAGAGTTAAATATATTTCGCGCCATGCATAGCCAATCATGCTAATGGGATGTGCAGGGGAAGGACAAGAAACTAAACACAACAACAAGCAGTTCTAAATAACTGCGTTTTCAATTTAGATTTAAAACTGCATAAAATTGTAACGACCAAAATTAAAAAGCACCAAAACTGTATTTCAAAAGTAGGCCAAGGCCTCCTATTGGCGGAAAGAGGCCTCCGCGATGATTGGTCCGGGAGGCAGGGGTTTGAAAAGGTTGGAGGAAAGATTGAAACGGACGAAAAAGCGAGAAACAGAGCGGAACCCGGAGGCGACGGTTGGGAACCGTTGGAGGAGAAGGACGGTGATTGGCTACGGTAAAAAACATTGAGGGGGAGAGTCTGAGAAAGGGGGCTCGAGAAGGATAAAAAATTAACCCGTAAAAACAAAGTTTTTCACTATAAATCCTTTATATGCGTGGCATCGGTTTTATTTTATTATTCATTTCGGTTTTTCTTGAGTAAGAGTTTCATTTTTATCACATTGGTATTTAAAATGAAATATGAAAAAAAATCCTAAAAAGTGGAAAATTTTGGAAAAAAAATTTCACGACAATAAATTGTCACGCACAACGAGTCTGTGTGCAAAATGTCGGCTCGATTGGATCACGGGAAGTGGGTTAAAAAACGACCGAAAGATCTGCACGGTCGTAAGCGCGCAAGCAATCAAGTGAACTTAATATAAAAGATTTAAAAAGGGGAGAGCACGAGGAGAGGCGGCGTTCGAGGGAAGGGACGAGCTTCGAGACCGAGAATGAAGCCCGGGCCTAGTGTTGTCGCTGTGTCCATAATTAAGAGGCTCCCAGTGTACAGTCGTCGGTGTCATTACTAAGTTACTATTATCTCTTGGCGAACAGCGGCTGTTGTTGTTGTTGCTAAATGCACCAGTCACATTGGTTTTGTGCTCAAATGAGCACATGGCCATGCTTTTCACCTGTCTACAGCTGATAAATGGTAATGTCGAGGTGCATTAGCCACGAGGGGATTTACAAATACAAATAATAATTTGCAGACATTCGTCAATTTACTGCTGGACGAAAGCCTTCCCACACTGTGCAAGCCAAGTCATGGGGCTTGCTTGACCATACTTGGCCACACTCGTGAGTGCAGGTGCAGACATCACTTGCCACTGATGTTTGCCATGGCCAGAAATCAAGCTCAGGAAGTCAGATTTAGAGTGCAAATGTACTAACCACTGCATCACCGCTACACCCCCCCACCCTCCACCACAAAAACAGCACATTTCCCAGTTCAAATAAAATCAGTGGTGTTGTAGATCACTTGTCTCTGTAACCTTCACAGCTCATCCCGTCCAGCACCGAGAGCCTCGTGCGCTCATCCCTCTTCTCTCTGTCGGCCGTGAGCGTCATCGCGTACGTGACGCCCATTTTCCTGGTGGCGCTCGTGCCTCTGGCGCTCATCCACTACTTCATACAGAAGCACTTCCGCATCGCGTCCAAGTGAGCCTCACCAGCGGTTGCGGTGCCAAATATCTGGCGCATACGGGTGTCCCTATCCCCGTTGAGCTGCTCACGTCTGCAGGTGACTCTACCTAATTCTAGATTTGAAGCTTTCGTGACTGCAAGGATTCATATTCTTGGGTTTTTTCTGTAAAGTCACGTGACTTTACCGAAAAAACCTAAGCATATGACTCTACCTACTCCGCCAACGTCAAGGGCAGTGCCCCGTGGAAGACAGTTACAGAAGATGCTGATAAAGCGTAGAGTGTATCTGGTCGTGGCCAAACGTTCGTCTTGCCCCACGGAGTGTCCGTTGATCAGAGTTCAACAGACATGTAATTCTGCATCTACTTCAAGACAATTTCGCACACACCTAATTGCCGGTGAAATGTTCACGATGAACACATATGCCAATGTGGTTGTTGCATTGTGATTGATAGAATTAGGCACTTTTCTTGCTGTGTGTATTCCCACAACGTAGTCAAGTAGAGAATTGGCAAAGGCTGGCGGCACTGCTTGTTCCAATGGTATAGTAATGTTATCTGGTATGGTTGGAAGTCAGGGTAGTGAGCCCAATAGAAGGCTTAAGGAGTAACCTGGTAAATATCTGAAATGCCGCCAGCGAATGGTCGACTCGAGCAGTGGTGTACCACCTATGTGTTCCACTTTTATAAAATTGATGACCACAGTTACAATGTGGGCCATTCTTGATTGTCAACTGGTGTATGAGATGGCCAAAAGCAATGTAAGACCGTCTTGATGCTTGACACGACTGCACGTGGCGTGCGATGGGTGGACGATGATGTATGATCCTGTGGCTGTGAACAGAGACCTGCAGGAAATGGATGAAAACACCAAACTGCCTCTCCTCCTGCACATCATGGAGACGGTGGATGGCATTGCAACCATCCGAGCATTCCGGTGAGTTCTGCTCGCAGCTGGGCTGGCTGGTGCACATTCAGGGGCTTCTCATCCTCATGTTGTCTCACCTCTCGCTGAATACAGAATTCCCTCGTTATTCAGGAACTTGCTCTCCGCGATTCTGGTGATCTGCGAATCGCATTTGGAACTCTAAAGAGAAATAAAGTGATGAGATTAAAGTGATGAGAGAGAATGGGTTAAACGAATATTTTTGTGTTATTATGCAACTGTGCATGTATTTAATAGCTCATTTATGTATGTTTAAGGTCATTGGCCAATATCATGCTCAGGTCTGCGAGGAACTCGTTCTTCTCCACCGGATCAGAGCAATGCGCCGTGGGAAAAAAAAACAATGCTAAAATAGAAACTTACATTGCAAATGATATCGGCCAAACATTCCAGTGCTACAATATATCTGATCAAATATACCTGACCAAATATACCTGATGAAATATACCTCATAGAATATACCTCATAAAATATACCTCATAAAATATACCTCATAGAATATACCTCAAAGAATATACCTCATAGAATATACCTCATAGAATATACCTGATAAAATATACCTCATAGAATATACCTCATAAAATATACCTGCAAATGACTCATTATGGATTGCACATGACAACATTGTCCCCCAAATGCAAGCGTAATATCAATATAAACGGGGACTTCTCACGAACAATATTTTCAGAGGTCCCTTGTAAAGATCTTAATGAATTTGATAAAAGCTGTCAATTTGAGCAGCATGCCATCAATTCCAATCAAGCCATCAATCTGTAGGGTTGAGTCAATTCGGGTGATGATCTCCTTTGCAGTGAATACTCGAGAAGGTATACTATCGATGTAAAATGATCATTTTCATGTCAGAAAAGGAAATAAGATGCAGTGATCAAATGTAAAACTAAATATTATCATTGATCAAAATACAATTATGTGCTATAATCATAATATTCAATATCTAATCCAAAACACCCTTTTCACAAACTTATTATGATGCTCATGTTTTCCTGTGTAATTATCACAGTGTCTGTCCTCTGATGTAGTGTTTTCAATTCAAATTAATAATCCATTTGAGAGTACATATGTTTCAAATCCTTTCCAAACACTTGTTTTCATGAAAATGAAATTCTGTAATATTAGCCTCATCTCATTGTACTTATCTTCGTGCATAAATTGATCACAAACTCTGTGGAGCTTATGCAAATGTAATCAGATTGGAACACCAGCTGCTACACAGTATTATTATTATTGCACAACAGAGTTTGTCATTAGCATAAGATTTGGCCACTGTGTGTTGGAATCACGGACTCATTAGGATAACTATACAATGGGCAGATTGTCCTTTGGTGACCAATAACTAGAAATAAATGTCCCATGAGAAATGTCCAATTATACTGGTAGGAACCTCCTGGTTACACCAGCCCACAGGAGATTATTGTGTCTGTCCGTCCGTCGTGCAGGGAGGGGCTGGGTGGGGAGGGAGGGGCTGGGTGGGGAGGGGAGGGTGGGGGGGGGCTGGGTGGGGAGGGTGGGGAGGAGAGGGTGGGGAGGGGCTGGGTGGGGAGGGAGGGGCTGGGTGGGGAGGGAGGGGCTGGGTGGGGCTGGGGGGTGGGGGGGGGGGGGGCTGGGTGGGGAGGGTGGGGAGGAGAGGGTGGGGAGGGGCTGGGTGGGGAGGGAGGGGCTGGGTGGGGAGGGTGGGGCTGGGTGGGGGGTGGGAGGGGTGGGGCTGGGTGGGGAGGGGCTGGTCACCCCGTGGTGCCCTTATAAAACTCAACGTTTAACCTACTCACGCCGGCATGTGCCCGCCCTCACAGTCGGGCATATTTGCGGAATACACCACGCCGCCGTTGACCCTGGCCATTGACCGAGCAACCCAACGTTCCTACCAGCTCCCTCCGCAGGAATGCGTTTGTTTATACTGGGTAGTTACATCCAACATATGATGATGACGGTAATAATAATTGTCATTGATTTTACATTATCAGTGATTTTACATTATCAGTGATTGTTCTTTCTTAAGATATTGTTCATTTGTCTGAGCTGTTGTTGCATAATAAGTCCCTTCTGAGACTGTCCTTGTCAGGCATGAAAGCCAGTTCCGGCAGAGGATCTTCGAACTCATCGATGCCAACAACGTCCCATTCCTGTTCCTCTCAGCTGCTAACCGGTGGCTTGAAGTGCGCATGGTACGCCGGCCGCGTTCGCTTGTTTTATAAACTCGCACTCACAATGGGTTCCATTAAGAAGTAGCAGAATTAACTCAATTTATTAAAATTAAAGTTGCCCTCTTTTTTTATACAACAAGTTGAGCAAACTGACCATTTTCCATACCATCATTGTTTTTCTTTAATTGATTCTGCTAGCAAACGGTACTGTGACTACAAATGCATAGTTTTTTTACAGCATGGTTCTGAAAAGAACTTAGTGGATGGAATCCATCAGGTGTAGTTTAGCAAATTGTATCCATTTCTTCTTTTCTTTAACGTTTTCGTATTTTCTCCAACTTCATCCCAATTGTCTATTGGTATCATCTTGGCCCACAGAGGTAGATACTCCAGAGCTACCTCTGAAAGTGTTTCAAGTGGCCTCTGCTAAAATGTGTGTTCGTTGCATGACAGTACAACCAATATTCTAACTCTCAAAGTTGGAATTTTACCAAATTAAGTGCAAAACCATTAAATTAAATGTTTTTATGCAGTCATTGGTGATTGGCTGAGACCATCAACTCACTGAACTTCAAATCCAAATCCAACATTTTTATTGAGTAACTTAAAGTCATCCAAAATATACTTAACTTAAAATGAACTCACTGTATCCTAAATATATTTACTTGGTAAAATATGATGCTCGTATAATAAATGTTTTCATCCTTATTTGAATAAATAGCATGAATACAGATAAAAAAAAGTTAAATTGTAACTCAGTGGCATGCTCAGACTCGTTTAACTGCTGACAAAGGCAATTTTTAAAATTAGTATTCAATCCACAACGGCAAATCAATGTAATAACTCGTCCCATTTATCATTTGTATTTATAGGTTAAGAAAAGTTTATTTTAAAAATGCATAATAAATACTCACATTAATGGTGATGCCTTTAGATTGTTTCATATTTCGCACATAACGAGTAAGTAACACCGGTTTGAACAACATCGACAGCTGTCGACAGTTCTTGTTAGGTTTTCTCACTGCACTGGACTATTTTGTACCATATTTATCATTCCATGACAATGAATTGTACACAATATAGTGTGAGTAACAGGTTTACACGTGTTACTTAAGTAATGGACTATCCTGATTGGCAGTGTATGAGCACCGCTCTGGCTAAAAGGTGACCTTTGATGTTGTTCAAAGTCACCTTGGAGCTATACACATTTAATCAAAAAGCACTTTTGGAACACGTTGACATTTCGCCCAACGCTCCTAGCTTGGTGTTTGGCATACGATTTGCTTTGACGAGTGTAATGCTCAATTGGATGGAGCCAAGATAAGGTTTTCAAGTGGTGCTCCGGAATAACCAGTAATGCACTGCAGGGTGATTATACATTCATAAATAGCCAATTATACAATCAACAAATATCTTGATCATATTTGTAGTTTAGGTTTAATTAGGAAATGCACATAATCAACTGAGTTCAGTGTTTGATGGGCATTGCCTGTACCTTTCAGCTCTGCCTGTACACGCAATTACAGTGAATGCTGTGCTTACCAGTAACCACCTTACCATCCCATCATACCATACCCTACCCTACCGTCATCTCTTAAATGGCAAGTCTCACCCTGTGTCGGCCATAGCATTGGCTACACACATCACATCGAGAGAGAGAGAGTCTCAGGCGTTCACCAGCATCTCTACGAACGCTCCTCTCGTCAGCTGTTGAAGATCACTCGAGATTTTTGGTTTGAAAAAATTAGGCGTGTACAAAATATGTTGGCAACATTTCAACCGTGCAGCTTATGTTGCCGTATAATTATAACACGCTACTTGTACTTTAATTAGATTGGGGCTTGCCCGTGTGTGAGATTTGCTGGTCGGCATGACAACCCTTAATTTCACTTGCTTGGTGTGGCAGTCGCTGACCACAAAGTATACGACGTCCGTGAGTTCACTTGTCGGCGAGCTGAAGTGCCGCGTGTCACACGGAACAATAGATGAGACTTGACTGCCCTGCAAAAATAACATTTGTAGCAGGGTTAATAGGTTTGTGCAGGGGCAATGCGATGATTTCACCAATCCATGAATAAACAGATACACGAGGACCATGGCATTGATTTTTAATTAAAGAGGCAGCAGGCAGGCACACCGTACTTAAAGCTGAACTTTGCCTGTAATTAAATGTGATGTCTCCACGGTGCAGTAACGCCATTGAACGTTTGTTCGAGTGCGTGCCATTGCTCTGTAGCCTTTATGGAGTGGCTGCTGTTGCATGAACAATGTTATTAAAGTGTGCTTCTAAAATTGTAGCCTGTGGAAAAAGCATGCGACATTTTGGACGTCCTTTGAGAAGGAAAAATTTCTGAGGTATGGTCCCAGGGTTATTCATGAAGCCACATTTATTAACGGATCTTCAGACGGAACTAATTCAGGGATTACTCCTGTATTTCGAAAAGTAACTGGATCTGTGGGATTTAATTTGCTAATTAATATAACGATTTCAAATGGCTGTTGTGGATGTTTATGGCAAAAAGATAACCCTAAAACCTTTTAATATTTATTAAAAAAATAACTAATGTTGCGTTTTCACAAATTGTAGCAAGCAGAGTTGTAACTTTCATATATTTCAATGCGGCATTAAAATACGTCATATTATTCGATAGTTATGCTGCACATCAATTATGACGAAACCCAAGTAACCTTTCACTAATTGACCCTGTGCAGAGCATTAACATGTCTGCATTATAAATAGAATGAAAGTAGTTTTTTTCCCGAAAAAATTTCACTTTTTTTTTCTATGTTCAGTGCAGCTTCCCCATGCATTTTATGAAGGTCACCATCTCCACACGTTCTCTCGACATTTAAAGTTCAAAAGCATGACGTAATCAGACTCACGGTGGGGTGGTAGGCTGCCCAGCTGTTGCTTCCTAAAATGGTGCTTCATTGACGTTTTCCATTGCAGTATAATCCAGGGCAAGAGCCAATGCCACCCGCGTGCCACATCACTTGGCTCCAACTCGATGGGCCTTGTGCTACCCTGAGCTCACAAAATATATAAATAATGAACCCCTTGTTTTATTTTCGTTTTACACATCCCTCCTGGTTCAGCAATGTGTACCGACGAGCTGGTTAATGGGTTATAACAACAACTAATTGCAGCGATCTGCTGCACGAGGAGCAATTCTGATGCTTCGAGGTGCTCGCCAATTATCAGGCGCTTGCTGCTGGTGTGCACCTCTGGGAGTACGTTGCCCACGATGAGCCGTGAGGCAGGGTGACCCCGTGCGTCTGTGCCATGCTGTCTTTCACAGGACTACATCGGAGCGTCCATCGTGCTCGCCACGGCCATGGCGTCCATAACGAGGTCCTTTTACTCAGGGCTCGACTCCGGCCTGGTGGGCCTGGGGCTCACCTACGCCCTGCTGGTCAGAAACGACCTCCTGTGGACGTTCATATTGTTCTTACCATGATGAATCACGGTCTATCCCCCTGCTAGATGAAGGTCTCCCCAAGTCCTCGACATCTTACGCAATCCTGCAATGTGATTTAATCCACCTAACACCGACACACGCTCCATCTCAGAGGACATCCTCTTGGAAACGTTCCATTTTATTCAAGTCGGTTTCATATTATGGGACTTTTGTTTTGTTTGAACTGAGATAGCAAAGAGTGGGATTAGCAAGAGTGGACGGACTCGAGATAATTTATCCAACAGTGATCATTTTTTTGGTGTTTATTAATATTTACTGGCAATGTTATATAGAATAACAATATTTAAACGCCAATATTTGTCACTTATCAAAAGATGCATTCTCAATTCAATGTGATTCATGTAGTGATGCATTGCCCATAATCTACAACAACCTATTTTTCTACGTGACTTGTCATCTTGGTCTATTGGAGACCAACATCATGCGTTCATGAAGTGTTGAATATAACCATAGACCTGGGGCCTCCTGCTATTTCTTAATTACGACCACACACTGTGTTTGATTCAATTTCCAAGCAGAGTAATTAGGTTCGACTGTTATATTATGTGTATGACATTTTGACATTGTGGAACCCACTGGGACATTGTGCCAGAATATGCCAATGGGATTCCATCCCGTGTGTCCATCGATACAGGAGTCATGTCAAAAAACGTTACGTGGTTGTATTACAATAGTTGATTGCAAGTACATTAATAAATGGCATTAAAAAGGCTACCCTCATTGACATTCATGGGAGATTGCTAATGAATGCGATGGCAAAGGAGGTTACGCATTTCGCGAGTTGTAATGAAATCCTTAGAGTGTGGCTGTTTACTTCGTGCCTAGAGCATGAATTTGCAATGGATAAACCGGACTCCCATCTGTGAACACCAAAATAATGAATCCGCAAGGATTGCCCAGCGAACAAATCACTCGCCCACGCGCGTACAATCACACGCTCACTTCCACCCGGCACACAGCGTTTGTCATTTCACGTTCATCATTTTCAAATGTGAACGGTAAGTAAATGTTTGTGGAGATGCCTGCATAACTGTTAAACGTATTTCCTGTGAGAAGTTACCTGTTACTATAGATGGAATTTGACCACTATATTTGGCGGGGGGGGGGGGTTCGCTTTGTCCCCTACATTAGGAATCGTGAGCGAAATTAATTAATTATTTTATCTTAATTGTAAACTACTGGAAATCAATAATAAAGTTGCCCAGTTTGGGCATGGCATTGCCTCCCCTACAAACTGCACCCATGTCGGTAACCTACACATTTATTTCTCAAACTCTTCCCAAACCATGGATTTGGAAATATTGCACTTTGTTAGATTTAATATTCAATATTTTGTATTCACAAAGGGTTTGTTTTAGCCCCAGTTGAGTCTGTGGTTTTGGTCCTCAAGAACAAGATGCCACCTTTTAAAATTGTCAGGCCCACTGTTATTTAATAATCACATCGCACTTTGCATTACTATATGGCTCGTAGCATTATGTTGTAATAGGAATGTATCACTCACTTATTAATTAAATCTGTACTTTCTGGTACTCGCAGAATTTAACATTCGCGGCCGGATACATTTCAAAACATGCATCTTTGGAACAATTTTGAAATTACTGGCCTACTTTCATCCGCACTGCTGATATGTCCAAGGATAATACTGACCCTTTCTTTTAACCAGGTGTCCATCTACCTGAACTGGGTGGTAAGAAACCTGGCTGACATTGAGGTGCAGCTGCAGGCCATAAAGAGAGTCAACAACCTAATGAAGGTGGAGATCGAGGACAATGAGCGAAGCCCAGGTAACTCGCAAGTTTAAGTTTTAATTTTGTTTAACCTATTTGGCTTGACTTTTATATACTTTTAAGCACTGGGAATTCGCGTACATGTTCCTTTACATATTAGGCTTTTAAAACATCTGTATTGAGGTGAAGTGTGGGGCCGTCCATAAATGACGTCACGCGATTTTGGACGATTTTTGACCCCCTCCCCCCCTCGTCACACGGCGTCACAAAAATTCAGACCCCCCCCTCAAATATGACGTCACAAAGCTCTGCCCCCCCCCCCAAAACCATATTTCCATTTTGAAAATAAAACGTGCTTCAAATCGCTTGAAACTATTGTCATTGTAGTGCGTATTTAATGTGGCGCTGCACTCTGATGTTGTAGGAGTGTTGTTATAACAATTAGTGTTGTTATAACAATTCTATATTTATTTAAAGTTGCGCATTTTGATGTGACGTCACATTTTCCAAACCCCCCCCCCCCCTCTCGTCACACTTCGTCACAAAAATCTGACCCCCTCCCCCCCAGGTGCGTTACGTCATTTATGGACGGGCCCTGTGTTGCGATAAGCTAATCAGTCATTCGTGAACTTGTATTCATGTCGATGGACCAACGCCAGCAACTGACTAGTGTGGCGAAGTATGACTAGTGTGGCGAAGTATGACTAGTGTGGTGAAGTATGACTAGTGTGGTGAAGTATGACTAGTGTGGTGAAGTATGACTAGTGTGGTGAAGTATGACTAGTGTGGTGAAGTATGACTAGTGTGGTGAAGTATGACTAGTGTGGCGAAGTATGACTAGTGTGGCAAAGTATGGTTAAGCAACTGACACATCATGGGGAGGCCTTCATCCAACGGTGGATTGACAAAGAGGTCAACATTGAAATTATCTTTTACCAAATTAGATGTCCACAAGTAACAATCACACTGCTATCCTTTTCAAGAAAGAGTTATTAATCGTTTGCACAAGCGAAACGGATAATTGCAGTTTGACATTTGATTCGTTTGTCTGGCTTTTCATTAGTTTAATGTACATTTGTTGTCATATCTATTTAAGTTTCACGTTCGAGGTTTCTTTTGTAGCAAAACGTTGTGCATTTCTATTTTTTGTGTATGTTGTTACATTCACGCTGTTCTTTTCACTGCTCCATGGCCGTCTAATAAACTATGAATGTCAATGCATAAATAGTGCATTCCAGAATAATACGCCCGATAAATAAAATGAGTATATATATTTTTCTCTTCTTGGTTCTTTCGGTAAAGTCACATAGAAGGGAAGTAATAAAATAATAAAAATAAAACATAATAAAATAATTCTCACGACGTTTCGGCCACAACACAAGCAGCCGTCCTCAGGTAAAGACCAGGTCTGTCGAGGCGACAGCGTCTAAAAGGCCCTTCTACGTGACTTTACCGAAAGAACCAAGAAGATGAATCCCTGCAGTCACGAAAGCTTTAAATTGAAATTTTATATATATATTTTTTATGTCCAAGATTTTGTGCCCTTTGCATAGACACTTTCGACAGACACTGAACATCCGGTAAAGCAATTCGTCACAGCGAGAAGTAACATTTGCTGACTCTTGCTCTTTCTCATTCAAGGGGAAAATAGTTTTATTACAATTTCCGATATAACACCTATACAGGCTGCCCCAGAACCGTATTATCGCCTTGCCTCCTGGGAAACTCAAAGCTCAACCCGTAAGGGTAAAGAGAATCAGAGCTCAAATGAATTGAACATTTAAAGAGCACACAAATGTCAACGGCATACCTTCACAGGTGGCATCTGTATGGAAAGTAAGAGTTTCGATTTAAAGTTTTCGTGACTGCAGGGATTCATCTTCTTGGTTCTTTCGGTAAAGTCACGTAGAAGGGAAATAATAAGGTAATAAAAATAAAACATAATAAAATATTATAATAAAATATCATTTTATTATGTTTTATTTTTATTATTTTATTATTTCCCTTCTACGTGACTTTACCGAAAGAACCAAGAAGACAAAAAGTAAGAGTTGTCGAGTCTCCGAGGCTTGACTAAAAAAAAACCAAAGTAACAAGAATGACACCAACGTGTGTCGGTGTTGGTGGGTGTGCCGTATCGCTCCGCTTTGTCGTTGACTTGCACTGAATTGTTCGGAGGGAAATAAACGTTCACATGTTCTTATATAACAGCTGTAGACAACCCCTATGCACGTGTTATATACTCTATACGAAAGCCTTCGTTGGGAACTAGAATGTTCATATCCTGAAGGAGCTCTCGGCGCGTGGGGCGAAATGTCAGAACATTTTTTCCGAGCAGCACAGGGTACCACCCGGGAACACATCGGGGAGCTAAAGAGGATGCCTACACCTTAGTAGGGAGTGACGCGTCTTGCAACCACATTTATACTGTATATGCTGCCTGAAATATTGAAGCAAATATTCAATACAAGCAAATGGAACCTATTGCTACAGGGTTTTGGATTGGAGAATGAACTATGGACAGAAATAAGAAATTGCATGTGCGGTCTTATACTACAGCCAATTTGGCTGTTGATATCACACGAATGCCGATACATTCACAACTTTGTCATGTTAAAATGAGGGACAAAAGCACCGACTAATCAGTGCGAACAACAGCATGGCCAATACCTAACATGATCAATGAATCAATTAGACTATTCCAGAAAGAGATTTACGACACACTAAAAGCTCTAATCAATAAAGGCCTCCTCCAATCAGCAAAGAAATATATTTTACTGCGACAGTCCACTAAAATAAATGCCCGCTTCATCACACAGGGCAAATGAGAGGTGACATTGGTTCCCACTTAACTTCACTCTCGAGCGATGACAAGCGTGCACAACATGTAAAATGAGAAATGTTATGGACAAGTCGGTGTCACTACACCGAACGGTGTGCAGAAAATAAAACGAAATTTATTTTCAAATTGACAATATTTTAATGCCTGAGGCCGCCAATATATTGCTTACCGCTCCATAACTGGCTCATAAACTGCATCCTCATTAACTCACGTTGAGATTTGCACATCACAAATTGCCCTGAAGTGCTCTGATATAAACGGTAGTTTTACTGGATGTGGCCAGATCACTGCACGCATCGTGGTTATTGACCACCTTTGTGTGCCTGGATTCAAGCAGGAGAGGTGCACCCGTGAAAAATGAACATTGATTTGTGATATTGGTAGAGTGCTTACATGCAGAGAGTTCATGCTCTTAGCTCAGGCGTCAGTGAGGATTTAAACTTTTTCCAAAAAGTGTATGCTCCTCTGTCATAAGCAGCCCTGAGCACAATTTGTGTGACATTTTAAAAAATATATATTTTTTTCATTTTTGGAATGCACTCCCAAGGATCAGAGGGTTACTTGTCTCTAATCCCCTGATGTTTTCATGACCAGTAGTTCTGTTTCTATTAAAGATCAAACTCTGGCTTCGAGCAGACAACACAGTCCCCAAACATGCGAGCATAATTGTAAAACACCTCTTAATCTCAACTGTGTTTATTTTGGCCAGAAACTCCATGAAGGACAATGTTAAGGTAATGCAACTGTACTTTTGTTGATATTATTTCTTGGATATTTTGAATATATGATAATGTGCACAGCCTAGACTGAAGTGTAACATATTTCCCATAGCGTTATGACTTTGGCGATGTAAATTTGATAGGTCCTTTTAATAAAGTAGTCTACCGACAGAAAATTCAATGTTGTATAGATCAATGACTTGGTATCAGTCGTATATACAAATACGGTTTTCTTGGAATTTCTCTCACTTGATACAGCTATCGTGCTGTGACTGTTCCACCTGAAGACGGAAGCTTATGTTGCCTCCGAAACGTCGTGATTTTTATTTTATTTTTATTTTACTTTTATTAATTTAAATTTTGTATCTACGTGACTTTACCGAAAAAAGCTAAGAATATGAATCCTTGTAGTCACGAAAGCTTCAAATCTAGAATCAGTCGTGTACTTTTATAACGCGATTTGTGCTTGAGTTTAGACCTCTGACATGGACTTTTACCAAAGGCATTGGTGCATTTTCTATTCATTTACTGGAAAATGGGATGCAAATCTACATTTCTGAATGCATTCCTGACCTTTTCTTGCATTGTAAAAATTACATTAATAAAAACATGTAACACATTCCAATGCAGCGGAAGAATAACAACACTCGAACGTTCAAATGGAATATTGAACGGGTTTAAATTATGTCGTTGTTGCATTTGGAAATTTAATAAAACATCCCTGTTTCATTATTTAAGAAAGACCTCGAGCAACGGTGCTTGTCTTTTGCGTCCAAAGTCAGCGGGGAGATTGTGTGTCAGCTTTTACCCAGCGCACTCTGTACTCAATCTCACTTGGCAGAGCAGAGAGTTTGCCACTTGAAACCCAGTGAGTTTTCAGCTTAAATTAGACTCCCACCCCCACTCAACAAGCCAATGTCTTTGCACAGGATTTAATTCATAATACAGGGCGCACACACATCACATTGGGATGCCGCCGTGCTGTCATGGTGAGCACACCAGACTTTGTGCCCGGAGGTCGTAACATTCCATGTTCCGGGGGTGGCAGTTGAAGTAGTGGGAACATGAAATCGCCCACCGTCTCTGTCCATCCAGCAGTATTAATAGGTTCACTGGTTAGTCAAATGGCAGTTGGCGCGTGGAAGGGTAAAGTGTGGGTCGGCCCATCTCTTCCAAGACATCTGGCCACTGTGGAAAATAGGTCAAATGAAAGCAAAATGTTGGCAATAATTAATGATTTTACCGTGATTCGCAACCACGGTCATACAATCTTGCATGCTGCATCAAAATCAGTTCTCGTGATGTCGAAGCAGTCGACAGACGAATGTTACGAGCATCTGAACACGAAGATTCACAGTCTGTTGCCGTATAGTACCCAACCTGATGACAATGAGCTCCGTGTTCCAAAGGCAGATTTGTCTCCTGTCCTATACTTGGTCGGATGGTTCCTCGATTCAACGGACCCAAATCAATGGTCAATTTTGAAAAAAAAATGAAAGTCTGAATAAACCTTCGAATCGTGTCAAACTTGGCAACGGGGTCAATTAAAGACTGACAAAACAGATTTGGATTTCGATTTAAAGATTTCGCGACTGCAGGGATTCATATGCTTGGTTCTTTCGGTAAAGTCACGTAGAAGGGAAATAATAATAAAATAATAAAAATAAAACAACAAAATTCTCACGACGATTTGGTTATTCAAATTTCGATTCTTAGACTGTTCTATGAGAACCGGTTTATTATGCTGCACCGGCGTACCGCCAATATGTCCAAATACCCTCTTCATGTCCCCCCGCATATGACCCCACCTGAGTGGGGCAGTGAGCCCAAATGTCCTCCCTTTTGTTGGGCACCTGTCGCACCGAGATCGGGCTGCTGCCGTTCGCGGAGTTTCTGATCCCCCCCTCCCCTCCATTCTGTGATAGGCGATTTGTGCCAGGCTCGCGTTGAGTTGTAATAAAAACTATTGTCAACGATTTAAAGCTCTCTATCCTGGAGGTCTTTCCGCCAGCGGTGGTATGAGCAAGTAATTTCAGGGCTGCACTTTTACCTTTTACGGGTCACGTGACTACATTGAGTGTGATTTGAGGATTACATTTTGGCCATGCTACTGAACATGACAACTGTTTGTGAGTCCTACTGTATTGGCATGTAAGTGACACTATATAAAGATACCCTCATTTCTCTTAGAGGGCATGCATTTGGCAGTGTTATATAAACCGAGTTTACAGTCCTGGACAGGAACATGGAAGCGGTAAATAATGATGGAATAAATCCCCGTTGGCACTCTCACTGCTAATTTAAGTGTGCACGTGTACATCTACAGCCTCTTTATCAATCCACTGCTGGAATAGTGCCTCCGTATGCCATGCGCAGCATTGGGGATACATGACCATAGCTCACCCACACTGGTCAGTGCGAGTCGATAAAGGCTGGGTTCATGGATGCAGGAGCATAGAAGTACAGTAGAACAATGAATGTTGCTGCTGCACTGCCCTCTGCTGCCCACCACTTTCCGCCCCCATCCCCGGCAACCTTGACTATCCTGCTGTGCGTGGTGGTCACCTATCTAAGCCATATCCAAGCTCAACCCTACCTCGCTTCCGAGATTTGACGCGATCAGAGACGTTGAAGGTGATTTGGTCAAAGGTGTACAATACGAACACTGCCGAAATATCAACCGTTGTTTCAAGAGAAAAAAAAAACTTTTACTCGTTCCAAAAGAACTTATACTTCTTTTTTCCTTAGCAATGTGAGTTGAGCAGTGCGCGTTCAGCTGCCATGGAGCCAGCAGAACTGTGGCTCAGTAAAACAAAGGCGCTGCCTTCACGTTCTCATCACTGGCCTTCGAGGGCAATTCTGCTCTATGCTGTATTCGACTGCTGCTGTGTACGTTATGTATGGCCAAATCACCCAGAGATCACCCGATCGCATGAAATACAGGAACGTAAGCAGGGATGTCGGCTGAAAAGTTGTGCGATGGACGCGTGACCACCATGCGTACAATAGGTGTTGCTGGCTTTGTTGGGTGCAGCAGAGGGTAGTGTAATCAAAATCCATTATATTCTTAGGTGTTTTCGGTAAAGTCACGTAGGTAAAACATCAAAATTAATAAAAATAATAAAATAAAATAAAGATCACGACGTTTCGGAGGCAACCCAAGTCTCCGTCATCAGGTTTGACAGTCACAGCCAGATTAACTGTCCCACCTGATGACGGAGACTTGTGTTGCCTCCGAAACGTCGTGATCTTTATTTTATTTTATTATTTTTATTACTTTTGATGTTTTACCTACGTGACTTTACCGAAAACACCTAAGAATATGATTCCTTGCAGTCACGAAAGCTTCAAGTCTAGAAACAAAATCCATTATTCTATTGCTCCTCACCTTTTCCAACCTGGACTGACCAGTGCAGTGAAGTATGGTCAATTGACCCCTTGAACCTGTAGGATATAGGGAGGCCCCTCATTCAGCAGTAGATTGATAAAAGTCAAGATAGGGTCATACCTGTTTCAAAATTGCCCTCGTGCTACGGCTCTTGCTAAGCACAGGAGCATAGTTCTCCGGAATGAAGTTCATCTGGGTCTGTCCAGGTTATACTTCTTCTCCCAGAACACCACATCCAGTATACTTCTCATTATAGCTGTTGCTAATGGTCAAATTCCACCTCCAGTTATACCAGTGACCTGGAAAATATATCCACAAAGAAATTAACCTCTGGCTGTGCCACCGTGGGTCTGACAGTCGCAAGATGTTAACTACCTCACCTGGTATACGTGAGGTTGTGGGTTCTATCCCGACCCTGATGCCTGTATATTTGGAAGTTGCGTGGCTCTCTCCCCGCAGTTGCATAGATTTTTTCCTCGGTTCTCCGGTTTTTCCTTCCACATTTTTCCTTCCACATTTAGAATCAACATGCGATTGGAGTATTTGACTGTGATACATTTCCACGTGATAAGCCACTTCGTTGAGCTATCATTTGTGGCCACGTCTCTTCTGTAAAAGAGCTATATAGCTCAGTGGGCCTTGCCTTATCTGGTAAAAAAAACAAAAAAGTTTAGTTTATCATTGATGTATGAAACCTGGCAGCTGAGTTCAAGCCGTCCCTTGTTGCAGACCCGCACGCGGTGCCAGAGGACTGGCCACACCGAGGGGAGATCAAGATCAATCGGCTGTCCGCTCGCTATGACGCCTCCCTCAAGCCTGTCCTCAAGAACCTCAGCGCAGTCATCCAGCCAGGGCAGAAGGTGAGCGAGCGTCACACCATGTGTGAATTCACACTCACCACCGATTATATTAAAATATTTAAATGCTCTCACAGACACCCTGCAGCTGACCTTGTCGACAACGGAGGGGGTGGCGTGTCGCCGTCAATGTTGAACAAACGTCAAATGAATGTTGAATGCTCAACGGAATAAACAATGATAGGATGTACTTTTGTCTATCACCCTTTCTCCTCAAGCTACCCCCCCCCCCGCTATATATATGAGGAAAGGTTGAATATAGTTATGGGTTTCGATTTAAAGCTTTCGTGACTGCAGGGATTCATCAGGGAAATAATAAAAAGAAAACACAATAAAAAATATTTAATTTTTATTATTTTATTATTTTTCGTCTACGTGACTTTACTGAAAGAACCAAGAAGATGGTTATGGGTGTTCGTTGAAGTGACGTGGCGAACTTTTAAGAGAATCTGCGACTGTTTTGAAACCTGCGCTGGGGCTTCGGCACCAGCGTTATCGCAGTGATGTGAACAGTACGCACCAGCGAGTTCTCATTACCAGTGCGAAACTTAACACGTTTCGTCGCCGGTAAAATTCTATTTTAATACTGACATTGAAAGGTAAAACAAAATCTATTAAAGGGCAATGTAAATGGGAACATTTTCATTAAAAAAATTTGAACGTGAACTCATCTGCAATTGAGAATTCAGTTATTAACTCTCTGGCATGAGCGTCTCTGCAGTCTATCCTATTACAATGATGTAATTCAGTTTCACGGCACATGATTCGTATTAGTGTTACACTGATTTCCGCCGAAACATCTTAAATACAACGAATAATAATGACAAGATCAGTGTGCAGCACCGGTGCCTCTTACAGCAGTGACAAATACAAAAAGAGGTTTCACCCCCCCCCCCCCCCAGCACATGTAACATACCGAGGTCATGTGAGGAGTGTGGACTCCAAGGCACGCATGCATGCGCGCCACCTCCAGCAGCGAGACTTGCGATGCAAGCTGCCTCCTACCCCACTCCACGTCCTCAGAAAAGGGTCTTGCGCCCTCCAGATGGACATTTTAGTGCACAGTCAACATTGACAATAGATTTCATTTGAGAACCGCTACAGTGGCACTTTAAAACGAATGTGAACCCATAGGAGCAGGACGATTGCAAGATGCAGACACACCTCTTAAAACATACGCGCACAAAAGATCCCACACATACCCATTATAATACTGTTGTGGCATACGCTGTGTAGCGAGCACCTATTAAGATATGCACAGAGCATGAGGGTGTGGTGTGACTGGAACTATGCCCATAAATCGTTGTCTCTTCAGTGCATACATACGTATACAAAAATCCCCCATATAGCCTTTAACAGACGTTTGGGGTAAGGGCTCTGAGTGAGCACCTATCAAGGCCGGAACGGCACACGATAGGATGGATGACCAGCACCACGCCTGGTCGCCGTTGTATCCCCAGTGGCGACGTTTACACACCGCACCAAGTACTCATTTGCGGCTGAGTCAACCTAGGAGAGGCCCAGAACCAATTTAGATAATCGTCACTGGTGTTTGCGCATGAGCAGGAATCAAACTCAACTCATAATATAGTTTTTTGGGTCAGATCGCGTTATTTATAAATGTGTCGTAACCCTCCACCACCCGACACGGCCAAACAGTAAAAAATGTGTCACGTTTCCAAAGGACAAATTAATTGACTTCTTTAGCCCACCGTTCCTTTGAAAACGTGATACATTTTTTACTGTTTGGCCGTGTCGGGTGGTGTAGGGTTACGACACATTTATGAATAACGCAATCTGACCCAAAAATCTATATTATGAATAATATTGGTCGCGAAAGCCTACGTGTTAAAATAAACTCAACTCACTGGGTTCATAGCGCAGCGCACTAACCACTGCACTACCGCTCCCCACATACGCACACACATACAAACACATGCACGCATGCTGCTCTTCATACCTAGAGGACATCCCGTGTACTTTGCTGGGTGAAATAATAAACGCAGCACAACCTTCCGGCGTCCGTACCATATAGCCTCTGGTATTTTATTGCAAAGTGCAGCTCTCTGGTGGAATACTGCATCGACTTACCCTTGGCATTATTGAATATTGACGCTTGTGTTCTCAATTCGATCTTTGTGGCCTCTCATATGTTGCTTGCCTTGCTGATATAGAAAAACACGATTTTAAACTCTTTTTTTTTGGGTAACCAGAATGCAGAATGGTGACGGTGCTGTGCATAATATTAAGCAGCTCATATTTAAACCAGCTGATTAATTATTATTTGCATTAATTTAGTTGTTAGGTAATTGATGGTAAGGAAAATGTAAAAATATATATTTACAGCCCTTCCACTGCTGGAGGAAGGCTTCCCCCCCACACGCCGTGTCGGTCATTGGGTTTGTTTGAACATATTTCCTCACGTTGGTCAGTGCGGGTTGGTGAAGGTCGTGGCCAAGAATGGTTTAGATGTCGCTCGTCTTTCACGTTAGACGTGGCTGGGAAATGGACGTCGGGTGATCAGGTTCAAGCGCATTTGATATTTTATTTGTAACTCTGTACATAAACTTTTGCCACTACATATTGTATGTGGTAATATGCAGAACCTTTGTGAAATACGATGGATTATCGTGAATGTGAAAAGTGTAATTGGGATCACTGGACACTCACAAATTTGAACTGAGTTATCTATTGTACAGTGTATAATCCGTCCGTGATGAAAATGTGTTTTTTTTTATCTAATCCAGGTTGGGATTTGTGGGCGGACCGGCAGCGGCAAGTCCTCTCTGTCGCTGGCTCTCTTCCGAATGCTGGATATCTTTGACGGTGAGAGGTGACCCATATCACCGTTATTATCAGCCTCTCTCTGACGACTGGTGAAAATGTCTCCGTGTTCCACGTGTCCACCTCTGTATTTAGTCTTCGTGACTTATAGCACAGCCAATGTGTGTTCAGAGGGAAGCCGACTTGAAATTACTTTGGACTCTCCTCCATCCATATGCAGCAGCTCTTGCTGAGTCGTATCCAGATAAATATGTAACTGCTCACAGAGTCTTGAGCAAACCTTAAAAGCAACTGAAAATGCCTTGCCCAGTGGGCATGAAATAACGTTACCTGCCACTGCTTGCATGACTACATAGCGGGCTTTAAAACATAAAACATTTGTTTTGTTCCATTATTAAATTGATCTCAAAGGAGAGACCCCGCAAACAATAGGTGACCCAGTAAAGCACTGAGCCAGTGTAAAGGTTAGCCGTGCACCTGTGGGTAATGTGAACACGATAGAAACACGTCACGAAGCATAAAAATAACGGCCTGTCATGTGGCAATCGCAAACCCAATTCCATTCTCAGCTTGCCACGCATTCTCGTTTCGACTATGCACAATTTGGACTTGGAAATTGGAACGCTTTTAAAATATATATATAACGAGTCGGTAGGTGACAGCAGCACACCCGGCCGCCTCTATCTCCCCAGTGGCAATGTTCACACACCACAGCAGTTACTCGTTTGAGGCTGAGTCGACCTAGGGGAGGCCCAGGACCGGTTCAAATAATCGTCACTGGTGGTGGCCGTGAGCGGGAATCGAACTCGGGTCGCCGGGTTCGTAGCGCAGCGCGCTAACCACTACACTACAATGCGTTACGCTTCCACGTGCGCGGGTCACGTGACAGATTTGACGTCACAGCTCACTTGCCGTGCCAAAAATATATGCATGGTGTACAGTCTGGAAAGTACCCACATGGCAAATTTGCAGTTTGTTGCATGTCGGGAAGTACGCTAAACATTTTGAACAGACACATTCACAACTTTGCCTTTTATATATATGGAGATTCTAAAGTATAAACTCGATAGAAGGTCTAAAAAAAAGAATAGTTGTGTAAAAACTCACCCTTCCCCAGCGGCGTCATGGATTGTCGTGAATCAGGGTTGTGATTTAATTCACGAACTAAGTATTTGTCTAACATGGCATATTCAGGGGTCACTAGACCCCATTACATACAACATGTATAAATCTACACACATTGATTCTTACACGCATGATTAATTGCATGTATCGTGAGCTTAAGTATCAATGTTAATATTGATGCATCATTACGCCATCATAAACAAGCTCTCATTTTTTATTTAAAGCTTTCGTGACTGCAGGGATTCATATTCTTGGTTCTTTCGATAAAGTCACGTAGAAGGGAAATAATTAAATAATACGGTATATTAAACAATAAAATTCTCACGACGTTTCGACTGCAACGCAAGCAATCGTCATCAGGTGTGAAATCCACGGCAAGAAAATTTGAAAAAAGGTAAATTTGAAAAAATGCTAATTTCCTTGCCGTGGATTTCACACCTGATGATGATTGCTTGTGTTGCAGTCGAAACGTCATGATAATTTTATTGTTTTATATTTTTATCATTTTATTATTTCCCTTCTGCGTGCCTTTACCGAAAGAACCAAGAATATAAGCTCTCCTTTTGTCAAATGCTTCGATTTTGTCATCACCAGTTGTTCAGAATTTGAGTTCCCGTATTCTTCGGTTTATAAGGCAAAATTTCCCTTCTGTATTAAACATCAAGAGTTGGGGTGCATCTTATTATCCAGTGTGCGTGCAGAAAATTATATTTACATAAGTTTATTGAGACTGGGCACAAATTTCAGGTGCATCTTACTTTTCCAGCCTATCTTAAAATCTGGATAACATGGTATTTAAATGTTACAACTATGTTACCATTTTCGTTTAAGGTTTATATGTATGCACATGTACTCTCTATGATGTAAGGATATATCAGTCGTACATTGCAGCTTGTGTTACATGCTTTATGGACATTGATTTTATCAGGGCTCTGAGTCACAAATTGGTGAGCTCAGCTTTTGAAGGCGGTTGATTAATGAGTGGTCAGTGCGTCACACGTAAGAAAAAGTGAAAACTAAAGGCAACAGTTTGTATTGAAAAGGAAATCATCAAGATGTATTTTACCTCTCTGCCTCTTAAACGTCGGTTTGTTATTTCCTATAACCGTTCTGTTGAGTGGGCAAAACGGGATTTAGATTGATTTTATTTACTCTTGGAGATTACTTCTTACATCAATGCTCTCTCCACTGTGTCCGGCTTTGGTTTACGCTTTAAAAACGAGATGTGTCTTTAGACCAGAAATTACATTATGGTCTTTTATGTATTACTCGTACATTTACCTGTCTTCGTCAGGAAAAAGTTTTCAAAAAATATAATAAGTAAGCTGATATGATCAGACACTAACAACTACTACAAAAATGTGTATTTTTCCACAAAAAAACACAAATTGTTGATGACTTGATTCAAATTGTTATATTGAAAGACGTACCCATCAGAAACCACTAAATTTTTTATGAGAAAGAACAAAAATGTATGAACGTAATACTCTATGAGGGGAAACTCATATCTTTTACCGTTTTCGAATTATACTGATTTGAACATCATAAAATGTATATTTTTTCATTTAAACCCACTTTAATCCGAAATATCTCAAAAACAATAAAATATAGAACAATGATACTCGCTTTCATTGTATTTACTGTTTAACGTTCTATAAAACTAAAATGACGCAATCTTATATTTTGAACTCACAAACATGTTTATATTAAAATCGAGATTTTGGGGCCTTAAAATAAAAATCTCAAATTTTCAGATTTTTCCTGTTGTTTGTATCCTAAAATCTACTTGTGTACCACACTTCAGCTTTCTACCTTGTCGGGAAGTACCCTAGAGGTATTTAAGACATACAGATGAAGGTCTTTATTTATAAAGATTATTATCATAGTTACTGGGCAACATGGCCCACAGACTAAAATGCCAGGCTTCCAGCAACAAACAGCACTCTTAATGTTGTAATAGATAACAGTTGCCGACTATTCTAGAATTAAGCAAGGTTATGAGAATTTAGGAAACGAGATGATGGGAGAAGGCACTCCCCAAGTGGAGCAGCAGAGAGAGAGAAGCATTGTGGTCTACACAGTGGCTGAACAATCAGTCAGTCTGACATGCGGGGGTTCTCAACATGGGTGGAGGCGAATATAACATTACTGAAAATTTCCATTGTTTATTTTATTGTGTTCGGATATATCAAGAATAATATAGAACAGAAACATGACTCCTGAAATGTTACAAGTGGGTCATAATTAGCATTTTCTACCTTCTCAAATATTAAAATGAACCTGATTTATTAAAAGAAAACGTTTACATTTTTTTCACGTTCTCACAGGCAAGATTTCAAAATCTGGTTTTTAAAAAACCCAGCCTTTTTTCCCCCTTCAGTTGTGTAACACTGTAACTAATACATCAAGTGACATTGACTCTCCCTTGCATAACAATAACATGTTATCGATGTGCTTGCTGCTCTTAAAATAAATAAGTAAATAACCTACAGCTCATTACATCTAGCAGAAGGTCATCGAATCTGCTGCCTTATCGCTCTAAATGCAAGCACTGCTGCCACAACTGTTTGGGCTAATTTTATGGGACACAGTATTTGCATTTTTACCCGCAGAGGATTTCAGTGGATGGACGTTACGATTACTCGCAACAGACCGTTGGTTACGGATGTTCTTTAATGCATGTTCTTTGCATGAGTAATCAGTGCGTCGGGCGCATTTTCCTTGTTGGATTAGGATCAGGCCACATGGAATCCATTCGCCTGCATTAATCACGGTAGGCTATTCGCTTTGACTGCGGTAACAATTCAGCGTCAACTCGACACGCAAGCAGCAGGCACGCAATGCATTTCGTAGCTCGGTAATTGCTGTAATTACATCAACAAAGGCGTTGTGTAACTCTTGGCACCAGGATGGACTTGCTCATCAGAGGTCGCCAATTAATTTCGATCTCCCGACACGGGAGTAGAAACAAGGGACAAGTTTCTTATTCCCCTCCCCCTCTCCCTCTAACAGTATAAATTGGTACACCACAGTCAGATGATCGGCAGTGCACGTGTGGTGGCATAAATTGCCGCTAATCCAACCTCTTCCAAGATGTCTAGATAGTGTGGAAGAGTCGGAGAAAAATATCCTTTAGATGGGCTCTCTTGGGGGGCTTCCTCAAGCGGAGGTCCTTCTGCGAGTAATGGCGTGATCAAGACAATGGCAAGGGCTGTACTTTTACCTTCTACAACGTCTCAAGGCCATTCCCAACTCTGACCGGAGTGAACATTTTATTGCCATTTGGGTACGTGTATCAATGGCAAGCAATAGCTGCTGAACGACGTAATGATACAATCAGAATCGGAGTATATATTTATCCTGGAAGAATCTGATGGGCTTTCGATTTAAAGCTTTCGTGACTGCAGGGATTCATCTTCTTGGTTCTTTCGGTAAAGTCACGTAGAAGGGAAGTAATAAAATAATAAATTATGTTTTATTTTTAAATCCTTTATATTAAGTTCACTTGCTTGCTTGCTTGCGCGCTTACGACCGTGCAAATCTTTCGGTCGTTTTTTAACCCACTTCCCGTGATCCAATCGAGCTGACATTTTGCACACAGACTCGTTGTGCGTGACAATTTATTTTCGTGAAAATTTTTTTCCAAAATGTTACACTTTTTAGGTAAAAAAAAAATTATATTTAATGACCAATTGCTTAATGATGGCAGGTAATCATCTGACCCATAGGTGGCAGCCATCTCAAGCCAGAGGACGAGAGGACTCTAGCCGCCCGTTTCAAAGACCAATGTGGGCTGGGTTGTGGCCCATTGAACACGCATATGAAGGATTTATAGTGAAAAACTTTGTTTTTACGGGTTAATTTTTTATTATTGTATTACTTCCCTTCTACGTGACTTTACCGGAAGAACCAAGAAGATGAATCTGATGTGCTTTAAAGCTTTTTTTCACAGTTGCCCAGTAGGGGCAGGTAAGAAGGTTACAACAACAAACGGTCCATAACACGATAGGGAGTGCAAAGTACACAAAAAGATAAACAAATCACCCAAACACATGGAAATAAAACGAAACCATCCCCACCCTATAGTAATAGGTTTTTACCCTTTCAACTGGTACAAATACTGACACCTTTATACAAGGCATCATGTTTGCAATAACCACAACACAAGCAGTCAAAATGCAAACAAAAAGAAACAACTCTGATGATGATAATGATATGCACTGTCCTTGAAGTTGATTGGTCCACACCCAAGACAACTTTTCTTAGAGCCCAGCCTCCATTGGTTTTGGACCAGATGACGCCATAAGGCGTACAACTCAAAAACAGTACACTATCACAGTATACCTTGTATAAAGGTGTCAGTTTTTGTACCAGTTGAAAGGGTAAAACCCTATCACTATATTTCGCCACTGGTAAAGGAGATGTCTCATAGTGTAAATACATCCCCACCCTATCAGGCAAAGCCCAATGAACGCTGCCGGGGCAAAAGTAAGACATCTCAAGGCTGCACCTTCACGTAAACAAATTCTTCCGCTTCTTCCGCAGGAAGCATCACCATCGACGACGTCGACATCTCCAAGATCCCGCTTTCCCTGCTGCGTTCGAGGCTTTCCATCATCCTGCAGGACCCCGTGCTGTTCAGCGGCTCGATACGGTGCGTGTGCGTGCGTGCACGCTCGCTCGCCCCCAACCCCCCTCTCCCACTCCCCCTCCCTGGGGGACAGCTTCCTGAACGCGGTGGAATTCTCATTACATCACAGCGATCCAATTCGTACAGCCCTTCGTGTAACCTCACACAAAAATAAAATACCAGGCACCCGAACGCTTTTCCTTCGCAACGCATAATGTTACGCAACGTTTGTCTCGTATTTTATCGTTATCGCCATCGGTGATTCCTGGATTTTTCTGTTTTTCTGTTGCGTGTAGTCACTTTAAGATGTTTCTTGTTCATGGTTTTGTTTTTTGCGTTTGCACCCGAGCCAAGGGCCGCATGGCTCGCAGGGTTCTACCTAATAAATGAAACTGAAAATTCCTACTGCTTCATGAAAGCTTCTCCAAGTTGTTGCCATCTCTCAAGGTCCTGTGATGTAACAATCCATCTAACGCATGCACAGGAGCTGATAGCATCACTCACCCTCTTGGCTGTGTTTCCTTCCTATGGCTATCACTCCATCCTGAGTCGAGCACCACTGCCCACCGTCCTTTCTCGTGCCATGTCCTGCACAGGTCCTTCACGTAAATAAGATGTTTACTTGCGTATGCGAAATAATCCACGTGTTCCGCTTCTGTTTCAGTGCAATTGCAAGCATGCACCTCGAACCATTTTCGAACGCACTTTTCCGCTTGAGTTTGGTTTTCATTTTCAGTGCCCAAGTTTCTGATTCTCATTCTGTACGCAAACCACAGGATGTCCTTTTTTCGTAGAGATATGCCGTAGTAATTATAGTAGGGAAATGAATGATATGCATTAAGAATGCTTAATATTATGCAGTATATGTCCGGTTTTAATTTGAAAATAATTAGATATAGGAGATATAATCCGTATATAATGACAACATGGAGGGGTGCTGCTTGAGAAGTGAGGCCCAATCTTTATTCATCTTCATGCGGGAGATTATTAACTATGCCATCAGAACTGATGGAGCGGCTCGCACAATGTGCCATTGATCCAGAGGAACTATGTTCAGTTCCCAGCCATGGCTAACGTCAGTGGGGCCCTTCCAATTCACCAACCCACATTGGCCATCACGGTGAGGTATGTTTATGCAATGACTGAACACGGCATGGGGAGGCCTCAATCCAGCATTTGATTGTGGATTGGCAAGGGGCTGTAAATAATATTACTGGTAGGAACCTCCTGGATACACCAGCACACAGGGGATTATTGTGTCCGTCGTGCAGGGAGGGGCTGGGTGGGGAGGGAGGGGCTGGGTGGGGAGGGGCTGGGTGGGGAGGGGCTGGTCACCCCATGGTGCCCTTATAAAACTCAATGTTTAACCTACTCACGCCGGCTTGTGCCCGCCCTCACAGTCGGGCATATTTGCGGAATACACCACGCCGCTGTTGACCCTGGCCATTGACCGAGCAACCCAACGTTCCTACCAGCTTCCTCCGCAGGAATGTGTTAATTATCATGACTACTACTTTTTATGCATTGGTGTCTCAGGAGGAGGGGGCGTAGCTCCCCATGTCCTCTTTCCCCACCCCCACCCCTCACCTGAAATCTTTAGACAGCTATTGTATATCATATGCGATCAATTTTGTTTCCCAAAATGATTTGTCCCCTCCGACACATTTGGCTGGGTGTGCCAATGTCCTGAATATCGTTGAAGAGATTAATTTTTGGTTTTTTAAATGATATTACGTGTTTTTTCTTCGTAAATACGGTAATCTTTGTGTGTTTGTGCGTGCTGCATTTGTGTTGTCCTTCCCCCGATTAGCACGGTTGGCTACGTATGGTTCGAAAGAAGTTTAACACACGTACATACATTGTGTGCATGTACACTCTCGCGTGTTCGCGTGTGCATCACATTCGTCAGCCTAGCCACATCTCAACGAAGGAATCACCTTTAAATTGCTATATTGCAATTTGCAGCATTGCCATTGATTAAATGCGCACGCCTCACCTAATGGAGCAGTGGCAGAGCAGGCAATATTAATGAAACATATTTCAGAATGTACAATCTTGGTATAGATATTCTCATTAAATGCACATGCATACATCACTTACGTCATTGGTTTGTGTATATTGCTGTGTGCAAGTTTGTGTCTTTGTGTGTCTATGTGTTGTGTGGGAAGGAGTTGTGTTGCGGTTTGTGCACTGCCTACAAACCCAGAGACCTGAGTTCGAATTCCGCTCATAGCCAAAATATCTAAACCAGTCTTGGGCCTCCTTTAGGTCGACTTGGCCTTAAATGAGTACATGGTCATCAGCACTAGAGAAACGTAAGTGGTCGGTCGGTCATGGTCCATGTTCGCCACACCACCCCTTGTGTGTCGCGCCAGTCGATTAGAATGGCGCTCTATTACAGCGCTTGTCCCAACAGCCTAAGTAGGCTTCGCAGGGGATCTTTATCTTTTGTGTGTGTGTGTATGGGTGTGTTTGTAAACATGAATATGTTGGCGTTAGCTGGTAATCGCATGCATTAATGAGGATATTTTCTGGGCTGGGCAAGCTGGAGGAACATGCCAATGCTAAGATGCAGTGTATTGCCCTTGTAACCCTGGCTGCCGATATTTACCATAGGAACAAGTTAATCAATTATTCATTTTCAAAAGCTCCACAGAGGTGACACGAATCCCCGTAATTGACGGTTTCCTTTGTTGGTTTGGTTGGTAATTAACTAAGTCCAAATTGAAATTGAGATGTTGCTAGAACTGGACATGTGTCCATTTGTTTGTTCTTTGTGATTGCTGAAAATCCATCCCATGGTTTCTCCCCTCAATGAAGGCATTTTAAAATAAAACAACATCGCACCACACGTTTACGTCCACCACGATGCAGGATGTGCTGGGTGAGGGGAGGAGGCTGAGTACCCCCCCCCCCCCCCCCCCCCCACTAAATGCTCAGGTGTCCTTCAATATTCCACCAAAATGCCCAGCTTACCAATGGGCATCCGCAGCCTTTACTCGTAACACAGGAGGTGAGAGAGTTAGACCAGAATGTACAAAAGACAAGAAAACAGATCGTATCGTTCCTCAGTCTGTTCAAGTGTTTTAATATTAGTTTCACATTTGTTTAACATTGCATGTTCCCACTGTATGTGATGAATGCCTTCTTTTTAACAAAATCGGGCTGCAGTTTTTTTGCCGGCTGCACCTTCACGCCCCGCAGGATAACTGGCTTCCTGCGAGTGGCCGTGTCACAGTGTAATTCTTGAGGTCGTTTTGCTAAAATCCCTTCCTAATTGCAGGATGATGAATCTCTTGGCACCCCAGGTTTAATCTGGACCCCGAGGCTCGCAGCACGGACTCCATGCTTTGGGATGCTCTGGAGATTGCTCAGCTCAAGTGTGTGGTGAAGGCATTGCCGGGAGGGCTGGGTAAGGCTTCACAACGGCACGGAACCTCTGGCCAGGGTTCACATTAGAGCTGAGCGACCCAATCGTTTAAGTAAGCTGTTGCTCGGCCCAGTTACTCAAATAATCGGATATCACGAACATACATAGTTGGGAGAAAGAAACCCCTCAATCTTGTTTCCACGTGTGCCGCTAATCTAAAGGGGAGGTGATGGACGTGGATTGCTGATATCATCGGCATCATCAGCCTCAACACATCGGGCGTGGCTTGTAGGAGGTTTCCCACCTTCAGGTGGCAGGTTTTGGGGAACAGTCGCCATTTTTAAAGGGCCCAAATACATTCACCACGAAAAAATTGGCAATGACAATTTTCAGTAAATTAATTGACTCAATTGACTAATTGTTCCAGCTCCAGTTGTCTTCACTTCCCAGACCTAGAGAGCCTTCTAAAGGCCAGGAGAAGCTGATGCGTTCTCATTGACATCCTTACTAGCCCCTTTGAAGTATCCATGACACGAGGTTCTCCATGACATAGGGGCCATACCTCCAATGGCCCACGGCAGCATATAGCAGTGTTCTCTGCTGCTCAGAGTGATGATGGAGGCCAGGCCGCAATCCCGAAGAGGATTGCGACAATTCATGGATTATCAGTTCTACTCAATGCATGTAATTGTGTATGTTAGATGAATTTACAATTTATTCCAATGATATAAACGTTCTATGCAATTACTACCACTGCATAGCTTTTAGTTGTGTAGAGTACAGCTCCCTGGGCTCCCAGCACGTGAAGTGAAACGTAGTAAGCTGTCGAATAACACGTGGTACAACCAGAAAACTCATCAGAGAATGTATGCAATTACAATGTTTATAAAAACACATTCGTCAGTATAAGCATGTTAAAGTAAAATAATATGCAATAAATTTCGATTTAAAGCTTTCGTGACTGCAGGGATTAATATTCTTGGTTCTTTCGGTAAAGTCACGTAGAAGAGGAATAATAAAATAATAAAAATAAAACATAATAAAATTTAATTCTCACGACGTTTCGGCCACAACGCAAGCAGCCGTCCTCAGGTGAAAACCCTGGTGAAAAACCTGAGGACGGCTGCTTGCGTTGTGGCTGAAACGCCGTGAGAATTTTATTTTATTATGTTTTATTTTTATTATTTTATTATTTCCCTTCTACGTGATTTTACCGAAAGAACCAAGAATATAATATACAATAGGCAATATTTCGAGCAATGGCCCTTTTTCATAGACTATAAATTGCCATGAAATTTAGATAAAGGAAGCAAACGAGACTGTCCAAATAATATGAACCAGATGATATCCTGAAGTGAAGAGACAAATTGGAAACTTGGGTGAAATCACGACCCCCACATCATGAACCTCCGAGCAGACCCTGCCCATGTTAGTCACGTGTCCTTCCCATCCCAGGCCTGGTTCCCAACAGGCAGAGCAAGCGTAGCCCCATGGAACCGCAGAGAGGGGTTGACAAATGTGGTGCTGGTACTGCTTGTATGTGTGTAGGTTATGTTATCAGTAAAAGAAACAGATTTTATTTTGTGAATGAAGAAGAGTAGCAAATGGGAATGAATATATTTATAAAAGCTTTACCATTATTTTCGCTTAGCCACCACTGCCTCATATGTGAAGATTATTTGAGTAGAGTAATCTCAACCCATGTTTCTATAATCCTGGCAACAGGATGTATGAAATAGAATTGGAAATTGAGAAAAAAATAATCTTATAGTTCGTGTATAAATGAATAGATTCAAAAAATATTTTAATAATTGATGGACTTTGTGTATTCCCCAGTAAATCCTCTTGTGTTTTTTAATCCACGATAGTCTTCCATGCACTGCATTGTGTGAGATCACATTCCTTTATAGATATAATTAAATGCATTCGAATCATATGACACTTTGTAACGTAAGGCTCATTATTAAAAACCCTCTTTGTTGAAGCAAAGCTATCGAAATTGTAATGATATGAAACCTTACTCTCAAAGGCCAATTACCCAGACACACCATTTACTGGACTCCATTTACCCATCATAAATCACCTGAGCCAGCCTTGTCACATTCGAACAAGTAGCTCGCTCATTAAACTTCCTCCGCTTGACACATAAGACATTTGGGATTAAAAAAAAATTATCACTTGTACGCGCATCGTGCGAGCAGTGGCGGCAGCAGCAGTGGCAGAGGTGAGAAACGGAGATGGTTGACGAGGCAGTAAACGCGGCACCTAATGAGGCTTCCGTCTGCTCAGACGCCACGGTGAGGGAAGGCGGAGAGAACTTCAGCGTGGGACAGCGGCAGCTGTTCTGCCTGGCCCGGGCCTTCGTCAGGCGGACTGCCGTCCTCATCATGGACGAGGCCACAGCAGCGCTTGACATGGCTACGGTGAGCAACGCTGATTTTTCATCGATCCAACCGGGCCTTTCGTTCTGCATCGCGCGCTTCTGCTGTGCCTCGTACAGTTACACACAAGAATTGTATCTTACTACCAGGGGACTTTTTAATGGGTTTTTTTTTACTTTAGGTTTTTCTGGATATTTGCTTGCATTTAGAGCAAGAAAATAATACAGCTGAAAAAAAACACAGTTAAAACAACAGAGTCATTTGAAGCTGCCTTAAAATTACTAAAGGCATGTGTCGTGACAGAATGTGTCACATACATGCAGTCGTCTTACCAGAGTAGCACGCATTGGACATCCAGCTGAATAACAAAATCATAGACACAGAGCTTAATCATAATCTCATAACTATTACACACTGCTGCTCATATTGACAAAAAAGAGAAGAGCCATCCTTCTAGAATTGCCCAAAAACCCAAAGAGACAAATATAGTAAAAAAAAACTCCCTCCAAAACAAGTAGGAGAGGCAAATCAAAGGGTGGAGAATTAACCACAGCGTTCAGCAAGCTTACACTTGCGTATAATGAGCTGTGCCATCATGCTTGAATAAGTGCGTGCTGGAGCATAGATAAGCAGAATCACACACTGAATCGATGCGTCGACTAATAAGGAATAATGTACATTAATGAGCTTATGAAACAAATCACTGAATTGCATTCGTAAGCATTGATAAGCATTGAGCAAATCTGTCTGTCCGCCTGATGATGCTCGTTGTAATTACTGGCAAAACGTCGTACTCGGATTGTAAATGTTGTGGATTTGCTCTCCAACTAGTAACGAATTGGCATGTTCTGTTTACGTGACAAACCTTACTAATTGGCTGTGTCGGGTGGTGGCGGATTTAACGACACATTTATATATTTACGCAATCTAATAACAAAAAACTATATTATGGATGATATTGATCGCGAAAACTGTACGCATTGATGTTTTTCCATTTTCTATTATGTAAGCAATGCCTTCATGTCACTCCAGCAGCCAGTAGAGGCACTACCATCCACGGGAATAAAAAAAAAACATATTTGTATACTTTAATTAAAGTGTGGCCCTATATTGTGAAAATTCATTGAATTGCCGTGGGTGGCGGTGAAGGGGGTGGGGGGGGGAGATGAAGAGGTGAATGATTTCAACCACCTCTTTAAGTCACTTTATACTTCAAGTGAAACATTCACATTTGATGGATGTGTACCTCATTTGCACTTTAGAAGGAGACTCATGATGCATTACAGACAGGCCAAATCCGTTTTGAGAATGGTGCACCACAGTGTGTGACGCCAACAATAACAGCCCCGTCTCTGAGTACTAATCACACTCTGTAATAAATAAGTGTACAGGTGGCACGGGAGTACTTATTATATAACAGGACCCTGCGGGGTGGGCTGGTAGGAAATAATACTTAGTACCGGTACAGAGATATCGACCAGGTATAGAGGAGTTAAAGAAAAAATTACTGTATTCTAGTGTAACGTTAATTAAAAGTGTTTGTTTTGACAAGAAACGCTGTGAGATTTAAAGACTCGTAGTCTTTCATTTCCAACACCACCCTCAACACCACCCCTCCCACGGACGGACGGACGGACGGACGGACGGACGGACGGACACATTAATCTATTGGTGGTCTGGTCCACTTCGTTCCTACCAGTATTAAACGAAAGAAATATGTGTGGGTCTGCATATTTCTAATATCCGTATGTCCACTTGTTTAGACCGCCCATTGTATATATGTTGGTCTTGTGATTTTTGTTGTCAATATATTATAAAGCTATATTGTGAGCGGTGGCTTTGCTGTCAAAAGTGGAAAAAAAGCATGTCACTCCATTGCACTGGGATTGCACGATAAGCTAATCAGGTTAACAGTCTCAGATATGGGGGTCATTGGGTGAAAGGTCTCTGTCCCTTATGGCCTCACTGACCGAAATTACGCAGCTTTGTATTCAGCATGGATTGGAGATCAGACAGTTAACAGGAACAGTGACGACTGCTTACAGCAGCAGCTGTATGCTATAATTAGACTCTCAAACATTGAGAAAAGTAATGTTCTCTAAAGCTTACAAGGCATAAACATAGCGCCTTCGTAACAGCCTTTGTGCAATAGGAATGGCGCAAACATCATATGTGCTCATACTACTGTTCTGTGTTTGCACATATAAATAAAATTGTTTTAATCGCTTTGCCAATTGGCTTTCCTGACCAATATTATCTAGTGGCATTTATTTAAGCAACAAAACTCTGGGCTTGTTTTGACCTTCATGGTCACATCAGCGGAGTCAGGCTTGTTAATTAAATGCTGTCAAATTACCAGATTCTATAGGGCTTCCGTAAAAGATTAGCAGAGCTGACAGAATCATGCATTTGTAATCGTTATCTAAAAACAAAGAAGCCTGTCAGGGTCAATAGGTATTGTTCAGTTGGACCAGCATAATGCTGCACCATCAAAATTTGAAAAACGCGCAGCCTTCATTGGTACTGACAAAACAAGAAGAGGTGAAGGTCTGACGCCTGTATACCAATTTATTTAGAGTGCAATGCCCGGCGAATGTCATAAGCTGATGTGATATGAGGCTTCAATATCAGAGGTGTCACATAAGATGAATCCTAGGTGATTTTGAATATATGAGTGAATATTCCACTGGGCGCATCAGTTTATTTATTTATTTATAAAATAACAGCATCACGTTTTGTTTATTATACTCCGAGTATATGGAGTGGTAAAGCTATATTCATTGGTTGTAATTTGGTAAACAAACACTTGTATGCCTGTGAGGTCATGACAGTTAGGCATTGTCAGCGAATTCAGTAACTTTTCAGGTTTATTTTCCTCGGCTCATGTTCAACTGACTGGGTGACCTAGCAATAAGGCACTCCACTCAGCCCATCATTCCTCCGGTGTCAATAAAATAAGCAACACTTTGTAGAAAAGGGAGGTCTGGGCCACCCTACTCAACACGCTGCCACCGCGACCCTCGCCAGGACAAGCGGACTGAGAAACGAACTTGTAGGAAGTGAACAATCTTCGTCCCGTGGATAGACTGGGTGCTACCAAAGGAGTTGATTTTTCTTCTTCTTGGTTCTTTCGGTAAAGTCACGTAGAAGGGAAGTAATGCAATAATAAAAATAAAACATAATAAAATAATTCTCACGACGTTTCGGCCACAACGCAAGCAGCCGTCCTCAGGTGAAGACCAGGTCTGTCGGGGAGACAACTTCAGACGCTGTCTCTCAGACACTGTCTCCCCGACAGACCTGGTCTTCACCTGAGGACGGCTGCTTGCGTTGTGGCCGAAACTTCGTGAGAATCATTTTATTATGTTTTATTTTTATTATTTTATTACTTCCCTTCTACGTGACTTTACCGAAAGAACCAAGAAGATGAATCCCTGCAGTCACGAAAGCTTTAAATCGAGTTGATTTTTCCCAAGCAGGGCTGCCCTTGGCGATGAGCACCATGTGATTGCTCGATTGAACATTGGGATACTCTGGCGTGTTATTCTTGGAATGCTTTGGAGTATACCAAAGTAAATGTGTACTTATTAAAGCATTGCGTATGTTATAATAAGGAATTCTCACTTTCTTTTTTTTTACATTCAGGAGAAAATCTTGCAAAAGGTTGTTATGACGGCTTTTGCTGACAGAACAGTGGTGATGATAGCGGTAAGTATACATAAAAAAAGCCTCCAAATGCATGCTTGCTACAAACTTAACGGTTAAAAAACACCATATAATTTTTATTGTGAACATTGTGGTTATGTGCTGGCTGTCAAAATGTGTTTTCATCCCGTCAAGCATGCATTCATTTGACAGCTATTGAACGTGTGAAACATATCAGGCGCGCTGGTGGTGCCGCTTCCAAACCTTTATTTAATTGGGAAATAAAATAAACCCGTTGAGACGCATGAAACACCACTGCCTGGTTTTGAAACGGTGACCTGGGTGACATCAGATCACTGCATCATTTTAAAAACATTTACATGTAACAAATCCCGACTAAATTTAACAATATTTTTTTGTATTGAATAAGGCTAAATAAAGAAGGTGAATTGCACGTTAAAATTCTACATTTACAAAATATGTAACACATTTTCCTGAAGGACAGTGACTAGATTAGGAAAATATAAGCAATGGTGAAAAAACTAAATGTGGTCAAACGAAAACAAATTGGCTTATGGCAGCCACACAATCTGAAAACGAACACGGTCTGATCAAAAACATTGCCAAAGTCACTGCATACATTTATTTCTAACCAAGTTTACAAAAGGAAGTGAAGTGATCTTGTGCATGTACAGCCCATTTGTCAATCCACTGCTGTGGATGTGGGCCTCCCCATACCGTGCGGGTCATGAGGGTCGTTTGACCATACTTCACCACGTGGGTCAGTGTGGGTTAGTGAAGGTAGGTGAACTATATAAACACAATGGGTTTATTGTGCCCTGCCCTCTACTGCCGACAACACCTACAACACCTGTTTTTTACACGTGGTGGTCACTCACCCAGACACTATCCGAGCTCAAAACTGGTTAGTTTCGGAGGTCTGCTGGTACTTTCTGGGTGATTGGGCCATAGGTGAAGCATTCTTACCCAATGCAACATTTTCATAGGATGCAGTGCAAGCTACAGAATACCTGAATACAAAGAGTTGAAGCGAGTGTTGCACTATGTCTCTACATGGTCTGGGAGCAGAACATCAATAGCCTCCTGTCAGCTCTATGACATTGTATAATCCTTTGTCATTTGTCAAATCAAAAATATTCTCCATCCGGCTGTCCGTTACTCTAAATCCAAGCAATGGCACTAAAATCATCCTTCACCTCTTCCTCCTGCACTGTCCCATATTTTTTTACATCAAATCTGAAGCACCATTGGAACCTCATTTGCCAGTAGCAAAATATGATAATTTTTTTTACCCTTTTATATGGCAACAAAACTGACACCTTTTTACAAGGAGTCATGTTTGCATTGACCACAATACCTGCAGTCAGAATGCAAACAAAAAACATAACTCTGATAATGAATGCACTGGCCTTGAAATTGATTGGTTCACACCCGAGACAGCTTTCTTTAGAGCCTAGTCTCACATGGTGTTGGACCAGATGATGCCAAAAGGCGCACAACTCAAGGACAATGCACCATCAGAGTATGAGAGCTCGGAGTAAGCATTTACACAATTGGAACCTCATTTGCTACTGGCAAATGAGGTTCCAATACTGGCAAATGAGGTTCCAATGGTGTAAATGTTTACCCCGAACTCTCATACCCTGATGGTGCATTGTCCTTGAGTTGTGCACCTTTTGGCATCATCTGGTCCAACACAATGTGAGACTAGGCTCTAAAGAAAGCTGTCTCGGGTGTGGACCAATCAACTTCAAGGACAGTGCATTCATTATCAGAGTTATGTTTTTTGTTTGCATTCCGACTGCAGGTATTGTGGTTAATGCAAACATGACTCCTTGTAAAAAATGTGTCAGTTTTGTTGCCAGATAAAAGGGTAAAAAAACAATTATCAAATCTAAAGCAGTTATTCTGGCTGATCTACCACCTCCTAAACCTTCTATACCTCTCAATTTCACTCTTACTCTTGCTCTCTTCACAATGGCCAGCACCGGGTGGCCAACATCCTCGATGCAGACGTGGTGCTGGTGCTGAATCAGGGCCTGCTGGAGGAGAACGACTCGCCTGCCAATCTGCTCGCCGACCCCGACACCATCTTCTCATCCCTCGTCAAGTCCAATAAGTGACACGGCGGACACGAGGTCGTGGGGAGCCGTGGACAAAATGAAGTCGGCAGGTAACTGAATTTTGACAACCCTTAATCCACTGCTGGATGAAGGCCTCCTCGTGCTATGTCATCCGTGGGGGGTTGTTTTGACAATACTTTACCGCACTGGCCGACACGTTTGGTGAAGTGGGCCACCTAAGAGAAGTTCAGATATCACCACTCATGTCAGCCGTGGCCGGGAATAAAACTCAGGTCGCCGGGTTCATAGCGCAGCGCAGTAACCAATACACCACCGCTTTCCCCAGGTGTCCGATTGTCACATATAAAACACACGTGGGGTTCATGAGTATCTGGAGTGACTTTTTCAAATCACTTCATTTTAATTATACTTCTCCTGATAACAATGGTAGCTACTAGCACTGCGACTACTATTGCACTTTACCGGCAAACAGTCGTGGCGTCCTCCATTCCAGACAGTCACTCGTTTGAATCCATGACACTAGAGTAGAGAGGCCCATGTCCACCTCAAACTGGCACGGTCGGCCATCTGGATGCTGTCAGCCGCCACTTGGTCTCACTTTGTCCCTTGACTATCGATACCCTAAGCTATGTGTCAAGTCAAGGGTAATGATAGCTGTTGTCCTAAAGTTATCCTTGACCCTGACTGTAACCGTAGCCCTCAATCTATCACAGCCATAATTTTCACTCTAATTCTGAACAGCATTCTAACCATTCTGTAAAATCCATATCTGACTGACGTTAAAACCAAAACATCAATCCCAATACAATACAATACACTACTGAACTTAACCCTTAACCTGTCTTCACCATCAATATATCGTCACCTTAAACCTATCTTCACCACAAATCTATCTTCGCAATGCTGATCGTTGTGAGTTGGTAGAGTGGGTGCCCAGGACTGGTCCATATTTCACTCACCGCTGACGTCAGCTGTGGCCAGGATTCTAACTCGGCGATGGCCGCGTTCGTAGAGCCATATGAGAACCACTGTAATCCGAACCAGGATCGTAATCTTAGCAATAAACGTAACCCTATGCCCTCCTGTAACCCTAACTACTCCATAGTGTGCAGTGAATTATTTAGTTACCCATAAACCTATCCTTAAATGTTTCCTTCGTCCTGACCGTGACCCGAGCATCAATCCTGAATTTATCACGCATGCAAACCCTGACAGTGGTCTTAAACCCTAAGCTTCTGTTGTGACTCTAAGCCTGGCTCCATTTCAGCAATCCTACTCAAAGCACAATTACTTAATTGCATATATCTACATTCCATGCAGCAAGAGCCTATATACCTCCTTGTGGTGTTCTTTCCATTGTCACACACATCAATGGATATTGCTTGGGTAAAGAAAACAGCTCTGTTTTATGTCATGGAAATGCCAATTTATAACTAATATTTAAAGTCTCGGTGACATATGGGTTGTTAAAATGCTTAAAATTCCAAGGACTAAGAGTACGTACTTCCAGGTAGGAAGATTAAATAGCATTTTCTGTAAACCGATTTCCCGAATTGGAAAAATATACAAATATGTGACCACTTCGATAGGCTTTATTATTCTGTACGATGACCTCTGTGTTGAAGCGTTGACAGATGGATAGGCTATTTCTGACAAGGAGTGCATATCCTTAGTTGAACCCAGGGTTCATTTCCTTTCGGAAAGCTGTTTGCCTCCCCCCTAAAAGGCACACATATTGTCTTAATGAGATCTTATCTCGTAACGTGAAGTTTATTTATTTTTAGATGCTCACTATTTGTTGGCACGTAGTGCAGCCCTCCATCAATCCACTGCTGGATGAAGCCCTCATCTCAATGCTATGTTGGTAACGAGAGTTGTTTGACCATACTTCACCTTGCTGGTCAGTGCAGGTTGGTGAAGGAGGTGCCGAAGACTGATGCAGATATCACTCATCACTGATGTTAGCCATGGCGAGAAATCGAACTCAGATGGCAGGGTTCATATCACAGTGCAAGGACCTTGATGTCCTGCCCATTACCTCCCGTCGAGTGTCACATGTGAGAACGTAGCCGAGACTTTTTTTCCTCAACTATTTTCGTGCTATCCGATGAGTTGAGTAATCCAACCGATTATAGGTAGAGTAATTGATCACATAAATAACTTGTCAATTGACATACGTTCTTTTTTTTATTGTCGTTATGAACAATTGTGTACAATTTTGCTATGTGTGGCCATTTTCCAAAATGGAGTCATGGTGCAGTGGTTCGTGCTCAGCACGAGGAACCCGCCAACCTGAGTGCCATAGTAGCCATGGCGAACATCAGCATCAAATCTTAACAAGTCCTGGGTCACTGCAACACCCCCCCCCCCCGGGTCACCCCCCCCCCCCCTTCACCAACCCGCACTAATCAGCAAGTTGAAGGTATGGCAAAACAAGTGGTCCAGATACAGTGGTGGAAAATCCTCATTCTTATGGCAGGGAGGGATGATGTTTGCCATAAGACAGTTCCCATAGACCTCCCCACAACTCTGGTTGGATGAAGGGCTGCGTGGACGACCCCTGGCCTGCATTTGAACTCGCGTCGTTCCGGTTGTGAGCCTTGCACATTACCGCTGCACAACCCACCTAGGTGAATATAATTCTGGCTATATTATAACAGAAAATTGCAATGTGCACGTGTTTGCGTGGGCTCAAAAGACGAGCTAAATTATGCAGTCATGGTCTCCAGTCCCCAACATTATATTCGGGAGGAAGCCTTTTGAGTCTTTAAAAGCATTCCATGTCTTCATGACAATTGATACCATCATGAGGTCATACCCATGTGAAACCCTCGCCGCTTAACGCAAGAATACCCTAATTGATACTATAACCAGCATGATTTATTTTGTAATGAATGGATGTTGTTTTAACCCCTTTTTCCTTAAATTCTTCATATGCAAAGTGACACTTCAGAATCTGAAAAAATTCTTGTTTTCCTGTTTTGTAATTTGTATAATAAAAGGAACTTGTCATGGTTGGTAGTATTTTATTAAAGCTATCTCTTACAATACACATTATGAACAAACACAACAGCCACTGAGCTCGTAAATCTGCCAGATAGAGATCTCCACGTTTCAGAATATCTGTGGAACGTCAAAAAAACAGCAGCAAAAAATGTGGTCTGTGCTCACAACAATGACCCTTCATTATTTTTCACAGAACATCGTGAACGGTAATTTGAATTCGTGTTGAATTCAAAATGTTTTATTCAGATTATCAAGTCAAACAATTCCAATGTGTAATGGAATAGTCAAAATAACCTTGAAGGGATTATATTTCTATGGCAAGTCATTTGTCGGTACCGTATGTTATTTGCTGCATTGTAAATACATTTGTAAGGTAGCACGTGTCTGTATAACCATTAACTAGCGTTTTCTCCAGATTTTAAGACGCAAATGTTATCTTATTCTAAAGCAGAAGTAGGAGGTGCTTCTTATAATGTGTGTAACCAGAATTGTATAACTTTATTTACACCAAGCACACATTTTGGAATGCATCCTCATTTCCAGAGCATCTTGTAATCCGCAGAATATGGCAGTTATAAACAAAGACCATTGTCAATATGCTATGCTAGCTTTATGATGTGATAAAAAACTAAATAATCTGTATTTTATGGCTATGTTTACAATCAATCTTAGCGTAGAAATTTTTTTGCAATTAATTTTTCTAGAAGTCCATACCTGGTTTTGCTCAGTGTAGTAATAAATTATATGCGTTGAAAAAAACACACGTTTAAATGTATTTCTTTTGTTTTCCCAGAATCCTCACCCAGCCAGGATGCTGTCATCATCTCCGGTTTTCAACTCAATTTCAGGCACGATTCTCATTTAAAAACACACAAGTAGACCGTTTAACACATGGGCTTTCGCGACCAAGCTTATCCATTCTAGATTTGAAGCTTTCGTGACTGCAAGGATTCATACTCTTAGGTTGTTTCGGTAAAGTCACGTAGGTAAAAAAATAAAATAAAAAATTACTAAATAAAAAATAACTAAAAGTATTAATAGAAATAAAATAAAAATAAAATTATATTTTTTCTATTATTACGTTTAGTAATTTTTATTTTACCTACGTGACTTTACCGAAAAAACCTAAGAATATTATCCATAATAAAGATGTTTTGGGTTCGATCACGTAAATATAAATGTGTCGTTTAACCCGCCACCACCCGACACAGCCAAATAGTGAGATTTGTCACGTAAACAAAACATGCCAATTAGTTAAACTTGTCATGGTGTGCTCAAATAGTAATTAATTGCCACGTTTTGTTTATATAACAAATCTTACTAAATGGCTTTGTAGTGGTGGGTTTAACAACATATTTATATACGCGATCTAACACAAAAAAACTTTATGTACACAAGTAATGCTCATTGTTGGGTTTACAATGATGGATTGTAAAGTCCATTAAGACAGCCCTGTGTTGTTTGCTAGTCTAGTTAGGATAATTTGGAAAAAAATATCAAGTACACGTATGCGTTTGTGAGGGCTTGGTGTTAATTCGATGCCACATGGAACAGTCCCATTTGAGAGCCACACAGCTGTGCATTCATGCTTATTTTTAGTCTGGCAGTGCAAATGCAATTGTGCAAATGCTGTATTTGTAGGATGATAATGAGCAGAATTGGTCTTAAGCCACGGACAACACGAGTTGACTGCGTGTACAAATTTGACACCTTTCCTGTATTTGCTGCTACGTTCACTGCAACCCCCATGATTGTATGATAATCGTTAATGCACTTTCCCAAATGAAGCTGCCATCAATGCAGCTTTAATTAATGCGTGGGTGCATTCATTTCCCATGTCTGAGCTTAATCGAATTCTGTTTCCGTGACATCCGAAAGTGTAAATGTTAGATGTGCACAAAATGTACGTAAATATTTTCATGAAATATCATGCATGTTAGTACAAGAAAGCACTTACTGCCTGGAAAAAGATCAATGTGTAGTCCTTTTTTTTAATCACTAAAATAATTTTTTAAATATATATTGAAGTATACGTTTTCTAGAATCTTGTTGCATATTTACAAATCATGGCCTTGAAAGGGATATATTCTGTGTGCATGTAGTGGGTTTCTGTCTGGTTCTCATTGTGTTAGCTTTATTTTGCAGATTTTTTTTGTACATTATTTGTTCTTACATTTGTTTATGATTCATGAAATGTGTATCTTTACTTTTCAATTATTTACAGTAATATCTATCCTCCAATTTTGTGATTTTATTTATAAAATGGGGCATACCGATATTAAAAATTATTAACAGACAATGCAGTTATTACCATGTCACAATAATTCAAAATGTCGAACGTGTTGGCTTTCATATGTAGTGACATAGAACGGTCACTACTGTGTTGGCCCGTACGAGGGCTGGGGGCCCCAAGGGGGTGCCTGGGGGGTCACGTTCTGGAGGGATCCGGACCTTCCCAGAGGTGGGGGAAGTGAGGCGTGGCCTGGGAAGGGAGGCGTGGCCTGGACAGCCAGCCACGCCTGGACGGAGCCGGCCACGCCAAAGCAGATATAAGCGTGGTGTGAACGCAGAGCAAGGCGGTTGTACTGTACTCCGAAGTGAAGACATCATCGGTCGTCAAGTCCCGAGTCGTCGTCCTGGGCCAGGCAGGCCGTTGCCTGCCTGGTCCAGTCTGTGTCGCGTTCCAGAGTGTTAGTGAGTTGAGGAAGGTGGTCACCACCTCATGTACAGTGTTATATTATTTACCGTTTAATAAATAGTGTTGCCTCCAAGCTGAGTGTGTGTGCACCTAATTCGAACCTACTACACATACACCACGCATATCATTGCTGAATATGCATAAGCCAAAATTTAACTGTTCTTTTGGTTTTGTAAAGAATTAAGCCAAAATAAATGGTTTCACCAAATAGGCTTCTACGTGTTGTTTTTCTTGTTGTCGTGCATCTTACATTTCGGCAGAAATACGTAATCTTTTTCACTCTATTTATAGCTTCTAATCTAATAACACTTCATAAATAGTGTATGTTTGTGTGCGCTTCATACTAATTTTTTACAAGTTCAATAGCTTTTACTGCTGCAACTTTCGTAGCGAAATGTTCCAGCAATGTCGAACAATATAACAACTTTCAATTCCTAATTTCAACGCTTCTTATTTACTCAGCTGTGTTATTCGTTTGAGTGTAGTCACATTCATGTCTCATACGAGATATCATGACATGTTTTTTTATCATCAATTCACAGCAACAGCCTTCATTAAGTTTATACCGCAAATATTTGACGTTAAAATAAAGATGCTGAATATATTTGCCAAAGCACGACACGGTCTGCATGATGTTTTTTTTGTTTAATTGCTGTGGAGTGTATGAAAAATACAATTTTACATGCACGGATGAAGGCGGGAAGCTGGGAGTGTTTAAAACCTCTTGTAAATGCACTGCTGGGTGAGAGGACCTACCCATGTTGTACGTGTCGTACGAATTATTTGACCATACCAGACACAGTTCACTGGCAGTTGGTGACAGTGGGGGATACACATGTGGGAGTGTTGACATAGAGTACAACAACAGCTTTTGTATGTCTGTACGTTGAACTTCTTTCGCACCTTACGTAGCCAACCGCACTAATCGCACTGCTGTCTGCTGCCCACAACAAAGCCGCTGTCCATCCAAGTGCTATGCAGCTCAGACCTGCAAAGCTTTCGAGATTTGATGAGGTCGGGCATGGGGACATCTCGAGTCATTTGGTCTTCTATTTTTTTAAACCAATAATGCATTGTGGATCATAAAGTGGTACGTCCAAAATTGGGCCGATGAACCATCAGTTTAAGTAGTTTCAACATTGGACATTAAATGAGACCATTTTCATATCACACCAAGAGCTATCAAAGTTAGGGTGTTTTAGCAACATCAATCAATAATGTGCTGTATCCCAGCCTTGAGAATCCCAGCTTTTCCCATGATTGCAGTGACACAATACTGGCTGGGTCCCTTCTACGAGAAATAGCCATCATCAAGCAGCTGTTTATTATCTGACACCAACAGTGGAATGGAAACATGAAACCACAGTGTGCAAGCACTATCTTCAGTCTTCCAAATTTAAAGATATAGGGAATTGCCAGATAAACATTTTGTCCAGTGTAAACAACGGTTTACACCTCATGATATTCGATCACAGGAACAACATCCGGACACATGTCCAGAGGAATATCATTAACAGTTATTGGCTATGAAGCTCTGGTCTGGCTGTACAAATCATACTTGAACATATTCACAGCCAGCATCTGCAGATAGATGAGATAAAGTGAATTGGTGCTTAAAATGATATTACGTGACTTTCAACCTCTTTAGCTTGGCCTTATGCTGAGAAGCCCACACAAGCCTGCTGGACAAAATAACGTGAAAAAAAAACAATTATTGTAATCCAATTATTTACATTCATTGAAATAAAAGTTTGAGCTATTGACACAAATGGGAAATTAAAATGTGCAGTGGAGGTGAGCGTTGCGACAGCGTTTAACACACTGTGTTATGAACTTAGAAATATGAGATTGATTATGAGTAGGTGGTGAGTGGTATTTGAATTAATACTGGGCCTTTCTCTTCACTAGCCCGCATTGTGTCAGCATGGTGAAGTATGCTCAAAACAATCCCCATTGCTGACACGGTGTGGTGAAGCCTTCATCCCGCTGTGAATTGACAGAAGGATGAACGTTGTTATCTACACAAAATATAACAGTATTAAAGAATGTGCATTCTGTATAATTGTTATTTGAATTTAATTCACAACATTTTCAAAAGATGTATTTTAATAAATGTTCACCTATTATGCATGGTTACTGCTTCAAGGTTGTGTTTTAAAAGTAGGTATAATGTGAAGCTCTCGTGGCTTTTTTTTTATTGCAGTCTCATTCGTAAATTGGTTGTAAGTACCGGTTATATATTTGTGTTCACACCACAGTGTTTACTGTTTTGTACGCAAGCCTATAAGTGTACATTTTAAATAAACCATCCAGTTTGTTTTAAATTGTACTGATATATTTCGAATTGAAATAACTGGCACTGAAATTGCCGTACATTATTTGTGCAAGGCACGGTTTTTTTACAGTCTCAATCACGGTAAGCAAATAACAGAAATGATCACGCTATAAACGCATCGTTATCCTTACATTGGCGAGCTGAAACACATTCTAAATACACTTTATGCACACTGCTCAAACATTCATCTTAAATGTAACTCTTTGATACATCGCAGGGAGCCCCCATCCCACGTGACATGATATAACTTTGAGTTAATGTTCAATGGCAGGGGTCCGCGCGTAATTTGCTTTTTTTTTCCACCTAACGCGCAAGACTGAAACATTGTTCTTGTGACCGGCAGGTGCTGTAGACGGGGCTCACCACGACCTGCCGTGTGCTCACAGACCCATCATTATCACGGGACAGAGCCCGCTGCAGCCTTGCAGTCAACCCCTGGAGAGATGTCTACTGGGCATCTGTGAAATAAGAGCTTTAGAACTCATCGGATTCCTCCAGTATAAATCAAGATTCTGAGATTGGTCTTGCTCCACAGTGCTACTGGCGAATTTGACAATTTGAACCCGGTGACAACATGTAGAATTGATCAAGGCTGAAGAAGGCAAATGCTTCAAGGGCTGAGGATTTGCCATCCGTCCTCATGCATCTACGTATGTTGAACTTCCGCACCGTATGTAGGCAATTGTGCGATTCGGAGGTGCGGGGGAACACAACAAACTAAACACACAAAGCAGCTCTAAATAAAGGAATTTTCAATCTAGATTTAAAAGTGCATAGCTCCTGTGGCTTCATAATATCGGAAGATAGACACCAGGGGCCACAGCCACTGTGGATGTCGTCGGTGTCCAGACATCTCTGCCATGTTTACGTATGGCTAAGAGACGGCCGCAAAATAATGGACAAAAATCATGGCGTAT